TGTTCTCTATCTGCATACATAATCTGAATAAAACAATTTAGCATCTGGGGTACCAAATAATTTCGCAGTCAAAAGGGTTTATAGAAAGCTTATAAAGCTTAGGTTCCATTATGAATCAACATTGTTATCGTGGAACTATGGCTAATGATGGCTTTCAGAATGAGCAGTTTAAAATCTGTCTGATAAATTTAAATTAAATTTTCAAGTGAAATCATCAGAAACAAACGGAACAAGGGAGAGAGATAAATAGACAGAGGAAGAAAAAGAGAGAAAGAGAATGGAGAAAGAAAGAAAATTGATCGCATTCTTTTCTGCTTCATTTGATTTCTTAAAAGGAAGACCCGTCAACGGTATTATCAATTTATCCCGAATAAGCTTCGATATCTACAAGAAACAGACACTTTGAGAAGAAATGGATAAAGAGTTAAAAGAAATAGTCAGTTAAAGAATTTACTTTTTAAGTGGGTTTAGTAAACTTCATTTAACGTACAATTTTCAAGAAAATGTAAAAAGTAATATTTTCTTCACGTTTAGTTTGATAATGTAATTATTTGAAAATAATTTTGTAAAATATTTTTGCAACTCGAAATTGTAAATTTTTATTTTTATTACATTTTTAATATTTCTTCATCCCTATTGAATATTAAAAATTCTTTAAATAAAAATAGATAGAATTCCCTTGTTATTTAATTTTAAATTGAAACATGCGGTTGGTTTAATTAAATTCCTATCAATTTTCTATTTTAAAAAAAGAGGAATAAAAAAGTAAAATGTTCTAAAAAATAGTCATATCTAGTTTAATAAACTAAAAGCTTTTTAAAAATGCAATTTCTATCAATCCCGCACAGAATACAATATTTCTTTATTATTTCATTGAAATATTTAAAAAATTTCAATCCAATGAGTTTGAAATTGTGGTTCAGTCAACTCTTGTTTAAAATTTTTTGTTAAATTTATTATTAATTTTGACGAAGTTAAATTCGACGAAATTAAAACAAGAGACGGAAATGCAGTTTCAAAAAAAAAATTTTCAACTTTTAGAAATGAAAAATAAATAAAAGATTTAAAATAATAAATAAATAAACAAATACTAATTATTTAAATACTTAAACTGAGTCATGTATTGCGGAACAATATGTATAATAAGTTTTCTAACGATGTTCGATTGTTACAAATATAGCAACGCCTAACAATTTTTATTCGATTGTATAAATTACAAAATTCTTTTTTTTGGGGAAATAAACTTGAGAATTAGATTGTTTCATCTTGGATAGTCTACACTGAATAAAGGGTGTCACAAATATATTATCGTCTAAAAATTAGGTTACTGTCAGACTTCGAGAGATATTAGTGAATAAAAAAGTGCAAGATTCGTCACTATTCGTAAAGTCTAGTGTCAGATTTGTCACCAGACAGCCACGAACCGTTAGTTGCGCGGTTTCTCCGTTCGAACAGAAGCGCTAGTAGTCCAAGCGGACACTGCGACGACTGCGACCAAAGAGGACAGAAAAACTGTGACTTTAGTGCAACTTTGATCCGCAAAAAGAAAGAGACAAAAAGGGTTTTACTAGGTGAATTTCTGAGCTATTAACATTAATTATTATTAATTTTGTTTACCGATTTGTACCTGTCTTCAGGGGTAAGTAAGAATATTTTCACGTCTTTGCAATTTTACACCTAATTTTTATAATAATGATGCGTTAATTTTTTTACAAATTTATTAATTAAGTAAATTATAGTTTATAACAAATTTTTTTTTATCTTTTTTGTCACTGGAAAGTTAGAGTATACTGTTCAAAAGAGTTACAATTCTAGTTTGAAAATATTATTTTGTTTTATTACTAACATTGCGAAAATTGCAGGCTCTGTATCTAACTTATTTCTCAAGATTTAAAAATTTATGCATAAGAGTTGGAAATATGTTCTGTCGTGAGGAAGGAGGGTAAAAAAAAGAGCGAAGGGAAGAGAATAGAGTCACATAACAGTGAGATACTGAGTTTGCGGTTGGATGAAGAACTTATTCTGAAGAAAGTTGACCTAGAGAAAATAAATTGTATGACTCACAGACTCATCATGAATAAAATATAATATTGCTGCTTTCAGTATATACCACAATACACACAAGTACACACTCAAGTAGACGTCTGGTGGTTTTTTTCACCTTGTACATTTTATTTCAAAACGTTCACTTTTTAATAATTCATAACAAAATATTTTTTATGTCTTGTACGAATTATTGAGTAAAATTTTTGACATCAGTGAATTTCTTTTAGCGTGCTAGCAGAATTTATCTTTTAGTGATATTCAGTCGTGTTGGATGAAAATATAATACTCCTATTAAGGTTTATATATCTTAAATTTTTGAAAAGTAAAAAGAACATAAAATTCTTAGGGACAATAATAATTGACAGTTGTTGTGTGTCTATAATTTATTATTTAATTTAATTAGAAAAAAATTATCAACTTTGACCCGACTGAGCAATAATCGGTAAATTATCATATTGGCAAATTCGAGGTGATCGATTGTTTCTTTAATTATTTATTTAAAAAGACATCGAAGACCAGATAGAACATGACAACATCTAATTAGTAGTTCCTCATTCTATCACACAAGAAAACTGAATGTTTTTATATCGTTAAATATTTCTTCAACAAAGACAAAAAGGAAGCTCATTGGATTCAGATTAATCTCTGTTGAAAGTTTCCTTAAGTCGCTGCAAGTCGTCAGTTTGTCGAGTCAAAAGTTCGAGGTGAAGTGTTTTCTGTTAGACAGTGTATAACAGATTGAAGGTCTTACAAATCGGGTGGTAATGCGTCTTTGAGAGTCTCTTCACTATGAAAATAAGACTAACTTGAAAACTCCTCAATATATATAGAACCTTGTGTTATCTCGCCCTCACGAGACACTTTTTTTTCCCTCCTCCTTTTTTCATTTTCTTCAACTTTCATCCTGTCATTTCTAGTTTCAAAAACTTTCCAGTTTACTCGATACAGGTCATAGTTGATTGCTGATCAAAATGAACCTTTCTTCATCCTCCACTATTAAATAGCTTGCAAAACTTCTTTGTTCGCACTACTAAAGATATTTATACTTCAAAGGAAATTTCTTGAAATTACTATTTCGAATTCATCGATGCTAATTTAAATAAGATTCAAGTCAAAGAGAATATAATAAATTATTTAGAATCTACTGTGGAATTATTATCCAAATTGTTCATTTATTAAGAATAACTCGCATCGCTAATTTTTATCGGTGATATTTCAAACTGAATAAATATTGATAAATTCATTTAAATTTTCAAATGAATAAATATCCAAAATAGCAAATTGAAGCATTGATGAAAAAGTGTAGAAAAAATATTGCTTTATATCGAAACAATGTCGCAGCTAGAGGATAAAAATTAAATATTTATTTCTGAATAAAAACGAGCTTAATTGTACCGAACTAAAATGGAAAAGAAAGAACGTCAAATATGTATCTCAGCTGACTTTAATTGAATGTAGGTAAAAATTCACAGTTCTTAATTGACTCGAGTTCATTATTTAAGTGATCTACTGTTGTGATAATAATAGGATAATAATTACTAAGAATTATTTCACTCTTTGTTTGCAATAATCAACTGATGTAAATTAGACCCTCGAAGGCATGTAGCCGGCAGCAGCTTCTAATAATCGGTCTCATAATTAGATATTAGATCATTGTTTGGCGTCAATATATTTGGAACAATTGATAATTCACATGAATTAGCAATCATTCATGTTTTCGAATAATTTTACTTTTGAAGAAATTTGTAAATGTAATAGAACATTTTTTTGAGTATCTAATAATTTTTAGAGTTAATCAGAATAATAAGGATCAGGGAAAAAGTCAAAATTCTGTCTGGAAATCGGAGAAAAATAATGTTAAATTTTTGTGGCAACCCTGGTATTATAAATTATTCCCATTTCGAAATTAACGTCTATATACCGAAATCTTACAATTTATTTACCCCCAAGAGAGATCGATATTGCATTCCTTTTTTCTGAAACGACTTACTATAAACGTTTTATATAAATTGATAAAAGTATCACTTCAAGATAAAAAAAAGAAGAATAAAAGTTTACTGCAAATTCTTTTATCATAAATCAGAGAAACAATTCTTTAAATTGATACATCTCTTTATTGGTGCTTAGGGGTTTTCTCATTCTTTGAGAAGAAAAAAAAAGTAAATCAAGAAAGATTCAACATTGCAAACTGGCTATATTGAAACCAGTTGATGAAAAGTTCCAAGGCATTTGAGAAGATGTCGATTTCCGAGAAATCAACAAGAGTCACGAGCGAAAGGCAAGCCAATGTCGCGTCGCTTGCACTATAGAGAGAGAGTAGTGAAAGAAAAAGTCACATTTTATAGGTATACGATTTACTGTCGTCCGTTCTTTTCGATTGTACGTGAACTCGAGATTTCAAGCGGTTAAATCACCCGAATTTCATTTCTGTCCGAACGGGGGACATTACTGCTCACAGTCCTTCCTCGCAAACGAGGGTAGTTTTACCTTTCGAAATTCCTTTCTCGATCGTCTCCTTTGTCCACAAGCCATTTTCGATTCTCTCTTTCTATAGATATATAGAAACTTCTTCCCTCTGATTCGTTGTGAAAAACAGAAGGACTTCGCCCTTATACGTGAGAGAAATAAAAGTGATGAATACGAGACACAGTACTGAAAACCCTGAAATCAAGACTCCGCTTGAATCCCTTCGACAAAACAAATCCGATTAGAAAAAAAAATACCAGTAGAGATTTTCAACATTTAAATCTTGATTGGGTGGTAAAAATATATTTGCTGACTCTTCGAAATTGAAGCAGTTAAAAAAAATGTAGGTCTAATTATTGATTACGAATCCGAAGTCAGATTTTCAAAATTCAAAATGGCGGTCATCTTTTCCCTGACCAGACTGACTTGAAGTTTAACGGATTTTTGAAATATAGGTGATTAGTACGTAAATAAAATACAAAATGAAATTAAGTATAAGGTAGATATTATTTAACAGGTATGCTGTACATAAGATTTCTTTCTCCTTACAAATATTATATAAAATTACAGTCAATCGCGTAGAATATCAGCATTCTTCAATTCACTCTTTTTCTCACTTGACATAAAATTTTCTTTCTCTCGTTCAAATTAACAATTACATGCACGCATTAACATACATTCATACACCCATTCACATAATATAGGCTCGCGGATTAAATCAGTAAAGCTTCGAACAAAAGGAGCATTGGTGGTTTTTCAACAATACCATCTCGCTCTATTTCTCAAAAAAAAAAAAAAAAAAAATACTCAACATCCTCTTCAAAAATTCAGCGAGACTAACACTTCTTTCGATCTTTATTTTATATTAATAAATTCCATTCTCGAGTTTAAAAATTCATTCTCCAACACTTAAAGCGCTTTTTAGATTCCCGAATTTTCTATAAAGTTTTATAAAGTATATGAACTTAAAAAATATATATATAAACGAATGATGAAAGCCAAATATTGGCATATTGGGGGGTTTTTTTTATACCCTTTACTTATTTTTATATACATAAAGAACTCCTTTTTGAGGTGTTATACAATCTCATTCTTACATTTTTTCTTTCAGTAAATGCCATTTAAAAAAAGAAAGAATATTTTTGTTCGACTTTTGTAATGACAAGAACTAAGCTAAGAGATTATAAAAACCTATTCTTAAAAAAAAAAAAAAAAAAAAAAAAAATGATGCTGGCAGTCACGCTTTTTCTTCCCATTGACTTATGACGGAATTACGACCTAACTTAAAGAATAAGAGCTGAGATTAATCCCCTCTATAAAAGATGACTTTTTAGATTAAAGCTTCACATAAACTTGTTTAAACTTTCCCCAAGACTTTAGCGTATATAAGACCTGCTGTTTCAAATTTAATTTACCACAACTTCTTTATTTTTTCTTCTTTCAAACTTCTCTTTAAAGCTAAAATAATAAACTTTCTATTTTTATCAGGAAAAATAAACACTTGGAAAATTTTTTTCAAAAAAAATTTCACGAACTTAGGTGACAATAAAACCGTCATTAGTCAATAGAAAAATCTTTTCCCCCGGGGGCACTAAAAGAATAGCGTTAAAGATAGCCTGGGGAATTTTCACTTAGTTAGCTACTATATTTACATATATAAATATAAATATTTATATTTATATATTTTTAATATTTAATATTTATATATTCATATATGTAGGTCCCTATTCCGGTAACACGTATTCAATATTATATTTCGAATCGTAATTTCTGCGAATCATATTCTTTTTTTTTATCCGAAATCGCATTATACATTTTACAATATTTTTTTTTTGTACTTCCAAGTACAACAGGAAGAACATTGCAGGTTTTTTTTTTCTCGCGACGTTTATTATTCATAAAATGAATCTTACTCTCTATCATTCACATACTTGACAATTTGATTATTATTTTTTTTTTAAAGAGGAAGCATCGAACCTACGCGAGAGTTCCCACATTATTTATTTTCTTTTTAAAATATTTACATGAGTTGTTTTAAAAAAAATATATTCAAACGTTTATCTAATTTGCAGACATTTGTAATTTAATTCATATCCTAAAAGAACTCATAAATCATAAAAGTCTCAAAAATGAGAAAACGTAAAAAAAGTTTTAAAAAAAATTAACCCACATCCCCCTTTTTAAGAATAAATTTTTTTCTAGTTTATAATTTTTCATAAGAGGAAGTAAACACAGGAAAAGCGAGATCCGAGGTACGCCCATTATTATTAGAAAAAAAATCTTTAATTTAAAGGCCTTCTTTTTTGTCTAAATCGTAGATTGTTGAATCAATAAAAAAAAAATTGATTAAAATTGAAACGAAGAAATTGTTGAAATATAGAGGATTTTTAGGTTAGATTATTCTGCGCAAGCGCGGGGGAAATGGGAGTGAGAGAGAAGAATCGAAACTTCTCTCTCGCTCCCGTTATCCCGCCTCCCTGCCAACAGCTGAGGAGAAAAACAGCTCTAAACAAAAAAGGAAAGAGACTTTTTTTTTTACTTCCAAAAATATTCAAGACAAATTTATTTTATAAATAATAAATAAAAGTACGAAGATATTTTCATTTTAGTTGAAATTATTATATATCTTTAAAAGATATCAACTAAAATAGTCCTAGTATCTATAAATACAAAAAAAAAAATTGACCTAACAATCTGTAATTTTTTTCTTTCTCTCAAATGAAAAAATATGTGCGTCGTTATAAATCAGGCGTATCTTCGGAAAAATAATCCGACTATTATTTTAGTCTACTCGATCATGGATTATACACAATATTGTCAGTTTTTTAATTTTTTTTTTCGAACGATGAGCAACGATATCCGGAAGAAGAAAATTTTTAAAAAATATATTATTATATAACTTAAACGAACATTCCCCGGAAATTCGCTGTTTATCGTCTCGTTTTCAGAGCTTTTAGTGAACTTCCTCAATTAATTTTTTGTTTGTATTAGTGTAAGAAACTGTCGAGTAGAATCATTGCTTGCGCATTGTGCGCTTCACAGAAAGCTTGAAATTTTTTCGAAGCGTATATGCATTTACATTAATTATTATAATTTTTTTTTTTTTGCAATATTACTCTTACAATACGATTATTCCTCGACAACGAATATATGTGCAAAGTTCATGACTTGTAAGCATTTTTTTTTTAATGATCTGTGCGCAACTCACTAAAATCATTTTCTTTAATTTTATTTCTAAGAGAATCTCACTGGTCCGAATATTGAAAAAAAATTTTAATTTCGTACAAAGAAAACACGTTTTTTTACTATTCACAACATTGGTCAGTGAAATCTTGAAAATTCAGTAAATTTTTTAGAAACTAGAAAAGGTTTTTTTAGAGAAGGCTCAATGTCATGGATTTACTGTACATATATAATATCGTAGAGCAATTATACAACGCATTTTTTATATTTTCTTTAGAAAACAGACGTTCATATACATATAAAAAAATATGTTTAAAAAGAGCCTCGCTTCTCTAAATAATTCTTTTAAAAAAATAAATTTGAAACGAGTTTTGAAACGATTACCGAATTAAAATTTCGACTCACATCATCTAGATACTATACATAGCAAACACTTTTTTTTTAAGAAAAAAAAACATTTCAATGAATTTGTATAATAAATTTTCTAGTGTATAATTTTTTTTTGTTCTAATAAACACTTTCGCGACAAGAAGACGATCGTCGAAGCAATTATACAAACTGCCGATAATTTAGAAAAAAAATTTTCACAAAACGTTCATTTACATTTCAATTTTCAATTTTCAATAACCAAACAGTATTTTTAAAAATAACTTTTTTCTACAATTCATCCAGTCATTGCTTTCAATTGAAAGACATTGAATAATTTATAAAAAAATATATTTATAAATGAATATTTAAAAAAATGAAATTGCCCCCAAGAATAATGATTTTTAAAAACTAAAAAAAAAACCATATATTTTGATTCTGAGTAATAAAAAATAGTTCAGTTCTGAGCAGTGCAAAAAAAATGCTCGATGATGATGATAAGGAATGATAAAAAAATTACATATACGTAAATATAAAGATGCGAAAAGAAAATGAAAAAAAAGTTTGCTAAAAAATATACAGTTTCATTGGAATGATAATTAAGCGATATTGCTTGAATATAGTTAATAAAAAAAACGAATTAAAAATTAAAAAAAAAAGTAGTAGTAATTAGCTTTTTTATCATCACTACAAACTAGAATTTGGTTTTCTCGTTTCCCTCTCGCTTAGTTCTATTAATTTTCTCACCGCATCTAATCATCACATTTTATAAAATGTAAATAAATCATCATTTTGAAGTTCTTTCAATATTATTATTTTTTTTTTCACAATTGAAAACTCAGTCTAACGCCTTGGCGCTTTTTTGTACAGAATCTTATATTTCCAGATGAAAGAACTACGTCGTTTCATCCACAAAAAAAACAGCGTCATACAACTTTAACATTAAAAAGAATTATAATATATAATAATTGTAATATAATAGAATATAATATTAATAAAAAATAATTTATTGCAAAGTGCAATTTGGAAAACGCGATTTTGTATATTAATTTTTTCTTCGGAAGTTTTTAACGGGAAAAAGGTAGAAACGAAAAATTTTTTTTTCTTTTTTCACACCTTTCGTAATAATAAATGCAATAATATCGCATATAATTATCCACACTCGCAAAAAAAAAATATCTGCATTCAACAAATTACTAAACCTATCTAGAATCAAGTTTTTTTTTTTTTTTTGCTATTATTTAGTTAACTGTCAACAAATGCTATTATTTTTTTTTCTTTAAAAGAGACTTGCGATTCGCAGTGAATGCATCACGCAGGTAGCAATGACATTTTTTTTCAGTTAATAATGAATCTATACTTTGATTTGTGTACTTAACCGAGACGTGTTTTATGGACGATGTATTCTCGTCATACCATCACCATATCTTCGTCATGATGAATGATTGTCTGAAACGAGTTGTCCGCCGAGCTTTGTCTTTGAATCGGTTTCTTCCTGACTAGGCCGTCTGAAAATAATTCAGAGAAAAAAATTAATTAAAATTATAATATTCCATATATAAGGAAAATATTTGAAAGAATTTTCAATCCAGACTTCGCACTTTATAATAAATTTTTAAAAATTTGCACAAAAGGAGCTTTCAAACTAAAAAAAAGTAGTAAAAAAACATGCTAACGAAAAATTAAACTTGACGACCAAAAAAACACGTTTTAAACACTTCACAAAATTGACAAAAATTACATTCTATATTTTATTTTCCTGACTTTGTTCTAATTTTCATAAAAAATTAAACTTAATTTAATTCTTGCGAAGAATTTTATGAAAAAGTTTTAAATAATTCATTTCTTTCGACTAATTTTATGCAAATTCAAATTTAAATAATTGAATTCCTAGGAAATTTTTATTATTCATGAAAATTGAATTCTTACGAAGATTTTTACAACAAATTTTTTAAATAATTGAAAATTTAAATTTATTAAAAATTAGCAAAAATTCGAAAAACCGAATTTCTTAAAATTTAACATTTTTTCTTCTCTTTTATGGCATTAAGCTTCATTATTTTTGGGCTTTTCAAAAATACTTTACTTTTTTAATAGTCTCCACATTTTAGTAAAAAATTTAAATTTATTAAAAATTATCAAAAATTTGAAAAACCGAATTTCTTAAAATTCAACATTTTTTCTTCTCTTTTATGGAATTAAGCTTCATTATTTTTGTGCTCTTCAAAAAAACTTTATTTTGCACAGCTCTAATTTTTAACACTAATTGCATTTTTTGAGAAATTCATTTAAAATTGTATTAAAAATAATTAAAATTCTGCGATGAACTTTATTATTTATGAAAATAATTGAGTTCTTGCGACTATTTTTTTTTATTTTTCAAATAATTGGATTCTAGTGGGCAGTTTTATTATTTATAAAAATAATTGAATTTTGCAAAGAATTTTTTATTAAAATTCCTGAAAATAATTGAATTTCTAAAAAAAAAATTTGTTACTTATCAAGATAATTGAATTCTTTCGAAGATTTGAGTTAAAATTTTTAAATTTCCAACAGATTTGAATTAAAAATTTTTCAAAACATTAATTTCCCAGAATTGTTAATGAAAAGTATGAAAATTTTATAATTAAAAAAATAAAGTTTCCCTGGTAAATATTAATTCGAAATAATAAATTTCAAATGACTGAGAACTGACAATTTTAGGAAATGATTTTAAATTTTTAATTGAATAATGAGACATTCGCAAAATTTTACATTACTTAGTTCGTAACGAACATAAGTTTTATATATTAAAAGCATCACGTCACTTAAATTCTCCATTATGAATCACATATTTTCTATTCACTCACAGAGAAAGTTTTAAGTACAGTTTCATTTATGTTACTAAAACTTTTAATCAATGATATCATCCTTAGTTAACTAGTCAGAGTTAGAATGTAGCATTAGAGACTCAAATATTAATTAAAACTTACTTTTGTATTGTGAGATTTGTTCTCATTATAAATTATAGTAAACATAAATTCCATTAAAAAAAAATAGAATTTCAAATTTTTATCTAATAAAAACTATTTCCCTTCATTGGAAACATTTCCCTGGATGTTTAATTCATTTACATAAATCAAAACTGAATCTCTAAAAAAGAATGAATTTTTAATTTGCTTCCTCATAGAGAAAATAATTTTCAATTTTTTTTACAACTAAAAAATGTGAGAGTAATTTAAAAAAATTTGATTTTGTTTCATTTTAAAAGTATGGATAGTAAAATATAAATTTTTTTTTCGTTAATTGACAATAAAGTGAAGCCAATCAAATTTTTATTACGTTCAATCAATGAATATCTTAGTAAATTATTTAATAATAAAAAGCTCATTTTTAAACAAAGTAAAAAAAAAAATAAAAAAATACGTTTTTCAATAAATTACACATCATTCATCTGTTCCACATGAACAAAAATAAAATAAATGAAAAACACGAGATTACTTGTCATTCATGAAAAAAATTTTTTGACGTTTAACAAAAAAAGAACTTCCGAATCCAAGGGAAAAAGTTTTTCAATAAAATTTTACTAACTTTAATAAAACTTTGCTGGTGAAATTAAAAATATTTCAATAAAATACTGTAGATTTGTATAAAAATTAAAAAAATACAATTAAAAAATAAAATTTAAAAAAAAATTTACAATTTAAATAAACATACAGATATAATTTTTATTCTTTCTTTCTCTATATATATTTTTTTCTTCATACCCTCAACTCTTTTCAATTTACAAAGCAATATTTTCATTTCTAAAGTTCAATAAATAAAAAAGTAAACTTTTTCTAACTTGATAATAAATCAAACATTTAATTAGTGTGCACTCAACTACCGTTAGCACTATTGAAAATCAACTTTAACTTTAAAAAGCGTTTGCATCGTCAAATGTAAAGTTAAGAAAAAGTTTTGAGAAAAAAAAAAATTATTGGAAAATTCTCATTCAATTCTACGCAAAATAAGCTTAAATGAAAATTATTTTAATTACTCTATTAAAAGTTATACGTGACATAAGAAAAAGAAATGAAAAAGTAATAATATAATTCAAATATTAAACTCATTAACACAAAAAGAAATAATATTTTCCCCATGAGGAGAATGTAGAAAAATTTCGAAAAAAAAATACTTCCATAGTTAACGAGTTTCAAGCACAATCTGGACAATTTTTGCAATTTTGGTCGCCATATTGTATCGGCCATTTTGAATTTTGTAAATCTGACATCAAATTTGGATTCAGCGACTCCGAAAACCCCGAAATAACAAATATCAAACAAATCTTTTTTAATTTAAAAAATCTTTAGTCGCCATATTGGATCCGCCATTTTGAATTTTGTAAATGTGACATTACATTTGGAATCAGCGACTCCGAAAACCCCCAAGTGATAAATTTCAAGCAGATCTGTTCAATTTTAAAAATTTTGGACGCCATATTGGATCCGCCATTTTGAATTTTGTGAATATAACCTTAAATTTGCACTCAGCGACCCCAAAAACTTTCTAGTGACAAATTTCAAGCAAATCTGTTAAATTTTAAAAATTTTGGACGCCATATTGAATCCGACATTTTGAATTTTGTAAATCTGACATCAAATTTGGATATAGTGACCCCGAAAACCCCCAAGTAACAAATTTCGAACAAATCTGTTTAATTTTAGAAATCTTTGGTCGACATTTTGAATTTATTACCACTAATTTCTATATTTTATACATCAAAGTTTTTTCTTTTCCCGTCATTAATTTCAAAGTGCAAAATTTTATTGTTATCAAAATTGAAATGTTCTTAGTCAACAGAATTTATTTTCTTTACTTGAAACGTTTTGCTATACGTTAGGTAAAGTACGTTGCGCGCGCAACTTTCAACGTCCAATCAGACGAGACTTGCGCGCGCATCCAAACTTAACCTATAAAGCAAGCTTTCAATACGTATACACAAAATTTATTAAATAGAAAAATGTAACGTACCAGCAGATGGAAGTAGATCGTCCAAAGATCCATCGTCAAGATCAGTAGCTGAGAGTAAAAGGTCGTCATCCGATGAAGCTCTGGTTAAACTGGGTAATGTTGACGTAAGAAGTGCTTTTTCTTTTTCAATTTCCTTGATATGACCAACAAGAATAGCCTCTTCCTCATCACTTCGATCCCTCTCCGTTTCGACAGTTGTCCCCCTGGACACTGCGCTCGACGACGTGACATTCAATTCTTCAGGGCTGAAAATTTTCGACGATCTCAAACTCGACAGCCTGTGCGTTGCCGTATGACACGCAGTCTCCAATGTATTAATATCAGCCAATGTCGCTCGTACAACTCTCAATTTTTCCTGAACAATCGTCTCGACACATCGTGTCTGCCTACCAACGTCCTGCAATGAATCCTGCGCCGGCAGCACTCGATTAGTCCTCAAAATACACGGCGCAAAAACTATCGCCAATGCCGATGGTGACATTCGATTATCCTCCTCATGTCGTGCAACTCTCGCCAAATGAACAATGAGCCGTTCCATAAGATCGAAATTTGGTTTCGGCAATTTTTTCAGAATTGCAAATAGAGTACTGATCCGATCGTGAGGATCCGTTAAGCTCGCCGCATGCAGGAAGTCGTCATAGTATTCGTAGGTGAGTAATGGCTCCGGCATATCGCGGAAGAAACTCTTGAGAACAGCGGCTAGAACGTGGACTTGATAATTCTCAAAGTCCACTTTTTCTAAATCGCCTTCGTCCATTTTTGTTTTTAGTTCCTTTACTTTTGAGCTGACGCCGCTCTTTCGGTAAATACCCTCGGTGTATAAACCACGCATTTCGATTGTCGTTATTAGACGATCGACAACCAACGGCACTTTTCCATCTCCAGAATCGAGTTTATAAAGCGGAACTCCGAAGACATGTCTTGAATTAATCTCGCTAATGGATCCTTCCTTACCGCATTCGGAAGCTTTCGTGTAACACTTTTTATGGCAAGTGAGCTTGCAATTCTGACAAACGAGTCCCCTTTCAATCGGCCACATAAAAAAGGACGTACAAACTTCGCAGGCTGTTGGTATGTTTATGATCGTCAACTGGAACGTATGATTCCCATGGCGGATAGGTTCTTCCTGCTTCCTCTTCTTCTCCTTTTTTCGTTTACTTTTACTCTGCTTTTCAATAGCTTCGGTCTTCGATAGCTTCATGAACTCGTTCATAAAACCCCTAAAAGCATTCACTCCCATTGACACCGGGAAATCTTCCCTCGTATTCTCCTGCTTACAGACCGTTTCAATCACATGAAGAAAGTTAGCAATCAGATCCGTATACTTGATATTCCCCTCAATCCCCTGTTGAATCGCGACACTATAAGTAATCACCAAATCATCCTTAAATTTCCTCAGAGCCTGTTTAAAAACCCGATCCACATCATTACGTTTCCCCCCTTCCTCCTGACTCTCCATCGCATAAATTTTCTTCGTTATAAAATCCTGCATCAACGCCAATTCTTTAGCATCGGAAATAATTTTATCCGTACTGTCCGAGAAGGCCGACGTCCCCGTCAAACTAAACTTGGAAGTAACTCCCTGCTTCACATTCTCATAGATCATTCGTCCCGTTTTCTTCCGATTCCTTCGATTCGGTGCATTCGCCATACTACAAGGCATCTTCAGCACTCCTCCATTCTGTATACACTTGACATGATACAATTGCTTACAATCATTACACTTATAACCCTGCGTGACAAATGCGTCCATTTTAGCATGACAGCAAACACAGACGTCGTCTTTTGAAAATCGGGCAACTTTTCTAAATCGATGACCAGCCAGAGTGAAATAATTCCCCTTCCATTCGATACTCTCCGATGCGTGTTTAAAATCAGGACTATTGTCCGTTTGCTTCTCATCACCAAGACCCGAGACTTTTGTCGCTGGATCTGAATTTCTTCTTCTCAATTCAAAACTAGATATGGCGTTAGATCGCGCACGTTTTGTCTGATCCTTGAATGGGACATCACTTTTATTCACCGACCAATCGGTGACATTTCTCAAACTAGTCTCATTAGTTTCCTTATTCATCCAAACGTTCGCTTTTAAATCACTTTCGCGAATTGTCCCGAGAAATAGGTTTCGATTCTCGTTCGTAGTCACTTCAGTTGCACTTTCACCCATTGATCGACATTGGACTTCACGTGGAAGTCTATTTCGCCTTGCAATTCTCACAGGAACGTCAGGTTCGGCCTTCTCCTTAGTTCGTAATGTTCGATCCCTTAAAACCGTTTCTTTTGAGGTTGCAATTTTACCCAAAGTTTCAAGTTCGGGTTTCAAATTTGTGTCGCCTTCCGAATTCTGCCTTCGTAAATAACCGTAATCCTTGATGGACTTATTGTAAATATCCCGTCTTGAGGGCGAACAATGAAGATTTTCCTCGTTCTGATAAGTATTATCACTGAGTCTTCTTTGTTCCCTACAAGTAGGATTCACAATTTTTACATTATAATTCGAGGCTTCGTTGAGTCTTTCAAGTCTCGCTTGTTCCAAAAGTGTTTCAGTCAAATTTCTGTATTGCGAAACATTTGGCGAACGTGTTACAGTTGCTTTTTGGGGAATTTGCATCAAATAATCGTAACTTGTTGGCGGTAAATCGGAACGTTTCTTCCAAATATCGGAACTATTGGGATTTTGTTGGGTGATGTTTAATGAGGAGAGATGATAGGCCATGTCTCGATTACTTGAGAATGGAGCGGTGTTGGAAAACGGGGGGGCACTGTGAACTGCACTTGGAGTTTCGGCATCTGTATCACCGTCACTGTAACCAGTCGATGAACTGTCTGTCCTTTTATTTGACAATTGGCTGGCAGTTGTATTTGTTAGGCTAGTGTTAGCAGTTGCTGTTACGGATGTTTGTTGATCATTGCGTCTTGTTCTCATGCTCGGTATGGGTTTGGAATTTTCCTGCGAATGATGTGACTCTGAACTATCAATACTGAGCTGAGATTCATAACTGCGGAGGCTCGCTAAACTTTCTAAGCTTCCTTTTCTCTCATTGCTGACATCTGGATAGAATGTTTCACTCGACTTTGACATTGATATTGGATCATTAAAAAAGCGTTTACTTGGTACCTTTCGGTAAGCGAGACTCGAATCGAATGATGGCTCTTGATTGATGTCATCGACTCTGAAAAAGACAATTTACATACCATTTACAAAAACCATTTTTCATTTAACTAATTTTTAAAGTGTTTCAAACAGATTTTAAGGGATTACAAATCAGGATTGCCACAAAAATTTAACTTTATTTTTCTCTGCCTTTTCCCTGTCTTTCCCTGAATTCCAGACACAATTTTGACTTTTTCCCTGACCCTAATTATTCTGATTAACTCTAAAAATTATTAGATACTCAAAAAAATTTTCTATAACATTTATTTACAAATTTCTTCAAAAGTAAAATTATTCGAAAACATCAATAGTTTTATTTAAAATAAATATATTTAATCATTTTTTTCATTGGAATTAAAATGTTCAAAAATTTCAAATTCAAACCTTTTCAAATTGAACAAAAATATTATTATGAAACATAAAGAAGATTTTGTTTAAATAATTGAAATTTTGCCAAAAATATTATTAAAATTATTGAAAATAATTGAATTTCGAAGAAGAATTTTATTTTTTATAAAGATAATTTAATTCTTGACGAGAATTTTTAAAAAATTTTGAAAATAATTTAATTTTTGCAAAGTATTTTATTACTTTTCAAAAGAATTGAATTCTTTTAATAAATTTCGATGTTTATCAAAATAATTGAATTTTGAAAAAGAATTTTATTAAAATTCCTTAGAATAATTGATTTTAAGGAAAGAATTTTGTTGTTTATCAAGCTAATTAAATTCCTTTGCAGAATTACTTAAAAAAAATTGAAAATAATTCATTTTCTGCGACGAATTAAATGTTATTTATGAAAATATTTGAATTATTGCAACGAATTCTATTATTTTACTAGCCAAACTATTCGCGCGCAAGCGCGCAGGATTGTTGTATGGGGCTGCTTATTTTAAACAATTTAAAAAATTTTAAAGAAATAATTATTATAACCTAACAAAGAGATTTAACTAACTAAAATTCAAATAATTTCACTCAATGGTCTCAATTTAAATAGAATTTACATTACTAGACTTAATCTATGGCTAGAACAATTACAATTAGTATCTAAGTCATCTTTTCCATTGCTTATTTTATAAAGCCATTTTAAATTAAATACTTTTTAAAGAAATAATAATTATTACACACTGAAAAAAGTTTTACTTGAAATAGCGATAAGTTTCTCTAGAATAACGAAAGTATTAATTGAAGCACTGAAAAATTTCGCTACTAAAGTGAAATCTGTAGTTCATCCAGCTAAATATTTTTTGCCGTGCATAACGAAAAAAGAATTAAATTAACATCAGATTTTCTACATTAAAAAAAAACGAATTCAAATAGAAATTAATCATTTTACAACTTAACCAAATTCACCCCAGAAATCACTGAATTCGATAATTTAGAAGAAAGTCAGACAAAAGCAGGGTTCCTACAGAATCCGGAAATCATGGAAATCATGGAAATGGTATGAAATTTTTAAAAGGCTTCTGGAAATCAGGGAAATCATGGAAAGGCCTGGAATTTTTAAAAGTTTCTAAATTTTTTCAGTTTTCCATTTTTTCTCTTGAATAAAAATTTAAATAATAATAAAGCTAAATGGCATAAAAGAGAAGAAAAAATGTTAAATTTTAAGAAAATCGGATTTTTGAATTTTTTCGAATTTTTTATAATTTTAGATTTTTTACCAAAGAGTCGAGACAATTTATTAAGTAAAGTATTTTCCAAAAGCACAAAAATAATGAAGCTAAATCCCATAAAAGAGAGGAAAAAATGTTGAATTTTAAGAAATTCGGATTTTTGAATTTTTGATAATTTTCCATAATTTTAGATTTTTTACCAAAGAGTCGGGACAATTTAATAAGTAAAGTATTTTCCAAAAGCACAAAAATAATAAAGCTAAATGGCATAAAAGAGAAGAAAAAATGTTGAATTTTAAGAAATTCGGATTTTTGAATTTTTGATAATTTTCGATAATTTTAGATTTTTTACCAAAGAGTCGGGACAATTTAATAAGTAAAGTATTTTCCAAAAGCACAAAAATAATGAAGCTAAATCCCATAAAAGAGAGGAAAAAATGTTGAATTTTAAGAAATTCGGATTTTTGAATTTTTGATAATTTTCCATAATTTTAGATTTTTTACCAAAGAGTCAAGACAATTTAATAAGTAAAGTATTTTCCAAGAGCACAAAAATAATAAAGCTAAATGGCATAAAAGAGAAGAAAAAATGTTGAATTTTAAGAAATTCGGACTTTTGAATTTTTGATAATTTTCGATAACTTTAGATTTTTTACCAAAGAGTCGAGACAATTTAATAAGTAAAGTATTTTCCAAAAGCACAAAAATAATGAAGCTAAATCCCATAAAAGAGAGGAAAAAATGTTGAATTTTAAGAAATTCGGATTTTTGAATTTTTGATAATTTTCGATAATTTTAGATTTTTTACCAAAGAGTCGAGACAATTTATTAAGTAAAGTATTTTCCAAAAGCACAAAAATAATGAAGCTAAATCCCATAAAAGAGAGGAAAAAATGTTGAATTTTAAGAAATTCGGATTTTTGAATTTTTGATAATTTTAGATATTTTCAGATTTTTCACCAAAGAGTCGGGACAATTTAATAAGTAAAGTATTTTCCAAAAGCACAAAAATAATGAGGCTAAATCCCATAAAAGAGAGGGAAAAATGTTGAATTTTAAGAAATTCGGATTTTTGAATTTTTGATAATTTTCGATAACTTTAGATTTTTTACCAAAGAGTCGAGACAATTTATTAAGTAAAGTATTTTCCAAAAGCACAAAAATAATAAAGCTAAATGGCATAAAAGAGAAGAAAAAATGTTGAATTTTAAGAAATTCGGATTTTTGAATTTTTGATAATTTTCGATAATTTTAGATTTTTTACCAAAGAGTCGGGACAATTTAATAAGTAAAGTATTTTCCAAAAGCACAAAAATAATGAAGCTAAATCCCATAAAAGAGAGGAAAAAATGTTGAATTTTAAGAAATTCGGATTTTTGAATTTTTGATAATTTTCGATAATTTTAGATTTTTACCAAAGAGTCGAGACAATTTAATAAGTAAAGTATTTTCCAAAAGCACAAAAATAATAAAGCTAAATGGCATAAAAGAGAAGAAAAAATGTTGAATTTTAAGAAATTCGGATTTTTGAATTTTTGATAATTTTCCATAATTTTAGATTTTTTACCAAAGAGTCGAGACAATTTAATAAGTAAAGTATTTTCCAAGAGCACAAAAATAATAAAGCTAAATGGCATAAAAGAGAAGAAAAAATGTTGAATTTTAAGAAATTCGGATTTTTGAATTTTTGATAATTTTCGATAACTTTAGATTTTTTACCAAAGAGTCGGGACAATTTAATAAGTAAAGTATTTTCCAAAAGCACAAAAATAATGAAGCTAAATCCCATAAAAGAGAGGAAAAAATGTTGAATTTTAAGAAATTCGGATTTTTGAATTTTTGATAATTTTCGATAATTTTAGATTTTTTACCAAAGAGTCGGGACAATTTAATAAGTAAAGTATTTTCCAAAAGCACAAAAATAATGAAGCTAAATCCCATAAAAGAGAGGAAAAAATGTTGAATTTTAAGAAATTCGGATTTTTGAATTTTTGATAATTTTGGATAATTTTAGATTTTTACCAAAGAGTCGAGACAATTTAATAAGTAAAGTATTTTCCAAAAGCACAAAAATAATAAAGCTAAATGGCATAAAAGAGAAGAAAAAATGTTGAATTTTAAGAAATTCGGATTTTTGAATTTTTGATAATTTTCGATAATTTTAGATTTTTTACCAAAGAGTCGGGACAATTTAATAAGTAAAGTATTTTCCAAAAGCACAAAAATAATGAGGCTAAATCCCATAAAAGAGAGGGAAAAATGTTGAATTTTAAGAAATTCGGATTTTTGAATTTTTGATAATTTTCCATAATTTTAGATTTTTTACCAAAGAGTCGAGACAATTTAATAAGTAAAGTATTTTCCAAGAGCACAAAAATAATAAAGCTAAATGGCATAAAAGAGAAGAAAAAATGTTGAATTTTAAGAAATTCGGATTTTTGAATTTTTGATAATTTTCGATAACTTTAGATTTTTTACCAAAGAGTCGAGACAATTTAATAAGTAAAGTATTTTCCAAAAGCACAAAAATAATGAAGCTAAATCCCATAAAAGAGAGGAAAAAATGTTGAATTTTAAGAAATTCGGATTTTTGAATTTTTGATAATTTTCCATAATTTTAGATTTTTTACCAAAGAGTCGGGACAATTTAATAAGTAAAGTATTTTCCAAAAGCACAAAAATAATGAAGCTAAATCCCATAAAAGAGAGGAAAAAATGTTGAATTTTAAGAAATTCGGATTTTTGAATTTTTGATAATTTTCGATAATTTTAGATTTTTTACCAAAGAGTCGAGACAATTTATTAAGTAAAGTATTTTCCAAAAGCACAAAAATAATGAAGCTAAATCCCATAAAAGAGAGGAAAAAATGTTAAATTTTAAGAAATTCGGATTTTTGAATTTTTGATAATTTTCCATAATTTTAGATTTTTTACCAAAGAGTCGGGACAATTTAATAAGTAAAGTATTTTCCAAAAGCACAAAAATAATAAAGCTAAATGGCATAAAAGAGAAGAAAAAATGTTGAATTTTAAGAAATTCGGATTTTTGAATTTTTGATAATTTTCCATAATTTTAGATTTTTTACCAAAGAGTCGGGACAATTTAATAAGTAAAGTATTTTCCAAAAGCACAAAAATAATGAAGCTAAATCCCATAAGAGAGAGGAAAAAATGTTGAATTTTAAGAAATTCGGATTTTTGAATTTTTGATAATTTTGGATAATTTTAGATTTTTACCAAAGAGTCGAGACAATTTAATAAGTAAAGTATTTTCCAAAAGCACAAAAATAATAAAGCTAAATGGCATAAAAGAGAAGAAAAAATGTTGAATTTTAAGAAATTCGGATTTTTGAATTTTTGATAATTTTCGATAATTTTAGATTTTTTACCAAAGAGTCGGGACAATTTAATAAGTAAAGTATTTTCCAAAAGCACAAAAATAATGAGGCTAAATCCCATAAAAGAGAGGGAAAAATGTTGAATTTTAAGAAATTCGGATTTTTGAATTTTTGATAATTTTCCATAATTTTAGATTTTTTACCAAAGAGTCGAGACAATTTAATAAGTAAAGTATTTTCCAAGAGCACAAAAATAATAAAGCTAAATGGCATAAAAGAGAAGAAAAAATGTTGAATTTTAAGAAATTCGGATTTTTGAATTTTTGATAATTTTCGATAACTTTAGATTTTTTACCAAAGAGTCGAGACAATTTAATAAGTAAAGTATTTTCCAAAAGCACAAAAATAATGAAGCTAAATCCCATAAAAGAGAGGAAAAAATGTTGAATTTTAAGAAATTCGGATTTTTGAATTTTTGATAATTTTCCATAATTTTAGATTTTTTACCAAAGAGTCGGGACAATTTAATAAGTAAAGTATTTTCCAAAAGCACAAAAATAATGAAGCTAAATCCCATAAAAGAGAGGAAAAAATGTTGAATTTTAAGAAATTCGGATTTTTGAATTTTTGATAATTTTCGATAATTTTAGATTTTTTACCAAAGAGTCGAGACAATTTATTAAGTAAAGTATTTTCCAAAAGCACAAAAATAATGAAGCTAAATCCCATAAAAGAGAGGAAAAAATGTTAAATTTTAAGAAATTCGGATTTTTGAATTTTTGATAATTTTCCATAATTTTAGATTTTTTACCAAAGAGTCGGGACAATTTAATAAGTAAAGTATTTTCCAAAAGCACAAAAATAATAAAGCTAAATGGCATAAAAGAGAAGAAAAAATGTTGAATTTTAAGAAATTCGGATTTTTGAATTTTTGATAATTTTCGATAACTTTAGATTTTTTACCAAAGAGTCAAGACAATTTAATAAGTAAAGTATTTTCCAAAAGCACAAAAATAATGAAGCTAAATCCCATAAAAGAGAGGAAAAAATGTTGAATTTTAAGAAATTCGGATTTTTGAATTTTTGATAATTTTCCATAATTTTAGATTTTTTACCAAAGAGTCGGGACAATTTAATAAGTAAAGTATTTTCCAAAAGCACAAAAATAATGAAGCTAAATCCCATAAAAGAGAGGAAAAAATGTTGAATTTTAAGAAATTCGGATTTTTGAATTTTTGATAATTTTCGATAATTTTAGATTTTTTACCAAAGAGTCGAGACAATTTATTAAGTAAAGTATTTTCCAAAAGCACAAAAATAATAAAGCTAAATCCCATAAAAGAGAGGAAAAAATGTTGAATTTTAAGAAATTCGGATTTTTGAATTTTTGATAATTTTCGATAATTTTAGATTTTTTACCAAAGATTCGGGACAATTTAATAAGTAAAGTATTTTCCAAAAGCACAAAAATAATGAAGCTAAATCCCATAAAAGAGAGGAAAAAATGTTGAATTTTAAGAAATTCGGATTTTTGAATTTTTGATAATTTTCCATAATTTTAGATTTTTTACCAAAGAGTCGGGACAATTTAATAAGTAAAGTATTTTCCAAAAGCACAAAAATAATGAAGCTAAATCCCATAAAAGAGAGGAAAAAATGTTGAATTTTAAGAAATTCGGATTTTTGAATTTTTGATAATTTTCCATAATTTTAGATTTTTTACCAAAGAGTCGGGACAATTTAATAAGTAAAGTATTTTCCAAAAGCACAAAAATAATGAAGCTAAATCCCATAAAAGAGAGGAAAAAATGTTGAATTTTAAGAAATTCGGATTTTTGAATTTTTGATAATTTTCCATAATTTTAGATTTTTTACCAAAGAGTCGGGACAATTTAATAAGTAAAGTATTTTCCAAAAGCACAAAAATAATGAAGCTAAATCCCATAAAAGAGAGGAAAAAATGTTGAATTTTAAGAAATTCGGATTTTTGAATTTTTGATAATTTTCCATAATTTTAGATTTTTTACCAAAGAGTCGGGACAATTTAATAAGTAAAGTATTTTCCAAAAGCACAAAAATAATGAAGCTAAATCCCATAAAAGAGAGGAAAAAATGTTGAATTTTAAGAAATTCGGATTTTTGAATTCTTTTCAAATAGAATTCTTTTGAAAAATTTTATTGAAATCATAGATAATTTAAAATCATTGAATTGTGGAAAATGTTTGAAAATAATTGAAATGCCAAGAATTTTGTGGAACTTTTTGAAAATAATTGAATTTCGGAGAATAATTTTATTATTTATAAAAACAATTTAAATTTTGACGAGAATTTAAAAAAAAATTTTGAACATAATTCAATTTCTACAAAAAATTTTATAACTTTTGAAAATAATTGAATTTTGCAAAGAATTTTATTAAAATTCCTAAAAATAATTGAATTTATGTGAAGAATTTTATTCAAATTCCTAAAAATAATTTAATTTTTGTGAAGAATTTTGTTATTTATCAAGATAAATAAAAATAAATTTGGAAATAATTAATAATATTAAAAAAATCATTCTTGTCAGAAATAGAAAAAATTTTTTGAAGGTTTTCTATTAAAATTCGTGTTAGTTACATAATTTATAAGGCAAACAAAAAAGACAGAAAAAATTCAGAATTTTCTTATGAATTCGAAAAATTTTGTTCTTTCCATTACTTTTAATAAAAAGTCCTGACTTTTCCCTGTTTTAAATTAATTTTCATTTCTGTAAATAAATACCTTGATGGCAAAACTCGTTCATACGGTTCAAGGCGACGAGTGAAGACACTACTTTCTGTGGATGATGAGAAACTTCTTGAATCTTCACTACCGAATCTGGAATAAAATTAAAAATTTAAGACTCCTCAAATATTGTCCTAAAGCAAAAAAAAAAAAAAAAAAAAAAAAAAGAGAAATTCATCAATAACTTACTCTTTATCGCGAACTTCTCCCCTTGCATCCGATCGGAACATAAACTCCCGTTTCTTCTTCCTCTTCATGTCGGCCACTGCTTTTCTAACATTATTACCTCGAACACAAGCTTGGAATGTTATCACACAGCACTTTAATTTCTTGAACCAATTTTGAATCTTATAAGCCCTCCACGCCGATTGTATATGAATGGCAGCCTCAATTCTCGTTCGCAAAGAATGTGCAAATTTCTGCGCCAGTACCATACGCCAAAACGCTTGTATTTGCACAACAGCATTCTTTAATCTCAAAAATTTCCTCCTCTCCAAACAAGCTCTAAACCATTTTTGTATTGTCGTAATACTCGTGATTATTTGCTGATGTAATTTAATGTCTAATTTAATTTTCTCCGATTCACGTAAAAATACTTTGGTTGCTCCAAGTTGATAATTATCATTGTCAAGATTTAATGTCAATAGAAAATGTCTAACATCAGCTTGCGAGCTCAATAGACCCTTTGGAAGGAGCATTCGATATAATTGAATAAATTCCTCATAATTTAATCTCACATTAAAACCAGCTTGTCTGATTCTCACAGTTTCCAACATTCCCGTATATCTCAATTGTCTTTGAACTGTTTCTTCGTCAAATTCATTTGGTACTTTGTTCGCATTACTTTTGATGCATCGAATAAAAAATGGATTCGCCTGATTTAATGTGTCCATTAAACTATGTAAACTTTGTTGAAATTGAGCTGAAACAGTCATTGGTTGTTTGCGCGCCTTTCCAGGACCAGTTCCATAACTTTGCGTTCTACCAGCGAGTGTTTTAACAGTCTGCAAATTTTTAAGACCCTTCTTGCCCCTTTCCCTTGGTCTAAACGATTTATTTTTCCTAAAATCATGAAAGAAAGAAATTAACATATTTTCTTTTAGCGTTTTTTGAATTTAAAAAAAAACTAATTTAGGGGGCGGAGGGGGAATCTAAGTGCGTAATTACATGTGTCTTAAAAATATACCAAATGGTATTTATTTAATGGGAATGATTATAAATGTATAAAGCTCAGTCTAAAGGGCAACATCATAGCAAAGTTTGTTCGGCGCATAAATTATTATGTTACGAAAAAAGGAGATTTATAAAATCTTATTCTCGAGAACTTGCAATCATTAGTAAATTAATTAATTATATTTAATTATAATTCAAATTAACTGAATTTATTATAATTCAAATTAATTAAATATATTATAATTAAAATTACTTGAACTTATTATACAGAGTTGCCATAAAAATTCAATTTTCTTTTTCCCTAATTTCCAGAGAAGAATATTCTAAAATTTCTAAAATTCAATAACTTATAAGAATATTTTATTATAAAACAATAAAATTAATTCTACGCAGAATTATTAATTAAAAGTACGAAAAATTCTGATTTTCAAAGATTTGAATTCGAAACCTTTTCAAAATTCAATTATTTATAAATATTCCCCCCTAATGCTTTTAATATTTTATTATCTAAAATTTTAACTGAAATTATTCATTTTTAAATCAATTTTTATTAGAAAATGCGACGAGAATTCAATTATTTAAATACAAAAATAAATAATTTATTCAATAATTGAATGTTTCTTATAATAATTCAAATTTTTGCAAGAATTTTTTTAAACAATTTTAAAAGTAATTGAATTTCTGTGAAGAATTTTATTATTTATAAAGGTAATTGAAATATTGACGACATTTAAAAAAAAATTTTGAAAATAATATTCAATATCTACAATTTTAGCTGAAATTCATTCTTAACTCAATTTTTATGAGAAAATTCAATGAGAATTCAATTATTTAAATACAAAAATAGATAATTTATTAAATAATTGAATTATTTATGAATTTATGAATTATGAATTATTTATGAAAATAATTGAATCCTTGTAAAAAATTGTATTATCTATGAAGATAATTGAATTATTGCGAAAATATTTATAAAAAAAAATTGTAAATTAAATTCCTGTGAAATTTTTATTAGTTATGAAAATAATTAAATGTTTGAGTAAAATTTTATTAAAAATTTTTTTAAATAATTCTTTTGGGAAATTTTATTTAAAATAGAAGAAAATTGAAAATCATTGAATTAAGAAAATTTTTTTGAAAATAATTGAATTTTTGCCATGAATTCTATTAAAATTTTTGAAAATAATTGAATTATTGTAATAAATACTATTGTTTATGAAAATAATTGAATTTTTACAATAAATTTTATTAAAATTCCTGAAAATAATTGAATTTTGTCGAAGAATTTTATTATTTATAAAGATAATTGAAATGTTGAGATATTTTTTTTTAGATTTTTTGAAAATAATTGAATTCTTTCCATGAATATTGTTATTTACGAAAATAATTGAATTTTACAATTAATTTTATTCAAATTCCTGAAAATAATTGAATTTTTAGGAAAATTTTTTTATTTATCAAGATAATTGAATTCAATTGAAGAATTGCATTAAATTTTCTTTGAAATTTCAACATTATTGCAATTAAACTTTCTCAAAAAAATTAATTCCACAAAATTGTTAGTTAAAAATATGAAAAATTCCAATTTTCAAAAATTTTAAATTCAAACCTTTTTAAAATTCAATTATTTCTAAAAATTCACGCTCTAATGTTTTTAGTATTCAATTATAATGTAAAATTTTAACTGAAATTCATTTTTAAATTAACTTTTTGTTGGAAAATTCTAAGAGAAATTAATTATTTAAATAGAAAAATAAATAATTTTAATGAATAATTTAATGTTTCTCAAAATTGACTTCTCATAAAGAATTTTATCAACAAATTTTTAAATAACTGAATTTTTTTTGACGAATTTTAATAAAATTTTTCAGAATAATTACATTTTTCGAGGAATTTTATTAAAATTGTATTAAAAATAATTGAAATTTTACGATGAGTTTTTAATATTTATGAAAATAATTGAATTTCGGTAAAAAATTTTATTATTTATGAAAATAATTGAATGGCAGTAAAAAATTTTATTATATTTATCAAGATAATAATTGAAATCTTTCAAAGAATTGCGTTAAATTTTTGTGAGATCTCAACAAAATTAAAATATAAATTGAAAAAAAATTAGTTTCACAGAATTGTCAATGAAAAGTATAGAAAGTTTAAATCTTTCAAAGTTTTTAATTTGAAACTTTTTTCAAATTCAATTATTTCCCATAATTGCTATTATTTATTTCTAACTTCTCAAAAATTCAATTTCTTTTAGTTTTTTTTAAACTAAAATTCTTCTATAAATCCATTATTTTTAATAATTTATGAAATATAAAAAAATTTAACTATTATTTCCAAAGAATTTAAATTATTAAAATTTTTCAAAAATCTAAGTTCTTTAAAATTTTGAATTAAATTAATTAAAAATTGAAATTTTCTAAAAATTCAAATTAAAACCTTTTGAAGAGTTCATTCATTTATGAAAATTGTAATAACTCTTTTAAAATTAATTTTGAAATATTTAAGTAACATTATTCACTAAATAATTTTATGAAAGTTCGTTAAGAATTAGGTCATTTAAAAGAAAAAAAAAATTTATTTATTTTAATTCATGTTCTAAAATTTTGCGCCGTATTTGACATTGATGTTGCTATCTACTAGAAAATTTTCTCAGTCACCATTCCCATTGGTAAATGAAACAAAGGATTAGTCATTAGACTGTAATTATACAGGCAGGCAGGCATTTTCTGAAGACTGCAGGAAAGCATGATTTTGTTATCAAGTGAACGCGCACTGAAGAAAGGTGTCCAAATAGCAAAAAATCGTAACTTTTAAAGTAATAGTATAAAAATGGGACCCCCCCACCCTCCCCTGGTCTTCATTACCCCTGAAATTAATTATAAAAACTGATTTTTGTGTTAAATTTTCGAATTTAAATTAAAATTTAAAAAGCTTGAATTAATGAAGGTAACATTGTGTGAAACATAACCTTAAAACTTCTTCGGTATCTTTTTTCAATGCGCGCCACATTCATGCAGGGTTATTCAATGAACTCAAGTATTACAGAATTGATTAGTGGCCAATCAAGTGAAAAAACTGTATAAAAAATAAACATGCAAAATGAATTAATTTTCCTCTCGAATAATTTTTTTTTTTCTAAAGATCTAAAATATATATAGAAACTCTATAGAAACTACCACCTAATTTCTACCATAGTCTATAAAAATCCTAGAACATGCTTTTTTGATCCGTTGGTGCAAAACACGTGATTGGCGAAAAAATGAAAAATGTGTAACCCCGTAACCATTTTTTTTTCAAAAATATTTGTGTATAAGTGTGCTTAAAACTACGAGACAATTTTCTTTATAAAGTAAGAAAATGTTTACAAGGAAAAATTGTCTTCCTTTAAAGATTCTACAAGAATAATTACACCATATTACCTAAACGAAGAAACCCATAAAACCCGCGGTAGAGAGAAACACTCGTGGTGTTATAAAATTATCCTCGCACATTTAATTTCTATTTTTTTATTTTTAGCTTATGATGAATTATCAAATAGGTGCGATGAGATTTACATACATGACAATTCGATTTGCACGTTCCATAACGTTCGCTTCGTCTTTTGGAAGTACCCTCTCTAGTGGCGTGTGTGTATCACGCCTGAATTTATTATTACTATTGGACTGCTCATCCCTTCCCCTGACAATGTAACTTTTTGCCGTTACAATCGTAGGCTGTTGCATCTGATTAATATTTCTAAATTGTGGCCATGATAAACGATTGTTGTTAACACTGTCGTTGTTTTCAATTTGTGTGACAGTTAATGTGGCTGATGGGGTGGTCGATGGTAAGCAGACACTGCGCTGCTTCTGATAACTTGGCGGGCGAATTTGTTTGTGCGCACTGAAAAATGCCTTCATGCTTAGCTACCTCTCTCTCTTCAATATTTCAAAAAAAAAAAAAAAACTTTTTTTTCCCCTGGTTCTAAATTTATTTTCATTCTTTTGCAAAAAGTTAAGCATGTCTCTCGTCTCTTTTTCTCAAATTCTTAATTTTAATAATGCAATAATGATGATGAAATAGCAATGAACAGTTTTATAACAGATTAATATCGCTACAATTTTATACATTTTTACCAAAGTTTTGCAGTCATGCTTTACAGGGTTGCCACAAAAATTAAATTTTATTTCTCCCTGATTTCTACACAAAATTTTAACTTTTCCCCTAAGAAATATTCTGATTCACTCTAAAAATTATTAGATACTCAAAAAAAAAAAAGTTCTACTATACATTTATTTACGAATTTCCTTTATAATTGGAAAATTATTCCAAAACACCAATAACTTCATCTTTAAATAAATATAAATTCTTCGCAACAATTCAATTATTTTCAAAATATTTCAAAAGAATTCAATTACTTTCTGAAATTTTAATAAAATTCAATAATTAATTGTTTAATTTTTTGACAAACACGATTATTTTAAAAACTTCAAAAAAATTGTCCAATAAAACTCAATAATTTACAAAATTTTTTATTTGAAATTATTAAAAAAAACTCCATTATTTAAAAAAAAATTCAAAGAAATTTTTCAAAAATAATTTAATTAGAATTTTAAAATTGAAAATATTTAAAAAGAAATATTATTAAAAACGTTAAGATACATAAATGCAAACCACAACTAATTATATTTTTAAATAATCGACTTCTTTCGTCAAATTAAAATAATTTTTTTTTTAAATTGCAATTTTTGAGAAGTTTAATTAAAATTGAATTAAAAATAATTGAAATTCTGCATTGAATGTTATTGTTTATAAAAATAATTGAATTCCTAAAAATAATTTTATAATTTAGGCAAATAATTGAATTATTGCGAAGAAATTTTGAAAATAATTGAAATTTTTCCAAGAATTTCTTTTAAACATTTTAAAAATAATTGAATTTCTGTGAAGGATTTTATTATTTATAAAAATAATTAAAATATTGACGAAATTTGAAAAAAAATTTTTTGAAAATAATATTCAATTATAATCTGTAATTTTAACTGGAATTCATTTTTATATCAATTTTTTAAGAAATTTTTAAATAATTGAATTCTTTTGACGAATTTTAATAAAATTTTTCAGAATAATTACATTTTTCGAGAAATTCTATTAAAATTACATTAAAAATAATTAAAATTCTGCGTTTGATTGAGTTTGATTATTAATGAAAATAATTGAATTCTTGTAAAAAATTGTATTATCTATGAAAATAATTGAATTATTGCGAAAATATTGATAAAAAAAAATTGTAAATAATTCAATTCCTGTGAAATTTTTATTAGTTATGAAAATAATTAAATGTTTGAGTAAAATTTTATTAAAATTTTTTTTAAATATTTCTTTTGGGAAATTTTATTTTAAATAGGGAGAATATTGAAAATCATTGAATTAAGAAAATTTTTTTGAAAATAATTGAATTTTTGCCATGAATTCTATTAAAATTTTTGAAAATAATTGAATTCTTGTGATGAATACTATTGTTTATAAAAATAATTGAATTTTTGCAATTTTATTAAAATTCCTGAAAATAATTGAATTTTGTCGAAGAATTTTATTATTTATAAAAATAATTGAAATGTTGAGATATTTTTTTTAAAAAATTTTTTGAAAATAATTGAATTTTTGCGAAGAATGTTATTAATTTTGAAAATAATTGAATTCTTGTGATGAATATTGTTATATTTGAAAATAATTGAATTTTACAATTAATTTTATTAAAATTCCTGAATATAATTGAATTTCGGGGGAGAATTTTGCTATTTATATTCAAATAATTGAAATGTTAACGAGAATTTTTTTTTACAATTTTTGAATATTGAATTGAAATAATTGAAATTTCTGGAAAAAGAAAATTCAGAATATTCTTATAAATTCTAAACATTTAATTTTTTCCACTACTTTTAATAAAAATCCCTGACTTTTCCCTGATTTCCCCCAGACCTGTGGCAACCCTGGCTTAAGAAGAGTTGTAGAGAAATGTAAATGCATTAATGTGGGGGCAAAAAACAATGATTATGACGCGATTATGAAAACTAATTCTAAAACACAATACATTAAAGTGCGAACAGACATTAATTTTCGAAATTTATAAATTTAATATGAAACATTCAATTCTAGAACATTATGGATTTACAATATTGTCTATTTTCATTTAACTTTACGAAACTTTTTTTCATTTTAATTTAAAGTTTTGCAAATCCATAAGTATTTTCTTTTTTTTATTTTCTGAACAAACACACATAGTGGATCGAAGACCACTTACGCTATTCGGTTAATAGCAAGATTCACGGCCGATAACGTCACAAGATGGCTACAAGGACAAAAGACAATGTGTCCATCGTAAATGCAATTTTATCTATTATTACTATTCTCAAAGAAAAGAAAACTCTCTCTCAACTCTTCGTAATTGAAATTTAAACTGCTGAATTTTGTTTTCAAAGGCAAAGAATAATATAATTTTTTTTTGACAAATAGGCTAAAAATCAAACATTTAAGAAAAGTGTTAGTTAAATTTAGTTCCTTTCTCCTTTTAAAAAAAAATCATCAGGCACACAGACATAGATCAAAATTGTAAATTTATACTACTGACCTTATTAAATTCTCATTTGGTGTTCTATATCTGTTCTGTACAGAAGTTTTACTCCCGTCCGCTGAAATTATACACAAAAATTAATTAAAATAATAATAATAATAATAATAATAATAATAATAATAATAATAATAATATCAGGCTTTCACACTCAATAATTAATTTTAAATAAAAAGAATCGAAAAGTAGGTTTAATACTGAAAAAAGTAGTGAAAACTACTGCATTTGATAATAAGGGAATTTGTGATGCAAATTTCCCGAAAAAATAAAAAAAAAATAAAATAAAATAGAAGAAATTCTTACTTCTGCCATGCCGATGAATTCTTCCAGCCTCTTGAAATGCAAAATGAGCGCGAAAGAAAGCGCGAAGTATCGCCCATCGAAACACAGCAACTGGATCAGCACCAACTAATTCTCGGACAAATGCAAGTGAGGAATTTTTCAATACACCAACAACACCATCTGGTCGCATCAAATCGAGATTCTTTTCTCTCATATTTGACGTCTGATATTTCACCGAGCCAGCGTAATGACGAACAACAAAAGCAGCCTCACGTCGTTGAGGTGCTTCATAAAATGGATTGTCCTTATGAACGGAATTGAATTTTTGCAAAAGCGTCTCATTTGTAGCACCAGGAAAACTGAAAAAGCAAATTTCTTCTTCTATTTTCTATTCCACAATAAAAAAAAAATTAATATTTTGCCGAAAAAAAAGCTTAAAGTAAAGAATTATTATTATTTATTTTAAAAATTATTAAATTAAAGAAACTTACTTGCACTGATCGTCCAAAAGGCACAAAAGTCCATTAGGCTTACCCTCGATAAGATTTAAGCAAGCTGAATTATCACTGTAACCAATGTCTGTCCATCTTATATTTTGCTTTCGATATTCCCTTTGTTCGTATTGAAATACATGTTGATTGAAATAATGTTGCAATTGTTCGTTGGCATAATTAATACAAAGTTGTTCGAAACTATTGCATGTTTTGAAATCCTCAAATCCAAAAATATCGAGGACACCTATGCTGTTGCCTTGATGATCTCGAAGTGTATCTTTCTTCGAGAGAAGCGCATGATTCACCTAGAGTTCAAGAAATTTTTTTTTTAATTGCACATTAAAAGGAGAAATACCTATAAAATTTAGACGCTTCTAATGAAATTATAATTTTTAATTTTAATCGTTTTTTTTTTAAATTTTCAGACATTTTGTAATTTTAAAAACTTACTCTACAAATGATTAGACACTCAAAATTAGACACTCAAGATTATTTGGAAATTCTTCAATTAAATAATATATTAGAAAATAAAAACAACAAATAATTTCAATAAAAATTCAATTGAACTTTTTTCAAAAAAATTAATTCTACAGAATTGTTAGTTAAAAGTATGAAAAATTCAGATTTTCAAAGATTTTAATCTGAAACCATTTCAAAATTTAATTATTTCTGAAAATTCAAGTATAATGCTATTGATATTCAATTATTATCTAAAACTTTAATAGAAATTAATTTTTAAATCAATTTTCATTAGAAAATTCTACGAGAAATCAATTATTTAAATACAAAAATAAAAAATTTATTGAATAATAGAATATTTCTCATATAAATTTTTTGTAAAATAATTCTCATAAAGAATTTTATCAACAAACTTTTTAAATAATTGAATTTTTTTTTAATGATTTTTAATAAAATTTTAAAGAATAATTATTTACAGTTTTCGAGGAATTCGATTAAAATTGTAATAAAAATAATTGAAATTCTGCAATCCGTTTAATTAATTATAAAAAGGATTGAATTTCTAAAAAGAAATGTATTATTTTATGAGAATAATTGAATCTCTGTAAAAAATTTTATTATTTAGGAAAATAATTGAATTATTGCAAAGAAATTCATAAAAAAAACATAAATAATTGAATTATTGCGAAGAAATTTATAAAAAGTTTGTAAATAATTAAATTCCTGTGGAATTTTTATTATTAATGAAAATAATTAAATATTTGCGTAGAATTTTATCAAAATTTTCTTTAAATAATTGAATTATTTTGAAAAAATTTATTAAAATAGTAAATTATTGAAAATTATTAAATTGTGAAAAATTTTGAAAATAATTCATTTTCGGAGGAAAATTATATTCCTTTTCAAAATAATTGAATTTCGGCAAAGAATTTTGCTATTTTTATAGATAATTGAAATCATGATGAGATTTTTTAAAAAAAATTTTGAAAATAATTATATTTTTCAAAAGAATCTTAGTTCTTTTGAAAAAAAATTGAATTCTTGCAATGAATATCGTTATTTATGAAAATAATTGAATTTTGCAAAGAATTTTATTAAAATTTCTGAAAATAATTGAATTTTTGGGAAGTATTTTGTTATTTATCAAAACAATTGAATTCTTTTGACGAATTTAAATAAAATTTTTCAGAATAATTACATTTTTCGAGGAATTCGATTAAAATTGTATTAAAAATGCTTATCAAAATTTTTTCTAAATAATTAAATTCTTTCGGAAAATTTTCGAAAATAATTGAAATTTTGACATGAATTAAATTTTTTAAAAATAATTGAATTTGCGGAGAAGAATTTTATTATTTATAAAGACAATTGAAATTTTGACTCGAATTTTTTTTTTTAATTTTTGAACATAATTTAATTTTTGCGAAGAATTTTTTTACTTTTGAAAATAATTGAATTTCTGCAATAACTTGTAACTTCTTCAAAATTCAATTATTTCAATGTTTTTAACTAAAATTTTTCTATAAATCTATAACTTTTTTTATAATAATTAATAAATATTAAAAAATTTAACTAATTTCTAAAGAATTTGAATAATTAAAATTTTTAAAAAATCTAAGTTCTTTAAAATTTCTAATTAAATTAATTCAAAATTGAAATTTTATAAAATTTGAAATTAAAACCTTTTGAAGTTCATCTATTTATAAAAATTTTAAATACAACTCTTTCAAAATTCAATTAATTTTGAAATATTTAAAGTAAAATTATTCATTAAATATTTTCTAAATAATAATTTAATGGTAGTTCTTCAAGAATTAAGTTATTTAAAAAGAAATTATTGTCAGAAATAGAAAAAATTGAAGGCTTTGTGTTTGAATTCTTGATAATTTGACTCAGATCATCTATAAAAAAAATAAATAACAAACCTGGAGAACAATCCAATCAAACAGAGCTCCATATAGACATTTAGCCATCGCATCCCTCGCTGCAATCGCTTCTGGAAGTCGATAGTTAATAACAAGCGTTTCTCCCGAAGCTCGTGCACGTTTCGCCGTAAGAGCAGCGAGCAGTGTCTCTTGTTTTACCCTCAATAATTCCGAAATAAGTGCAACAACTTCTGGATTTTTCACACCCACAGCCTCATCATGATGATGATACGATTTCCTCGGTTGGAATTCAACATTACCTGTAAAAAATTCCAATTTAGTAATTTCTAATTTATCGACAAAAGAAAAAGGTATATCGTTTGTTTTTAAAAATTATTAATTACCGAGTAATAAAACAGCTGATAAAACGGCAAACAATCGCCTCTGTTTCTCAGGTGTAAATCCCACCATTTCCATTGATTGTTTCAGTCTTGAAAATTCATGTAACTCATCGACATTCTCCAAGCCATAACAACCACTTTTATTAAGATAATTATATCGATCGCAACTCTCCAAATGAAGTGTTTGCCTCTCCTGATCAGTAGCTCCGGCCAGCAGATAATAAAATACATGATAATTCCTTTCGTTTCTACCTTGCGAAACGATTCGCGATTTCTCGAGTAAATATTTTTGAACCACCGCACTGTGAAAAAAGGAATAATTTTATTAATTAATAATTGTTTGTTATTAAAGAAATTCATCGATTTAAAAAATTTTTTTTCCATTTTCCGAAAAAACTTACCCATGAACCATTCCATTTTCTTTATAATTCACTTGAATAAATTTACCAAAACGACTGCTATTATTGTTATGCGCTGTTTTAGCATTTCCAAAAGCCTCTAAAACTGGACCGGCGCTCAATATTGTTTGTTCAACGCCACTTCCATGCGAACCCTTTTGACTAAGTGCGGTCAAATGATGTAGAAGAAAATTTGTCGATTCCGTTTTACCCGAACCACTCTCACCACTAATAACAATACATTGATTTTTCTTTTCTTTCAACATACAATGATATGCAGCATCGGCTATTGCAAATATATGCGGTGGAATATCGGTGCCGAGTCTTCGATTTTGATAGAGACTCACATATTTTGGATTGTAAATTGGATAGAATTTAAATGGATTGAGAGCAATTAGAATACTTCCCACGTAGGTATAAATTTTACCAGCTAAAAATCTTGCTCTCAAATTATCCAATAGTGTTTGTTCATTTAAATCGGGAAGCTGACAAAGATCCGGATATTCCTTGTCACGTGGCTGATAAAGGAATCTATTGAAATAGTCCTTTAATAATTGTGGATCCATTGGAAATCTACTGTCTGTCCATACATAATCGGGTTGCTTCTTTCTCAAATAGAACCTGGAAGAATTATTTATTTTTTCTGTTATTACTGAACTAATTTATTTTTATATATTTAATATTTGTTTTAAACTATAAATTGATAAAATTCATCCAAAAATTCAATTATTTTCATAAATTATAAAACCTCCACAGGAATTCAATTAATTTAAAATAGCATTTTCAAAAAAATTTCTAAAAATCAATTATTTAACAAAATTTTTATACAATTCTTCACAATAATTCAATTACTTTCACTAATAATAACATTTTTCTTGGAAATTTAAATTAAAAAAAAAATGTTTGATAAAATTCTAAGCAAGAATTCAATTATTTTCATAAATAATAAAACTCATCGAAGAATTTCAATTATTTTTAATACTATTTTTAAATAATTAATCAAAAAATTCTACTATTTTCACAAATAAAGTTTTCCACAAAAATTCAATTATTTAAAATAAAAGTTTTATATTTATTATATTTCGAGAAAAGCAATTATTTAAAATAATGTTTCTAAAATTTGTATAAAGAATTCAATTATTTTCAAAAATAACAAAATTTTTCACAGAAATTCAATTCTTTTGAAAATATTTTAATAATATTTTTAATAATAATATTTTTATTTTCGCAATAAATCAATTATTTTAATAAATAATAAAATACTTCTGAGGAATTCAATTATTTTTGAAAATTTTGTAAAAAATTCTTTGCAACTATTCAATTATTTTCAAAAAAATTTTCTTAATTCAATGATTTTCAATATTCTCCTATTTTAAATAAAATTTCCCAAAAGAATTATTTAAAAAACATTTTAATAAAATTTTACTCAAACATTTAATTATTTTCATAACTAATAAAAATTTCACAGTAATTGAATTATTTACAATTTTTTTTTATAAATATTAAAAAAAAATATTTATATTATATTTATATTTATTTTTTATAAATATTTTCGCAATAATTCAATTATTTTCATAAATAATAAAATTCATCGCAGGATTTCAATTATTTTTAATACAATTTGAATCAAATTTCTCGAAAAATTTAATTATTCTAAAAAATTTTATTAAAATTCGTCAAATAATTGAATTATGTTGATTAATAAAAAATTTTTTTTCCATAAATTCAATTATTTTCAGGAATTTTAATAAAGTTCTTTGCAAAATTCAATTATTTTCATAAATAATTACATTCATCGCAAGAATTCAATTATTTTCAAAAGGAATAAAAGTCTTGTCAAAAATTTAATTATTTTCAAAATTAAGAAAAAAATCTCTCCAAGATTTCATTTATCTGTATAAATAGCAATATTCAATTATTTTCATAAATAATAAAATTCTTCTCAGGAATTTAATAATTTTTTAAAATTTTAATAAAATTATTTGCAACTGTTCAATTATTTTCATAAATAATAAAATTCATCGCAGGATTTCAATTATTTTTAATTCAATTTTACAGGAATTGCTCAAAAAATGTAATTATTCTTAAAAATTTAATTTCAATTTCTCGAAGAAATCAATTATTTAAAAAAATGTTTTTTTTATAATTCTTTGGAACTATTCAATTATTTAGGTAAAACAATATTAGAATTTTTCACAGGAATTCAATTATTTTCAAATATTTTAATTAATTTTTTTTGAAATAATTCAATTTTTTTATATTTTAATAATCAAGAATTCAATTATTTACATAAATAATTCTTCGAAGAAATTAAATTATTTACATAAATAATTCTTCGAAAGAATTCAATAACAAAATTATTCCAGAAAATTCAATTATTTTGATGCATTTTAATAAAATTCTTTGAAAAATTCAATTATTTCCAGAAATAACAATATTTATCACAAGAATTCAATTACATATTTTCAAAAGTAATGAATTTCTTCTTGAAAATTCAATTATTTAAAAAAATTCTAATAAAATCGTTCGCAAGAATTCAATTATATATTCATAAATAATAAAATGCTTTTTAGAAATTCAATTATTTCCCAAAAAATATTTAATAAAATGTCACACAGACATTTATTATTTTCAAGAATTTTAGTAGAATTCTTTGTAAAATTTAATTATTTTAAAAAATTTTTCGCAATTCAATGATTTTTAATATCTACTACTTTCATAAAATTTCCAAACAGAATTCAATTATTTAAATTAGAATTTGCATAAAATTAGTGGAAAGAAATCAATTATTTAAAATTTTTTTATAAAATTCTTCACAAGAATTAAATTATTTTTCTAAATATTTAAATTCTTTCATGAATAATAAAATTCGTTGCAGGAATTCAATTTATTAGCAGGATAAGAAAGAAGTTTAATTTTTTATGAAAATTAGGAAAAAGTTAGGAAAATAAATCGAATAGAAATTTTTGTCAGTTTTGTGAAGTGTTTAAAACGTGTTTTTTGGTCGTCAAGTTTAATTTTTTGATAGCTTGTTTTTTTTACTACTTTTTGCTACTTTTTTAAAATTAATTATCGAGTGCGAAGTCTGAGAGTTGGATAGAGAAATTACACCTTCTGCTCGTAGGAAACCACTTTATGTTTTGATTAGTCTTTCTTTGTCCTTTATATATTGAGCTTTCCACGTAATTTTTTCACCAATAAATTCAAACATTTTTTCAACTTGGAGGCACCATTGATAATTATATTTATATTTAAGATTTGTTGAATTCGATAAACTAATAGAACGTAACAGACAAATCTTAGGAAATCTAATTGTCTTTTATGTTTAGAATTTTTTTCGATTAAATTGAGTGTCAGCTTAAAAACTTTACCAAGATAATATTTAACATTGCTCATTACCTGTAATATTCTTGTTGAGCAGCACTTTTTGGCCAGAGTAACATTAGTGCCACGGGACACTCTGTAGGACCAAGTCTTCTTTCTTTACATTCCTGACCAACAGAATTGCCCACAACTTCCGCCAATTCATAGCCAGTTGAGGCTGTACTGTCCTCAAGTTTGAGCTTTTCAATTATACACTCTACAATTTCAGCAGAAGATGTTTGCTTCGTGGCTTTTATTGAAAGTGCCTCGTACTCGGGACTCCATTCTCCCACGAATACTTGCACCACTCCTGAACTACTACCGTCCATGATTTTTAACCCTGGAACAATGAAAATAATTTAATTCCTCAATTCTATTTCAATTTCAGATAAACGGACTCAAGTTTTCAAAAAGGAAGTTTTTTCAAGTTACACTTCATTTTTATGTTCGTATTTTTAAAAAATTCGAAACTGACCATCATCGATGAAGGCACAATTTAAACTTATTTACGTTCAATTCTTAATTGCAAATAATAGAAAAAAGTTTTTTATTTCTTTCGGCGTAGAAAATAAAATTCCATCAGCTTTTTCGTAATTGTAATATTTCCCCCAAGATATGAAATCACAAACAGCTGCACGCGTGCCAATGGTAAAAATAAACTCGAAGATTTAACGTATACTTTCAAAATGAATTTTAAGGAGAAAGCACTAAATTCTTATTTTTCGCGCCTTCTCGTTACAAATCTAATTTTACATTTCAATTTTACTCAATAAATGGTAGAAATAAGAAAGAATTTACTAACCTTTGACTATAAGGGTTAAAAGTTTTCTCCTCTATCATCCATAAAATATTGTGTAAAACTTTTTTTTTCCTTTTCGAATTTTCTCGAAGATTTCCGATAATAGTGTTTTATTAAATTCCCGTACATTTTACAATAGAGAAAAAAAATGTTGTCCTCTCCTTATTCAGAACATTATTTTGTTCATTTGGCAAATAAAACAAATTCTGTGCATTTTGATATTTTTTTTTTCTACAGAATTTTCTTTAAAAATTTCAAAAATTATTTAAAATTAAAAAATTAACGCCAAAAAAATATTTATTTTAAGCGTATTGATGAGGTATTTTTATCAGGTGAGTTTTTGTAAATAATTTCTCATTTTCATTTATTAAAAATAGATTTTTTTTTCAATTAAACTTTAATCTTTGCAGTGTATGTGGAAAAAATCTCTTGTTTGTTTTTTTTCAACTTTGTTCTTGCGAAGAGGGATAATTTACAGAGAGTATTTTTCAAGTCACGATATTGTGCATTTAATGTTGGATATCACAATATGACACACTATTTGAATTCAGCAGCCCACTTCTAACAACTTTTCAACTATTATCAAGCCATTCATTATGTCAAATGGAAACTACGCGTGGGTTAGCTATTGTTGTCATACAGTAACTTAGTTCCATCACTGGGCTAAAAAAATATATATAAATTTCCACCCTCGTCGAATCTTTTTGCACCTTTTGAGTATTTTATCATATTTTGTTTGGGCAAAAAAAATTTTCACTTTTAAAACATTTATTATTTTTTTTTTGGACTTTCGACTTTCTTTTCTTATGATTGCATCTGAAAAATAAAGAATAACAAAATTAATAATGTCAATGGAAGTTCATTTTTAATTAAATTTAAAATTGATCTCTTAAAACTAATTAATTAATCTTTCAAAAATAAAAATTAATCTTTCAAAAAGTTAAAATTGAAATTAAAATACAAAAATTAATACAAATTAATTTTTTCAAAATAAAAATTAATCTTTCAAAAAGTTAAAATTAATCTTTCAAAAAGTTAAAAATTAATCTTTTAGAAATAAAAATTAATCTTTCAAAAAGTTAAAATTAATATTTCGAAAAATTAAAATTAATCTTTTAACAAAATTAATAAAATTCATTTTTAATTAAATTTGTCGGCAAATTTTACACAAAAAATTACTCATCACCGATTGTTAAAAATTATTTCTCTCTCATTGTAATTTAAATGTTTTTTTTTCATTGCCCGGAACTAGGTCCTTAAAAAATAAAAATAGAAAATCAACAAAGAAAAAGGAATAATTTGTCTATTAAAAAATACAGGAAATAGATTTTGATTCTAATAAACTACTTGGAAAAAATAGTTTAAAAAGGAAAAAAAATGAGTAATTTTCTTCTTAAATAGAAAAAAAAAAATAAAAAAATAAGAATAGTAGGTAAAAAAAATTTTTTACACGAATACATTCGGTCAAGTGGTTTTTGAATATAAAAATTACCCCAACGTTTCGAAATCAATACGATTTTCTCTTCAGGAAGTCAATAAATAAAAAAAGTTTTACATTAAATGTTCAAGGAATTAAAATTTGTCCAAAACTCGGAGGTAAAAGTTTATTAAAAAAAAAGAAAAAAAAATTACAGATTAAAAATTCAGTCGAGAATTTCCAAAAACGAAAATTAAATTCTTTATCGAGACTATTTTTTCTGATAAAAACAATCAGTGTGTGAATCATTGCGAATGACATATTTACGTTCATCTTGGAATCGTTTTCATGAAAAAAAAAAACAAGAAATGAAACTTTTTTCTAGAAATTAAAACAAAAATTATTTTTTTTCGAAAAATAAGTCGCTTTTAAAAAGAAATTGAAAAAGAAAAGATTTTCGAAAAAATCAATAGATGGAAAAATTGCATTTACCTTATTGTTTATTTTCACCTCTTTAATCAGTTTTTTGAAGAAAAATCGAAAAAATCGAAAGGAAAATCAAGTGTTTAAGTGTTTTTATTAATAAAGTTAAAAAAAATCTTTTTAATGAAATAAGAATCAAGATTGACTCGCAAATATCAACACAGTGAGGTCGTCCTTGTATCACTTATGCCGTGATAATAAAAAAGAAAAATTCTTCCGGGAAGTTCAAACATTTCGACAAAAAAAAAACTATACTGTAAAATAAAAACTACTTATTAATAAATTACTTACCTTTATGATTTAATAAGAGCCATTATACTCGCGACATCCTTTCGTATAGCACACAATCCATAGGGATTGGGAACATGCTTTCGCAGACCCAACCTCCGTGTGCCAGACTGTTGCTTAATTAATTAAGTCCAAGAGCTTATTGCATCGCGTTTATTCAATCACAACCACATTTAATTACACAATTCAGTTTTAAAACCACAAAACACGATGATATTTTCTACGTCTATTATCAGCGTCCTGCTTTTTCTTTTCCTTCTTTTCGTTCTTTTTTTTTTTAACTTTTTTTCCCCTTTATATAGAAACTTTTTGACGAGGGGAGTGTACGTATGGAGGAGAAGACTAGGTTGACACTTGATGTGAAGGAGACAACACGTTAAGTCGTAATGATAATAAATTGTTCCGCATGCATTTAAAAATTGAAAGAAATTTTTTTTTTTTAGTAATATACACACACACACGGGGGGAGGGGAAAAAAATTTTTTCTTGCACTCGTTTTATCGTGAACCGATCACCGATGACACGGCTAACGGATGACGGGCTGTGTTCGGCAGCCCTTGCCCAGTTTTTCGTCCTTCACAATAGCCAGAAACGGGATCCTGCGTTCCATGATCCAACCCTGCATCCTGATACGTCCACCATTTCGATTTTTCATGTCACGTGATTGTTTTTCGATCAAGTTATTGGTGAATTTTGTTGATCACGTGATTAGCAAGGAGCACGACCATTGAATAAATTGATGTGTAGATGGTACTTTTAGTAAATTATTGAAACAGGAGAACAATGACATCTTTCTTTAGGTGTGGACAACTATTTGGACAAAATCGACTCTAGATATATTAGAGTCCTTGTTTTTCTCAGTAGAAAGTAAAAGTTACTAGTTTTAAAGTCACTAGTAGTGGTAACACAAAAATCCCTAGATTTTAAGCGCCCTGGCGTTATTTTTAGGAACTTTCTCACAAAACTCGGTCGGTAATTTAAATAACTACTCAACGGCGTGATTCGGTGATTTGGTGAAAGACGTGAAACATGGCGCTCACCGAAGTTTGTGGTGTTAATAATACAATTAATTTTAATAAAACACGAGAAAATGACGATGTGGAGAGTGAATTCAACGTTGGGAATTTTATGAACGGTTATCAACTGTCCTTGCCTCCTTATGCAAACGTAAGTAATTTGAATTTTTCCAAAAAAGTGCAATATCATGACAACACAATTTCTTTTGACAACTTAGCAAATTTTAATAAAAAGTACAATAAAAATAATGTTATTCCAGAGAACTTATTAATAATTGAAAGTGAATTTGTCACCTATGGTTAAAATTTAAACTAAATAAACAAATATTTTGAATATTTAAAATTTTTAATAATTATTTTTAGGTTATGTTAATTTTCAAAAAACTGTTTATTTTCTAGCCTGCAGAGAAACTTGCAGAATTTAATAACGATACCAATACTTTGGGAAAGGGGATTAAAATAAAATTCAATCATGGAACAACAACTTTGGGTTTTATTTACAAAAATGGAATTATTCTCGCTGTCGACTCGCGAGCCACTGGTGGCAATTTTATTGGTAAAAAATTTGTTTTTTCTTCTTTTTTTAAAAAAAGATTAAAAGGGGAAGAATCTGACAAACAAACGGAAGAAAATTATAAATAAATAAAAAAATAATAAAACTTTAAGGTTAACGATCACTTCGAATCAAAATAAAATTTTGACTCGGAGTGATCGTTATAACACCAAAGTTTTAATTTTAATTACTATTAAGACTACCAAGTGACAAAAGTCAGAAAATTACATTAATTGTATTAGAAAAGTTAGTCCAATGTCATAATTTCGTATTTTAGAAGAAAAAGAAAAATTTTAAATTCGTTTTACTACAAGCGTAAAGAATTGAATTTTCAACATTTTAAATAATTTAAAGTTGCATTTGAATAAAAATTACGTTTGTCAATTTTGGTTACATAACCTAAAATTTAATAAATATTTCTTATTGATAAAGAATTGTAATTTTTATTTAAATTTAACTTTAAAGTAAAAATTAAGTTTTTTTACTCTTCTGGCAAAAGGAATTTCAAAATTCAATTTCTTTTTTTCTTTTTGAATACGTAATTAATTGGACTAACTTTCGTTTTGACTGTCTGTCAAGTATTTTGAGAATTAGAAATTAAGAAAAAACCATTGGAATAAAATTCACAATTTTTTTTTAATAAAAGAAACGTTGTGAAACATAACCTAAAATTTGACCAACGTTTTCTAATTAAGAAAATTGAAAAAAATTAAGGGCCAATTTTACCAAAACCGATTAAAAATTAATCAATGATTAAATCCTTAAAGATTTAAATCTTTCATAAATTTATTTTTATAGTAATTTTTTTGAAGATGAAGTAAAGGTATAGAAAATATTCAGACCCTGTTTGGATTTATTTTTTTTTTAAATATTGATAGATTTTAAAATCCATCCGTAATTTTGTAGATAGTATGTTTTTGTATCTCCAAAAAAATTACAGAAAGAAAAAATTGATTTTAAAATTTTTTAATCATAATTTTTTTAAATAAAAAATATAAAAAAATTATGATATTATGATTAAAAATTAGAAAAATAAGCAAGTGAATTTCCATATAAAAAAAATTGAATAACAATGTTATTTTTTATCATTTCCAACCTAAAAGCAATGTTTTTTGCCAAAAAAATGATAAAAAATCAATTTTTTCATTCGGTAATTTTTTTATAGACATTGATTTTTTTCTCTAAAAATTACTATAAAAATAATTTTATGGAAGATTTAAATCATTTTCTTGATATATAGTTAAAAATATAGACGAAGTCTTCCCCTAAGGCAATGTTTATCATATTGCTGAAAATTTAGGAACTGTGAGAAAAAATAGAAAGAATTCAATAAAAATAACAAAATAATCTTCTATTTACAATAGGATCGCAATGCGTAAAGAAAGTCGTCGAAATCAACGATTATTTACTGGGAACAATTGCCGGGGGTGCTGCAGATTGCGTTTATTGGGATCGTGTCTTAGCGAAACAATGTCGCTTATATGAATTGAGAAACAGAGAACGTATTTCTATTGCTGCCGCTAGTAAACTTATGACAAACATGGTCTATAACTACAAGGGAATGGGTCTCAGCATCGGTAATAGAATTTTTAAAAAAATTAATAATAAAAATTCTAGTCCAATTGAGGCCCCGGATTCAATAACGCACTAATCCTAGTCAGGTAGCAGTGAGTGGCCTAGAGGCTCTCACTGCTCACTGACTGGTATTACCACATCTCTAAGAGCATCAGATGAGTTATTGAATCCGTAGCTTCAATTTCAATCAAATTCCCCTCGAAATTTGATAAAAATCGTCAAAAATTTAAATAATCCAAAAATCTTCAGGAATGATGATTGCTGGTTGGGATAAGCGTGGACCTTCACTTTACTATGTTGATTCGGAGGGAACAAGAACAACAGGACAAGTATTCAGTGTTGGTTCCGGTTCATTGTTTGCTTATGGAGTTTTAGATTCACTTTACGATTGGAATTTAGAAGATGAAGCAGCCTATGATCTTGGTCGGCGTTCAATTTATCACGCGACCCATAGGGACGCTGCATCCGGTGGAATTGTTCGAGGTATGTTTTTTTTTTAAAAACAAAGTTTAACTTTATAAATAACTAAAAATAATCTGTTTTTGCTTAATATTTCAGTTTATCACATGAAACCAACTGGATGGGTTCATATTTCTAACGATGACTGCAAGGATCTTCATTACATGTACGCGGATGAGAAATTACAAGCTCAGGGACCATCATAATTTAAAATTTCTTTTTTTTAATATGTCACAGGTGATAAGCTCTTTTTGTTTAATAAAACTATTTCTAATTTGATTCAAGTAAAAATGTATTTTTATTTACTAGGGGCGGGGGATAATCTTAAGGGGATGTTAAAGTCGATGCGATTTTTCCATTGAAGCTCTGTGTAAAAACTAATTATCATCTTTGATAATTCATGAAAATTCAATTTTTTAAAAAAAAAATTTTGATAAAATTCTAAGCAAGAATTCAATTATTTTCAAAAGATGCATTAAACAGGTCAATATATTGTTTTATCGTTATAAATGAAATTCAATTATTTTCAATTAAATAACAATTTTTTTTCATAGAAATTCAATTCTTTTTAAAGATTTTAATAAAATTTTTCGCAATAATTCAATTATTTTTGAAAATTGTGATTTAATTCTTTACAACTATTCAATTATTTTCGTAAATAATAAAATTAATCGCAGGATTTCAATATTATTTAAATTAGAATTTTTGTCAGTTTTGTGAAGTGCGTCTAAAATGAGTTTTTTTGGTCGTCAAGTTTAATTTTTCGATAGCTACTTTTTTAAAATTAATTATCGAGTGCGAAGTCTGTTTTATGTTAAAAAATAATTTTAGCATTTTATAACGTGTATTATTATTTTATATATAATTTTTTAATTTTTTAAGAACAATGAAATTTTATTTATTAGATGATAAAGACAATCGGTTGTGATTGTGAGAATTTAAATAAACCGCCATTTTTGTGCGCGTGCTCTTACCGGTTTGTTTTCTTTTTTTATATACTGAAAATTTATAATTCTTAAAAAATAAGTATTTTTATGAAAGAATAAATGTTTTTAAATGAAAATAGATATTCCTGGAGAAAATTGATGGTGGATTCTGATAAAAATAAATTAATATTTTTCTTTGAAAAAGACGTATAAATACGGCATATCTCGTGTATTCTCGTAATTCTAAGTGTGTGTTTGTGTGTATATGTGGTTCTTCGAAGTCTCACTGGATTCATTATTGCGTTTCGAGCGCTCGCCAGTGAAACAAGTTAAATTTCATCCTTTTTGAAGAGATATTTTATTAAAAAAAAAATTTATAAAAGTATCAAGACATATTGCTTCAAAATAAGTATAATAGAAGTATTTTATTGTATTTTTTTTTGATAGAATTATAATGTCGAGTATTGAAGACGGTGAACTGAAAGGAGGACATCCTCCAGCAGGTTAGTTAAAAAATATTTTTTTTTAAAATTTTATATACATGTATATATAAACTACGTAGTAGAGGTGCTACGTGATTAAGGGAAACAAAGCGGCTCAAGGTCGTTGAGGATATCTCTGTTTATTATAAATTCATTTTTTCGCAATTTTATATATATAGTGAAAGCCGGGGGCATGAGGATAATTCAACATAAACTACCGAGGGAGGAACGCGAGGTCAAACCGGCCAAGGAAGCCGAGGAAAGCAAGCCATCGACTAGGTGAGTTGTGTTTTTTTTCTTTAAACTTTTGTTTACTTTATGATATTTTCTCAATGTTATTCTTTATATTGTCGATGTGGCATATTGTTTGTAAACATTTATCAACAATTGTCTGTATACACAGTATAAAAGAAGTAATTATCTATATTTATATTGTATATTTTATCATTCTTGAGATTTCATTATATTTATCATTGTAACATTCGCTTTTTGCTTTTATTTTTATTTTGCAAAAAAGGTTAAAACGGTTTTAACCGGTTTTGCGTCACTTCCTGTGTGTCTTGTACACCTGATTGGCTTATAATTTAAAAGAATTATCTATTATTTTACAATGTAATAAATAAATATCTAATCTATTGAACATAAATAATTATAATTTAAATAATAGAAAATATACACGAACAAGTGAATTTATAAATAACTTGATTTCGAAAATTAAATGTTTGGATAAGTAACAAATATTTAAAATTAAATTTAAGACGCTTTTCTCGTTAGGGGGACGTTACGTTACGCGGCAAAAAATTATAGGAACTTTTCTACTTGATTAAAGATTCATTTTTAATTAACTGAACTAAAAAAAAATTTCTCGACTATTTTCTATGCTAAATAATTAATAAAAATTGTTTTTGATTTCAGATAATTAAATCAAGCAGAAAAATTTTCTGAACATTATAATTTTTTGCTAGAGTCACAAATACGTTCATATAAAAGATTTTAAATAATACATCCATTACGAGCGAGATTTTTTTTATTTTTATTTTACTACATTTTATTTTCAGAGTTTTATCTGATGTGGATTTAGGAAATCAATTGTCTCCATTCATCGTTCGCAAACGTTGTGTTAAGCCGAGATTAATTGAAAAAGCACGTTGGTAATAATTGTGATTTTTTTTTATTTTTATTTTATAGTTTTGTATTTTTTCTAAAGTGCATTGTGAGGATGTTTTTTTAGAATTCCAATAATTAATAATAACAGTTAAAATAGAATAATTAACGGAAAACTTTTTTTTATGATGACGTAATAGCATTTGTTTCTTTTGCATTTTGTATCTTAATTGATTGAATTCAAAAGCATTTTTTTAATAAATCATAGATAAATATCGTCCCTTATCATCATATTCGATAAAATTCGCTTTTGTGTGAAAAAATGTGTATTTTTAGTGTGAATATTAAAAAAAATCTTTGTTTGTTATAGAGGGTGAAAGATAAAAAAAATGTATTTCTGTTTATTAAAATTTATAATTTTTATTACAGTCCACCGAAGCAACTGTTGATCAGTGGCGTATTGGCAAAGGGAAATGCAGACTTCCCGCCGGAAGCTGTGCAGAAATTTCACGAGAAACCAATGCCAACTCACGAACCACCTCGTCATTTTCACAATTCCAGGCCCGTTATTATTCAACAGCCAAGGAAGTAGATTTTAGTCCAAATCATCAGAAATGGATTAAAGGAAAATTGATAATAAAAGTATGCAAAGTCATAGAAAATATGCATATAAATTGATTAAAAAAAAATATATATTATACAATTATCGTTAGGTCACATATTCATTTTAAATGTTTTTGGCCTACAAATTTTTCCTTAAAAATTATTTTCTATGACTTTGCCTCAAATTTCAAAGTTTACTGAAGAAAAAAAAAATTATATTACACCTGGTGAAAGATTTTGCTGGTTTCTAGTATATAAAATTCTAAGAAAACCCAAAAATTTAAAAAGTTTATTACTGTTGCTAAAAAAAAGGGTTTATATTTTATCAAATGTATGTAGTCTTTATCGCAAAACTTTTTTCTGTAAATGATGTACTCGATTTTATAGTTTTCAAATTGAAACATTTTTTTATTTCTTTATAGGCTATATTTTTCAAACTATTAAAAATTTATTGTTTAAAGATAACATATTTTACGATGTAAAACTAAGTAATTGATTTAGGGACCATTGTAATGCATTTTGAAAACCTAAAACAGCATTCCAATGTTCCAATTTTTCTTAATAAAATTAATAATTATATAGGAAAGTCCAAAAAATAATTTGTACTTTGGTTAAATAATTTAAGTTCTCATTTTTGTTTTCGAGATTACATCATAAAAAAAATCATTTAAATTAAGATTATTTTAGAAAGTCTTTGTACTCTAAATAAATGAAATAAATGAACTTGGAGAAAAAGTTTTATAAATTATAGAGCATTTTTTATTTATTTTATTTTCATTTTATAAACACTAATTAAAATTTTACTTATAAAAAGGCACATTACTTTTTCTATATTTTAGGTTTATATTTTATTAACAAAGATTAAAATTTTTTAAATTGAATTATTATTAAAAAAAACCTTATATCTCTTTTCTTTGAGCTTTAATTTGATATCTATTTTTACAGGGTTCTATAATTGAAACTACCTCTTGTGAGAATTGTGAGAACTAATTTCAAACATTGTCGACTAAGCTATTAAAGAAGATGCATCAAATGATAACTTACCATACGAGTCAGTGCTATCAGTCATAAACTCACATGGTAAATTCAAATTTCAAAGAACTAAATATTTTTTACTGTTACGCCAGAGTGACTTTATTGTAAATAAATAAATATTAATAATTAAATTAACTTAAAATTGAATTTAAAAATTTATTAAATTAAAAATTTCTTTTTATTAACAATCTAATTGTTAGTTTTAATTAATATTAATTTCGTGCAGGGCTTTACAGCGCGCGGTGAGCCCTGCACTGCGCGGGGGAGGGATAATTGAAGGGTCTACGCAGGTATACAGCAGATTTTTCAAACTAGATTAGAAGCGTCAGCGCCACAAATTTCAATAAAATTTTATAATATTTATATTTTTACACTTTAATAAATGTACAATAAAGTCCTCAGATCATAATTGTGATTGCCTTCGTAGTTTGCTTTAAAAAAATTCTCAAAAAACACCTATTTTTTCAACCTCTAGAGTGTCATAACCCATTAAGACTCCCGCTACCAAGTGGTATCCCCAAAAGACATTTCAACCAATTGAGCTCCCGCGTCCAATAACTCGATCTGCGCTTGAACTGAAAAATTCAAGCCAGTCAAGCCGGCAGAAAATGGAAAAAAATAAAAGTCGGAATTTTTAATTTTAAAACATACTACCGTATAGAGCATAAAAATGCCCAACTTTTTTGTCTTTGAAATTTTTCTGTAGAACTTTTATTTTTAATAATAATGGACAAAAACTGAATTTTTTTTATTCTTCAATTTCATTGAATTTCAAAACATAAATCGACTTTTCTCAAACAAATCTTAATGAAATTAATTAAAAATTGATATACTTACTTATCAGGGTCTACCGAAGACGATGAAGTGATTGAAACATTAAAAAAAGTTTATTGAAAAATTATTTGTTAATATAAATACAGACCTGTCAATAAATACGTTTTCTCAACTTTGATGAGAAAAAGTGTGCGGTGAACTTTCGAGTTGACACAACTTCCAGTGAGACATTTGTTTATTAACATGTGAAGAAGTTTTTTGGAAATTTTTATTTAAATCGGATGAAAAATAAAGAAAATACATAATGTTTAAAAAAATATGCGTCGTGCGGTGTTTTGACATTTCGACGCAAGAGGAGAAAACTATTGGAAACTAACAGTGGTCGCCTTTTAAAAATGGCTGCTTGAACGTAAACGTAATTTCAAAAGGATTTTTCTCCTAATTTGGACAGTTATTGCAAAATAGAAAAAAACCAGTTATCCTGAAAATTTGCTTTTTCATTTGTACACAAGAAATTGAAAATCCAATATAATACACGACGTTAGGAAGTAAAATATGAGAATTAGATATGCCCATTAGGTGTTGCCCTCTGGTGGTAATTTTATGCATCGCGCATTTGTTTAACTTTTTCCTATTTTTCTTCCTGTCGTTGTAAATCTAAATAAATCTTTTACTGCCTATCATATTATAAATGTATAGAATTGTTTTTATTTTAAATATAATACATGAATAAACTTATTTTTAAATAAATCAACAGAAAATAGCAATAGTTTCCAATAGTTTTCTCCTCTTGCGTTGAAATGTCAAAACACCGCACGACGCATAGTTTTTTAAACATTATGTATTTTCTTTATTTTTCATCCGATTTAAATAAAAATTTCCAAAAAACTTCTTCACATGTTAATAAACAAATGTCTCACTGGAAGTTGTGTCAACTCGAAAGTTCACCGCACACTTTTTCTCGTCAAAGTTGAGAAAACGTATTTATTGACAGGTCTGTATTTATATTAACAAATAATTTTTCAATAAACTTTTTTTAATGTTTCAATCACTTCATCGTCTTCGGTAGACCCTGATAAGTAAGTATATCAATTTTTAATTAATTTCATTAAGATTTGTTTGAGAAAAGTCGATTTATGTTTTGAAATTCAATGAAATTGAAGAATAAAAAAAATTCAGTTTTTGTCCATTATTATTAAAAATAAAAGTTCTACAGAAAAATTTCAAAGACAAAAAAGTTGGGCATTTTTATGCTCTATACGGTAGTATGTTTTAAAATTAAAAATTCCGACTTTTATTTTTTTCCATTTTCTGCCGGCTTGACTGGCTTGAATTTTTCAGTTCAAGCGCAGATCGAGTTATTGGACGCGGGAGCTCAATTGTTATAATTAATTGTTACATGATAATTAATTGTCAAATAATGACAATCAATTGCGATCTATTGTGAATATATTACCAATGTAGTGACAACCTAGTGCCAGCCTAGTTCCAGCTCTATCCCCAATGTAGTACCTATACATACTGACAACCAATTGCCAGTGATGTGCCAATAACTTACCTTACATTATTAACCTATTACCAACCTAGTCCCAGCCTAGACCAAAATAGTTCTTGTACTATCTCTTCGATAAAATGATAACATGTAGCCAATCTAGTGCCAGGCTAGTACTAACGTGTTGCCGACATACTAAAAACGAATTACAAATTTGACTGCATACATTAAACTATTTTATAACCCTACGAGTTGCCAACGTTGGCCCAGGATATTTTAATGCCAATTTCTGTTCTTCTGCCAATTCTAAGCTTACTTTTTTTCAGTGGATTTCATCCAAACCTAAAGAAGAATGTTACCTGACAATTTCGACGAGAGTTGTATATTGTAAACATTAAATAAAGGACAAATTATCTTATCTAAAGCATTAGTTTCCAAAAGTAAATTTACTAAAAAAATAATAAATATATATAAAGAAATATACAAGGAACCAAAATAGTATATATCAATTGACCTAAAAAAAATCTAAAAAGAACAAGAATAAAATTTCTTTTAAAGAGAAATCAAAAAGAAATAGTCTTTTTTTGCAAACGAATCAGTGTAACAAACAAAAAATATTCTAGATGCCAAAAACCATAAAAATGCATGAAATAATTAATTTAGCTTTATTTCATTTTAAATCATATTCAACCTAAAAAAAGATAATTTAAAGAATCAAAACTAATATACATTTTTCTGTTATAGCGATCTAACACCATACCACTTACATTCACATGCCAATCTACAAGAAAGAAGTATTAATTAATTTTTTTTCTGTCTCTTTCTTTTTTCATCTTATTGAGAGAAGTTAAGCGCAGCATCTGTACTTTGACGTACAGCACCGGCACATAATAACCCGTGTAGAAATTTCCCCATTTGTCCCTATCTCTAGTAGGGACCTCGCTAGATTCTGACTAGAATCTCTAGTCTAGAAAAACTAGTCGGGCTTCAATCAAATTCTAGTTAGATAATTCAGACTGGAAAAAACTCACTAGGACCTTATCGATTTCAAACTAGACAAACTAGTGTACAAGTATGACATACATAAATTATCTTTCTATAGATATAAATAATTCAGATTAATAGATAGAAAAACTTACTAGCATTATTTATTAAAAAATTTTGCATATTATTTAATTATTTAATTTTTTAACATTTTTTAAACAAAATTTTAAATATTGTAGAATATTTTTACAAAAAATTCCAATAAAGCAATTTTATTAAATAAAAATCTTTTATTTAATGTGTAAATTAAAAGAATAAAACATAAATAAATATTAATTATGTGGGTATAACTAATTTTTATTACCTAAATATTGTAATATTATTCGTAAAAATAATTTTTTTTTAAAAAGATATGTATGTGCAATTATACTTTAAAATGTTTTTCACAATTAATGCAAGTATTTAATAATAATTAAAAAGATGCTATAATATTATAATTACAATAAATAGTAAATATAAAAAGCACTGCAATTAGTAATGTTTAATTTTTCAATAATGTCATAATTAATTATTATTAACTATCATTAGGAATGCAGAGTTAAATAAGAGTGATGAATAATAACTCCCTAAAATTCAAAATATTATGAATTAATTATATCTATAACGTTATTGAAAAATTAAACATAACTAATTTATTACATTACTTTTTATATTTTTATATTTACTATAATTGTTTTAATAAATAATAATAATAATAAATAATATAATAATAAATAATATATTACAATATTTAGTTAATAAATAAAAATTAATTATATCCACATAATTAATATTTATTTATGGTTTATTCTTTTTTAATTTACTTAATAAATAAAAGATTTTGTTTAAATAATTAAAAAATTAAGTAATCAAATAATATGCAAACTTTTTTAATAAATAATGCTTGTAAGAATCATCTAACTAGAATTAGATTGGAACCCGACTAGTTTTTCTCGACTAGAGATTCTAGTCAGAATCTAGCGAGAGCCCTACTAGAGATAGGGACAAATGGCGGAATTTCCAAACGGGATGTACTTTAAGCGGAAGTCCATCCAACCTATCATGGCCGAGAGGTATGTGTATCCGTCTGGTGTCCCCAAGGTCCAAGGTTCGAACCCTCATAGGCACGAGATTTTTCGTGTGCAACAATCATTAATAATGTTAATATGAATGGAGAATTCAATTATAAATAAGTTAAGTTGAAAAATAATAATTTTTAAAACCGGTAGAAGTGAACTAGAACTTCTAGTCGGGGCCCTATCAACTAGAGCGTGACAAAATCGACTAGAACCCCACCAGTTTCTCTAGTTGGAGCCCTTTTTCAAATGGGGTAAACTGGTGAGGTCCCCACTAGAACCCGACCACCATTTCTACACGGGAAGGGACAGATACTGTACTTTGAAGTTGTGCAAATGCTGTATTTAAATCGAACATCAGCAGCGCCAAAAAAAGTACGGACTCTGTCTTTCCTTGGAGGACGAACGTTTTAGTACAGAATTTGTACACGTGCAAGCTAATAGTGAGTCACCACAAGTGTTCCTGTAACAGAGGTTTCCCAAAAATACATAAAAAAGTGAACAATTTTCAAATACATGGAAAAAAGAACATTTTCCAAATGCATGGGCAAATTTGGGTATAAGAAGGACCAGATCATCCACAGCAATTCAGTCTATAAATTTTATCTATAACAAGTGGTTGTCTGCGACACAGTGCTCTAAAAACCCAATCTTAGTGGTGATCCTTTACTCTACGTGTATTTCAAAGGTGCATCTTTGAAAGTAAATCTGAAAGTCAAATTTGCTGTTATAGTTATGTTAAAAATTTTAAAAAAATGTTTAATTAAATTAATTTAATGGTTCATTTAATTTCTTCAAGAATATTTATTTAATTTCAAATAGTCTACTAATTAAAAAAATGTTGAATTAATAGGTTATGGATAATTTGTCAAAAATGATATTAATATAATTTTTTTTTATAAATTTTAAACCACAAGTCTTTTTAATAAGGAATAGATCAATTTAAATACTTTGAATAATATAATTTTTAGTTATCAAATTCGTTAAATTTTGAATAGAAAATCTTATTTACTTGAGATTAGATACAACTACTTTAATTTAGGGTGTAAGGAAACATGTTTCAAACTAATCAGGACTGTATAACAATGCGGCTCTTCAGAAACAATGTTAATAGAATATTTTGCCTTAAATGAAAGATCTCTAAAGTTTTTTTTTTCATTTCATGAAGTAAATCTCTCAAATGCTGAAATAATTACTTTCTTTTGCATCCAGAAAACTTTACACTTCAAAGACCTTGTGCCTTATTTAAGTCTCGTCCTGGAAAACTAATTCAAACTAAACTCAACTTAAAATTACCTTATTCAAGCATTTTTAGAATGATTCAACCCTTTCATGTTTATCTTCAAATATACGAAGGATATTTCATCAACTAAACATGAAGCATATATTTGACCGGAAAATCATTTCTAAAGTTATAGTGTAAATAAATATTATTATGCTATTTAAATAGTAATTTTTTGCATAAAATATCAAAGTACCGCGTCAGGGGAATTTATTATTATTGATGATGAGTTAACATGTAATTAAAAGGTATTTGTAATTTATACAATCGAATTTTATTTAGGGTGCAACATGTAATTAAAAAGTATTTGTAATTTACACAATCGAATTTTAGTCAGGGAGATATTTAAAAAAAAATCAGACAAATTATAATTTTTCATTTCTTTTAATACATTATTAATTATTTAAATTTTTTTTAAATATTTCATTAATATTTTTATTTTAAAATTTTAATTTGTATTGGTTTCTTTCTCATGTTTAACAGTAGGGGGACACCTGTTTGTTTTCATTAACATGTAGTCACGTGAAGCTGTTGGTAGCCATGCACGTTGAACGCCGTCACCCTAGCAACTAGAATGTATACCTTCAATACATTCACATTTTAAGTGTCAGAGGTTGAATTAGAAAAACTACCGGACTGAATTTCCCTTTTCTTCCTGATGTGTAAAAATGTGAATGTCCTTTGAACCCGTGCCGCATCACTTTAAATACTGATTTTTGCGGTCGGGATAAATTTCTTCAAATTACCACTGGTTCCACTGATTTATCTTCATTAACAATTTTCAATAGTCTCATATTTTAGAAAAATGTCAGGAAAAAATAATGTTGAAAAAGTGTCTGTGATTGACAATCATGTCACCAAGCAGTATGATATTCTCAAACGTCTAGGCAAAGGGGTAATTTATAATATTTAATTCATTTTTAATATACAATGATTTTATTGTAGATACACTTCACTTCTTTTTAACTTCACTCTTATTGCAAGATAATCTAACACTGTTTGAATGTTTTCATTTTTAAAAAAATGCTTTATCAGCTGATTGAAGTAATGTGTTCAAAAACAAATTTTTTAATTAACCTTTTATCATAATTAAAATAGTTTAACAAAAAAATTTGTGAAAGAAGTATTTCAAATAGATTATTTAGTATGTAATAAAATAATTAAATTTTTTTTTTAATTCCATTTACAAAATTTGTTTATGATAACAAGAAGATTACAGAATTATAAAAATACATATCAACACAATTTTACAATTTATTAAATTGCTTTTAACCACATTATCCGTTTGTTGAAAAAAATTAAACTTTTATATGCCAGACAAATCAAATTGATTTCAAAATTAAAAAAGTTTTTATATTATATAAAATAATATTTACAAATATTTTAATTAACATTTTTCTTTTTCTGAAAAATAAAATTTTTTAATCTAATTGCAAATAATAATTCAAGACTTAAAAGTAATTGTTACAGAAACACGCGGCTTTTGGATGATGATTTTTTGAAGATGTTTCATTTTGATATTTTTATATTTATATCTTATTATCTCAAGAAGGAAGTCAAAAAATAAAAATTTATTATTAAATATAAAATTATTGAATGCATTATATTGGGAATGTACGACATTCATGAAGTGCATAGTGATATAGATAAAACAACGGAAAGGTCCGCTTTATTTCTCCTTTAGAATGGAATGAGACAATCGATATCTATACCAGGGTTGTCATGTCACAAAACATAATAATAAAAATAATCGTGATATTTAGAGAAAAATATATCTTCAATAATATTTTTGTTTAATTTTTTTTTCCTCTTTTTTTCCGCTCACTTTTTTTCCTAACCATTACTTTTACAGTTTTTCTCGGAGTTCATTCTATGTTTCTGTGTTATTTCTTTCTTTTTTAAAATTCAGTATATACTGCAATTTTGTTCTAACTAAAAATAAAATATTTACAACACATTTGTTACCTTCTGTTATATGTAAATCGATGTTAAATTATGTCAACCTTCTGAGAAAAAAAATTTATATTGTAGATACATGAATTTAGTCATAATTCTGCTACGATATCGATAAATATGTATAATTTTATTTTCAATCAAAGATATAAAAAAAATTTAAGTATTATTATTTACCAAAACGAGACGAGTTTAAAAAATTTATAGAAAGAAAGAATAGTTTTTAGAATTCTGTTGATAATTTTCAAATTTTCAGGCATACGGAATTGTGTGGAAAGCTGTTGACAAAAAAACGAAAGAAACAGTTGCGGTGAAAAAAATTTTCGACGCATTTAGAAATCAGACTGATGCTCAAAGAACATTTCGAGAAATTGTATTTTTACTGTCCTTCTCCAATCATGAGAACATTATTCAATTGATTGGCCTACACAAAGCAAATAATGACAGAGATATTTATTTAGTCTTTGAATTTATGGGTAATTTCTCTTATGAATAATAGTTTAAAACAACCCAAATAGTAATTTGTGTCTTACTAATTATTTCTAAGATTTAAACAAATTTATTTAGGTCCAGTTTCATCAAATTCGATTAAAAGTTAAATTATTAATGTTAGTTTAACCGCTTATGATTGGTCGGTTAAGGATTTAATCATCGATTGACTTTTAATCATCGGAGTTGGTGAAACTGGCCCTTAGTTCCATGATGGAAACAATTTGTTCGGGAAATTAGAAAAATTAATTAAGATACATAAAATTTATTTTTATTTACAGAAACGGATTTGCATAATGTGATAAAGAAAGGAAATATTTTAGGCGAAATTCATAAGGTTTTTATAATGTACCAATTACTTAAGGCAATTAAATATATTCATTCAGGAAATGTTATTCATCGAGATTTAAAAGTAGGTAGATAATATCATAATTAGTTAAAATGATATTAAATATTTATTTCACTAATCATACCCTAAATAAGTTAATTACAATTGAGAATATTTCGTACAATTTCAGCCGTCCAATATATTACTAAATACACAATGTCATTGCAAAATTGCTGATTTTGGATTGGCCCGTTCCGTGACACAAATCGGTGATGGTGACGGTGAAACCGGAAGCGATCCAACCTTAACAGATTATGTTGCCACCCGATGGTACAGAGCTCCTGAAATATTGATCGCTTCAAAAAGGTATATATTCATTGCTAGTTTGCAAGAATCTATTAATTAGTCTTTACCCCCTGTGATTAACATTGATTCTCTATTATCAAGTTAGAATCAGAGAGTCCTTGTACTCTCGCGCAATATGAACGCATACTGCGGTGAAAATTACACGCATTTATAATTACTTCTTGTTAAATCTTCTAATCATCTATTGCACGTACACATATATACGAAATTTCGAGAAGTGTATTAGGCTTTGAATAAAATATAAAAGAATCCATAGGGACAGTAATGACGTCATCTAGACTCGAATTGAAGAATTCGGTAATTAGAAAAATGCTTCGGGTCCCATTTACATCCATGATGCTACTGAGAACGTCTTCCCTTAGGTACCGAATTCTTTTAGGGGACTGATAAACTGATTTTACTAGGGAAACCAATACACTGTAGAATTAGGAACTAGAATTACTTTTCCCCGAAGAGGAATTAAATAGTAAATCTCTGGGAGGATGATTCTTAACCAAGGAAGTACCCTGAGGTGCATTCGCTTCTTCTAGCACTTCATATTCAGGGAGAAATACCTCCACTGAAGATGTGGAGGTAATTATTTCCTATTAGCCCGAGATGTTTGCATGTCAGCCAACGAACTGAGGGAGAACGACTGCGCGAGCGAGTTATAAAGCCTGAGTCAGAGAGGCAAGAGCGAGTGGTGGGGGGAGATGCGCGGCTAGCGTGCGCAGTCTGCAAGCTCCACGAGACTACCATGACTTGTCGAATTCTAGTCTAATTGATTCGGTACCCCGTACAAAAAAACTGAAATAATTTCATTCATATAAAATAAGTTTAGAAATCAGCACACGCTTGTAATATTAAAGACAATGTTTCATCCCCTCGGGGCCCTTGGTATTTTAATAATTAATTAGTATTTTTATTTTAGTCCTGGATGGTAAGGTATTTTTGTTCGCTTACAAAGGTGGTATTTCTTTTCCGTTTTGACAGTATAGTTAAAAGTTCGCAGGCTGAACGAGAAGCGTGAGTCGTAGTAGCAACTCGGGCGGTGACCTACAGAGGCACCAGGGATTAAAAAGGTCCCGCTCTAAACTAAGGGGTCATTTGGCTTCTCCGACCCTTGTAGAAGTCGAGTAACGGATTCCCTACCGCCTGTCGGCGTTGACTCCATGTTCCCTGGGGAACCCTAGTGCTATAAATGGAGGTACTGCACGTTAAAATATTAGACGAGCTTCCAGGACGTTCAACTTATAGAGGAATTTCGACTTACCAATTTTGCATTATCCTTAATTTTTTTATTTGAAGGCCATAATTATTTTTAACACAATAATAAATTAAACAATGAAATAAATACACAATATCTTCAATGTAAGCTACGGTCTAGTTCGTGCTACTTAAAATTAAAAAATTTTAAGTGGCGTAGTTACATTTATACTTCGTTCCCCTTTAATTCACTTTAAAGGACATCTAATCTTAAAGCTACTGTCGCAATTTTTATTAAAAAAAAGAGAAAGAAACAAAAAAAGAAGTAGTGATTAGTCACCCTTTAACTTTGTCCTTTCGTATGATCGGCTCTTTTTTAAATTAATAATAACTAGCAAAATTGTGCGCTAAAGCGCGCCTAATTTTTTTTTTTTAATTTTTTTTTTTTTTTCAATTTAATGTTCTATAGTAATTTTCTTTCTTTACCCAATTTATATATCTACTGATTTTATAATAATAATATTATGACATAAACATATTAAAGTATTTCATGAAAAAAAAATATTTTTAATGTATAATTTTTGCGGATATTAATATGTTGAAGGGCTTAGCTATAAAATAATTTAAAAAATCATTGTATTTTAAATGGAAATTTACAGGAATATAATATAAATAAATTAAAAATTTGACACCTGAAACACAAATTACTCCTTCTCTAAACAAGTAGGATAGACGTCCCTCTCTTTCTCTTTATCATACTTTTTCTCTCACACTGCGACAGACAGAATAAATGACGAAATGAAGAAATATAAAGATTAATATAATTAATTTTCTCCTTTTCGGTGAGATAAAGAGGAGAATTAAAGGAATGTCAAGGCAGGAGATAAGTTTCGCTTGAATAACTGACAAATGACTCTATTTAGGTACACGAAAGGAATCGACATGTGGTCTTTAGGATGTATTCTTGGTGAAATGCAGCTTGGAAAACCTCTTTTTCCAGGATCATCGACAATTAATCAAGTTGAAAGAATCATGGCTACTTTACCACCCCCAACTGAAGAAGGTATAACGTATTTTCTATTGGACTTTCTCCAATAAACTTTCTTATTTGGAGCAATTCCAAATTTATTGAGAAATTATTACTCTACATCTTATACATTAATATCTATTCTTATTGTTTTTTTTTGTACATTTTATACATTTCATACATTTTCCGGTCAGTTGGCCTTTCATTGAACATATGTAAATCTTTAAGTATTTTGAAATGTTGATCTTATTGTTATCACTCTAATATCAATAATAATTAACAAAATTAACTATATACAGATTTATAGAAGTTTTTAAATTGATTTTTTAGATTTGTTATCAGTTTGTGCTGGTTATGGATCTAATCTGTTGGATAAAACACCAGCGGGACCGCGTCGTAGTCTGGAGGAACTTTTGCCTAATGTTTCTGAAGATGCCTTGAATCTCATTAACAATTTAATTGTATTTAATCCAAATTACAGACTCACAGCTGTAAAAGCTCTTGAACATCCCTACGTGTCAGCGTAAGTAGAAACAAATTTTCAATCTTTTCCCAGTTTATAGAATCAAGTTTCTATTAATTATGCGTGATAAATTAAATTATTTTAAAAAGTAACATTTTGATTACGGTGTCGGACGAAACTGAATTTATCGCATGCTAGTGATCGGTTACAAACCAATCAAGGAAAGTAGATATTCTTGCTTGACGGATTTCCAGTCGTCCATTCGAAGCAACTCCTGTTCAGGATTTTACATCAATATTCTGATTCAATTTAATTTTAATTGTTTCAAAATAATTGAAATATACTTTTAAAAATGTTTTAGTTTGTGAAAAACATGATTTGTTTTTTCATTTTCAGGTTTCATATTCGTGGCGATGAGCCTGAAAGAGGTTCGAGTGTAATTCCTCTTTTGAGAGATGATGTACAATTATCCGTTGAAGAGTATCGAAATCAATTATACGCAATGATGGATGAAAAGCACAAAAAACATAAAAACATGTAATCCTTTAGAGTATCACTTCACAGTTAGTGGCATTTATTTCCAGCACACGTGAAATAAAATAAAAAATTATTTTTTCTAGGTCAAAATCTCGAATTCGACGGCTCTCGGAACACATCAGGAAGGAGACCAGTGTTGGTCAAGGGGACTCTCTTTCTCATAAAAAGAGTTTCTATTCGTCTTGTGATGACTTAATGAAGCAAAGGAGCAAAAGCGAGGGTTACAAGCATTCGGATGCTGAAAATTTGGGTAAGAGATTGTAAGGATTATAAAGCAATTCTGTTCTAGAGAATTTTTTTTCAAATTTATTTCGTAATTATAATTGCCTACGATGAAAGAACTTATTAAAATGGAAGTATCTTCAGACAAGGGGCCAAAAGATCTGTTCTCACATAAATTTTAAGTATACTTTTCTCCTACTATCGGGTTTCCCTCGTAAAAAAAGAACCTAAAATTAAATTAGTATTGTTTATAAAGAAAAATAGTTTTTTCAACAATCGGATTTTAAAAATACTTTCGAAACGAGAAAGAAAATTAACTTAAAATCCAATTTTATCTAATTGTCCACAAAAGTATAAAGATTTCGTTTTGTTTTTTAATAAAGCGCGAAGTGAGCTGCCTGTAAAAAAGACAATCGGATCCGCTTATTCAAATAGTCTGGGGCGTAGCAATAAAAATCAAATAAGCATGATGGGCGATAAAGTAACACAAAAAAATGGTAAGGACTATCAAATTAAAAATGATATAGATTTTACGAATTTCAAACATAGTAGAAAGGCCTTTTTTTTAAATTCAATCTTTTGCAAATAGGAAAAAATGTAGCAGCGCAATATGCCTACAATTTGATGAGTAGCAATTTTAAAAAAATGCCTCCCGGTCAAGCAAAAAGTTGCCTCTATCTCTCTCAACAACAGTCGATAACCAAGTCTCAAAGGTCAATTCAGTCCGATCAAATGGTGGTTGTAAGTATAGTTGAATTTTACCAGAAAATGCTTTTATTCACACACTAAATTGGCAAATTAATGAAACAATTGGCACTAGTGTAAATTGACCTTCTCTTTACAGACAACTTGTCGTATGGGATTTATTTAGGTACTGTAATTTCTAAAATCCCAAGGTTTAATTTGCACGCTAATTTTTTTTGCACCTACTTTAGGATTCCATTAAAGAGTGTATAAATTTTTTTTTTGTTTTCATTCATATGAAATCTTTAGGAAGAAGGCAAATATGATATTTCAAATGTAAATAACTTCCTCTAGTCTTTTGACAAAGAGGAATTTTTAATTAACAGAAAACCATTTATGAATAGTTTTGAAATATCATGTCTGCTGTTTGCGTTCTTCATCAATAAATCAAAGCCATTTATCTCTTTAACCCATTCCATAAATGTTCTCACGTTTCTAATCAATATGTATATGCCCGTTGTACATTAAATTCACTGAATCCAAAACTTCCATTCCAGTGCAATATCGGCAATAGGTCTGGAGTAGTCGGTGCAACACAACCAAAATTACGAAGGGGTGTAAAATCACAGATTGCACAGAGGACATCTCAAAATGTCAAACTTGTGAACAACAATCATTACAGAGTAATTTTACCGAAGCGTCAAAATCAAGAGACTCCAAAGGTTCAGACAAAGTATGCAACAAAAATTCCTAACAATGTAACAAAACACTTTATCACAACAAATTGTGGTGATCAATCGCCAATTAATTGTGATCCATTCACTCAGAATCATGTAATTGAACGGTATTTGACCCAAAGTTTCCCGACTGCTTCCCTAAAGAATCGTGCAACCACCTATCAATTGCGTAACTTTAGTCAGAATCCAATCTACATTTCTGATTCTGATAATCATCGTCATAAGAGTGCAATAACTCGTAGTCAAAATGTAAAAAATAATATACAAAAACCATCAACAGCCACACAATGTTCGTTAAGAAGTTTGAATAGTTTCAGTCAAAATCATGGTGTTATCACTGCATCGGCATATAAAGATCTGAAAAATGGAAATATCAGATGGTAGCCCCAAAAGTTTGTAGCTTCTCAGAAAATCTTTTAAACATATTTTGATAATTTTATTTGAGTAACCTATATTAATTCCTACAAGTAACATCACATTATCAGAATTTTTCATAAACTAGATGGAATTAAAGATTTGCTCGAGAAGCTAAAACTGAATGTTTGTATAGTATTTAAATTTCACGTCATAATTAAGATAATCACTCAAAAGCAATCGCCCGACTGATTACAGGTTGAATTATTTATAAGTTCCTTCTCACATAATCTACTGAGCATTCTTCAAAAAAAAATTCCTATTTGTATTTTTTCTTTTCATAAAATTTTCTAAATTATTTACACTATTTTTATACAGTTTTTTATATATAAAAAAAAAAATTAGAAACAGCACGGGTAAAACCAGAGAAAATTCTCCCTATAAATAATTAAAATAATAAACCGAATGTTTTATGTAAAAGTTGAGAAATACTTGAGAAAAAATTTAATTAAAAAATTTTTCTTTAATGATAAACAATTTTTATTAAAAAAGTAGAATGCTCACGTACTCTAGTTTACTAAGTCAATAATTCAACCTTGTTAATGTAACTGTACAGTTCTATTTAAAATGAAAAAAACAAAGAATGTTTGAAAGTGATACTTGCACTCTGAAAGCTTCATTTTTGTAAATTAAACATTTCTGCCTCGTGAAAAAATTAAAAATTTAATAATAACGCGTATGTACAAATTTTATTGTAAATTTACAATTCCCATCGACGTTTTGTGTGACGTCTCTTTGTGTACCGATTATAACATTTTAATAAATAAAATGAAAAAGAAAAGGTTTTTATCATTTTTAATGGAAAGTTAATTGAAAAATATAAAAAAATTTAAATATATATAATGAATTCTGGATTAAAAGACAGCATTTTTAATGGAAGTAAAAGTAAAGTACCTATACGCCTAAACAGAACTTTTAGTGTAGGATTAAAATTCAAGGCCTTTTTACTAAAAATGGTTTCAGACATTTATTTATATCAAATTATATATTGAACATGTATACAACGCAATGGTTTTTATATTTAAAAAAAAATTGCGATTTCAAGGAAAATATGTGGAAATATTTACAATTATTATTTTATTTACATCAATTTTTTAATTATGGAGAATTTTTAAGATTAGTTCTAATATGGACGACTTGATGTACAATTATTACTCTAGATCGTAAATAAATTCTGCAGTATATGTTAAATCGGTATTTTTTTTATAAATAAGTTATTTTGTATAATATTATCACTCGGTGAGTATTAGATAGAATTTTTCAATCTTTTTGAGTCACTCAAACTTCTAATTTTACTGCATTTCCTGAAATCGTTGTAAAATTTTTATTTCAATTTGACTCGACATTAAAGGTTATGTCAACATAACCTTTAATGTAGAGTTAAATTCTCTTTCGAATATTAATCCTTTTTCGAGGTTAGCAACATTTGCTTCTTTTATCCCAGAAATGTAATTAATGATTTTACTTCTTTTATCGGCTAAATAAAAAAATTTAATTTCCATATAATTATTACATAATACTCCACATAATTTCTAACGATTTTTTAAAACAGATTTTAAACATTTTTTAAACATTTTTAAATATAAATAATAACAGAATTCGATATCGATTATAATCGATTCTGGTGATTATTGCGCACACGCAGTTCTGCTAGCAGAAACCAAAGCGCTTGCGCAGCTGAGTGCAACTCACTTCAAGGCAGTCAGAGGTTATGAACGACTCGAGGTAAGTCACCTGTCTTAATTAATAACGCATTGCATGTCTCCTTTATTCAGAATGGAAGAACCAAAATGGAACAGACTAATTCTCAAGTTTACTTCGAAAAAAAAAGAATTTGTAATTTACACAATCGAATAATAATTAGAATGACGTCTATTGTTAGGCGTCAATATATTTGTGACAGTCAATAAACATCCTTTATTCAGGATGGAAGATCCAAGATGGAACAATATAATTCTCAAGTTTATTTATAAAAAAAATGTTTTTGTAATTTACCCAATCGAATAATTAGATGTTAGACCATGTCAATATAATTGTAACAGTCGATCATTGGCATTACAGTTTAAAATTTTTTTTGTCAATAATAAATTAATTTTACGAATTGCAGTTCTAAGAAGAACGTCCGTTATAAATTTTTTTTTTTTTGACTCGGAAAGATTGAAAAATTACATCTAATATTTTCTGTATTTTTAACCTCAAAATGAAAGTCATCTTTTTTCGTTTTTAAAAGACAAATTTGAAAATTTTAATTTGAGTAAATTTTTCTAAAGTATTTTCTCAATATTGCATATAATATTTAGTTCAGTGGTAGAAGCATTAAAAAGTTAATATTAAGACAATATGTTGCGCTCTATTTGGGCAAATAAATATTATTGTTCGACAAACTATAATATACGTTCGAAACAAGTTTTCATTGATGTTTAAAATTTTGCCTACAATAGTAAAGCTTCATCTTTGAATTTGTCAGAAATATAACTTTCTACGATATAATATTAGTTAAATGCAGAAACTGAATATGAAATATCATATGACTTAGAGCAAACATGAACTCATATACATCCTTTATGACAATATATATTCCTGACAGCTAAATTCTCATTTTGACCTTAACATCACGATACAATGGAGAATATTTCAGCACTATCACGTGCATTCGTCAATTTAAATACCTTGTGCTATAATCAAACGAGGACAGTTATTTCAAATGTGTGTTAATGTTATTCAAATGTCTTAAGAGAGAAATTTATATAATTTCAAAAATTTACATCAACCCTTAAAGATCTGAAATGGAGAAAAAAAAATTTCTTTTCTCATAATAGTTTTAATTAACGAAAATCTTAATTCTATTATTTAAAAAAAAAATATAAAAAATTATTCAATTTATTGTCCAAGAAGAATGGAAGAATGTATAGGAAGAATAAATTCCGGAAATACTGTTTGAAAAATAAAATCTAATTTCATAAATTCTGAATATTATCTCCTGCATTATTCGAATATTGTTAAAAAAAACATTGGATATTTCAATGAATATTTAATGAATTTATTTTATAGTAAAGTAAAAACAGCTTACATGTAAAAAAGTAGAAATTTTTTTTTAATGATTTGTTAAATTTAATAAATCTATTCGCGTTTATTCATAATTCAATTTAAGTTTCAATCATATACAAATTTAATTACTAATTTAATATTCCATATATATAAACGGTATTTTTAGCTGTTTGAAATACAAAACGATATAAAACCACAATGATGAAATTGCATCATTGTCATTTTCAGGTATAAAATATTTTATCCTTTAAACTTTATGTAACCTCGTTTTGTAAAATATTAATGAAACATAAAAAAAAGTTGTTTGTATTTTTATATAACAATCGGAGAAAAGTATTTATCTCTTTATCACCGTATTTCACTCTTTCTTTCTTTTTAATCATATTTATTTAAAAATAATATCAGTAAAGAATTTCTGCTTATTGCCTAATGGTTTTTAAAATTCATTATCAAAAATAGTAGAAAAATACCCATGTTAAAATCAAAATGCCTGCAGCAATATTGTCTTAATATTGTTTTTTTAAGGGGGATAGACAATGTTTTTCCCAAAGGCATCAACTTCAATGGTTCATTATTCATATAAAGTTTTTGATAAAAAAATCATTTCTCTTTTTAATTAAAATTCATGTACTTTTAGGTAATAAATAATAATTTAAAAAAAATTTCATGGTTTATGAGATAAAAATTCTTTAAAAAGATTTTTTTTGACCATTTCAACTAATTTATCCCCCTTAATAACAAAATATTATTTATGCATTTTTTTTAGAACTGGGAAAAAAATTATTTCAGTCTTACGATAATCCTATTAGGATAAAATTAAGGAATTAAGGAATCAGTCAGCGTTTTCGAAAATAGTGATCGGACTTTTCTGCGAAATTCATAGCCACACAAGAAAAAGTGGCAAAAATTTTAAAATTGGACCAAAGTTGATAAAAGTTGTTACTCAGGGTCGCTGATGACGAATCCGATGTTCGTTTTTCAAAATTCAAAATGGCGGAATAAATATGGCGGACTTTTCTTAAAACTTTTAGATTCGGTTAGAAATCATTACTCGGGGGTTTAGTTTTCGGGGTGACTGGCATAAAAAATACATAGGAATACATGTCTCGACCCCAGATCAAGAAACTTTTTTTTGTGTGGCTGTGATACTTAATCGAGGAAAGAATTATTTATTTAATTATAAACGGGACATGCCCTTTCGTACATGAGTTACTCTTATTATAAGTTGACTTTTACCGACACTATGTCAGAAAATTTTAAATTTTCAGAAATCCGTATAAGTAGAAATTTCAAATGCAATTTAAGAATATAAAATTAATTTTATGATTAAGTTTAGAAAAAATTTCATCCAAGAAAAGATGACTTTCTTTAAATATAATTACATAATTTAGATATGAGAGGAGGTTAAAATAAATCAACTTGCTTGTTCATTATTATCCGTTGTTGTTGTTGTTGTGACATTAGTCTTTTTAGTGTCATGAGAATTATTTGAATTATGTCCATTATTACTGTGCAATAGTACAGTACTTGTTTGGACACTAAGAACACTGGCTTTACGAATTTTGTCATTATCACAAGAATTCAGCTTACTAATTGTGCAACTACTCTCCTGAGTTCTCCTAATCTCTGGCGGTAAATTTTTCAACATATAGCAACGACGATGTGGACTGTGACGATTGTAAAAGCTGTCACAGCCGCTGCTCGAAGCAGTTGCACTGCGCCGGAAGCTCTGCTGGACTCCTTGCACTCCTTCTCCCTGAATAATTGTACCTCCAATCTGACGGTCCTTGATAACGCGCTGATGCCTTCCGTGGCAGCCGACGCACACTTCCATAGTGCTCCCCAGAGTCTGGAACCACAAAATATCGACTCCAACAGCACCAATTGTACTTTCATCTCAAAGAGCACAACATATTGCAGCAATATCGATTATTTTCGTATTTTAAAGGGACGCAACACTAGTTATTTTTTTTTTGAAAACTTTGAATTTTAGTTTTGTAACTTGAATTAAATAAGTGAAGAAGACTTTGGGTCTTATTTGTATTCGGAGATTTTCTTGTTGGTAATTTTAATAATTAGAGTACTTAGAGAGAACTAAGAGTCTACTAAGAGTACTTAAAGTTGTTAAGATCTACAGAATAATTATTACCTGATGATAATGATACAATTCTGTAGTATTCTTCAAAGTAAAGTGTATATATTGTTCAGAAATAAGTCAATCCTTTTTTCTGGCTCTACTAGTGTTGCTCCGTTAAATAATTTTAAATTATAAGAAAATTTAAATTATTTAAATTTAATTCTTCACTCAGCAATATCTTGTGCTGAATACGATACTAAATAGTAGTTGTTTTGGAAACAATATTAAAGTAGGTATTAAGTGTCTAAGTCGACATTTAGTGTCAATGGATCAGTAAATTGTATAGATATAGTAAAGATAAATCTGATATGATTGTTTCAGTTATAGATTTCTTAATGTCTCCATAAAATTTTCACGTTTAGCGAAGACTCAACGAGGTGGCATTTAAGGACTATATTTTATGTTTTATTACCTCCATTATCAATATCTAGTTTCTAAATATTATTTTATCACCAAATCTAAAGATTTAAATTTAATGTAAGGTAGAACTTTGTCATAAAACAAGCGATTTGCAACTGATAAATTTTAAAAAAATGGCACTTATTTCCAACGTGACGTAGCGGATGATATTTTAGAAATTTTTTTAAAATCCTTGTGATTTTTAACCTTTTTTATTCAACATTACTATTTCCCAGTGCACCATATTTCCTTGAAAGATTTTAAAATATTTCAGAGATCTTTTTTACCATTTTTACTTCGTGTTTACTATGAAAGATGTTAATGATAGTGCTATAGTCACTGTAAAAACATTTTTATTTTTAAATAAATTACACGCACATTTGTGTGACTCCACTGAAATTACAAATTTATTATTTAATTACTTACAATTATATTGATACCTAAACATGGTCCAACGTCTAATTATTCGATTGTGTAAATTACAAATTCTTTTTTTTCGAAATAAGATTAATTTAATTAAATTGACTGTCACAAATATATTGATCATAACCTCTGACTGTCTTGAAGTGAGTTGCACTTAGCTGCGCAAGCGCTTTGGAGCCGCCTGCTAAGCAGAACTGCGTGTGCGCAACAATCTGACACCAGAATCGATTATAATCGATATCGAATTCTGTCAAGAAACATTATTTCGGATGGATGATCCACGATGGAACAATCTAATTCTCAAGTTTAAAAAAAAAAGAATTTGTAATTTATACAATCGAATAATTAAATCTTAGACTATTGTTAGGCGTCAATATATTTGTGACAGTCAACAAAACATTATTTCGGATGGAGGATATGGAACAATCTAATTCTCAAGTTTAGAAAAAAAAGAATTTGTAATTTATACAATCGAATAATTAGAATAGTTTATAAACGATGATGAACTGAAATATTTCAAATCTTTCAATGACACATTTTTAGAAATATCCTGAAAATATGTGCTCGATGTGTATGCAATACATAAAGAAATAAAAATTATGAAATCTAATTAGGTTATGTTCTCTTAAAGTTTTTTTTGCCAATTATAATATAAAATTTGACAAATATTCAGACTTATATTTTAAGAACAAAAAAATTCCCTTTACATTGAAATAATTTTTGGCATTTGTGGTGAGAGACAAGTGCCTCAAAGTATGCTTTTCAGTAAATAAATGAGACTTTTTAACTCAGTTTAATTCTTCCTTTTTTCTCCAGCTGGCCGCTGTTCAAATAACCCAAACCATCAAATATTCAATTTTTAAACTCACTATTAAAAAAGTTTGAATCCTATCAATTTAAAAGCTTTCTTTTCCGGTGGCTAAATTAAATTTTTCTTCTCTTCTCTCATTTGAAACTTTTAATTCTGTTATTCATAGTAATAATATCGTTACAAGAATTAAATAATTCGTACTTTGATAAAAAAAAAAACCAATATTTCATGAAGCCATTTATATTATTTGTAGAATTCACATATTTATTAATTATACTGTTATAAATATAATTATTTTTATTATGAATAATAAATTATAAAAAATCTAATTCTCCCGATTTATTTAATAGAGGCAAATTTATGTTCTCTAAAGCATGTACGCAAGCAATTTATAGTAATAATTTAAAAGATTTGAAATATTTTGATAAAAACCGAAATCAATTCTTGTAATTCTGCAAAAATAATTTTAATTCACTTTACATAATTCTAAAATGAAATTCAAAAATGATATTCATAATTATTTAGTTTATTACTCAGATTTACACTATGTCCACCTGCGATTTACTCTATAACCTTACGATCTCATTGTACTATTAAATTTAATTAATTAAAAGCTCTAGCTCAATGTAATTATAACCCATGTCTGAATAAAATTGGACATAAATATTTGCGCCAATTAATTAATCTATGTTGCATTATTAATTTTACACCAAGTTGAAGTCCACAACGTTGATCAACGAAAAAAAATGGTTCACTAAGCAAATTAATTATAAATATAGCAGCAATATTGACACAAAACTATTTGGCAAGAAAAGGTTGATGCTTATATTTAGATAATAATTATTTTACAATTAAATATTAGATTAAAAATAATACTTGAATGCATTAAATAAATTTTGTTCATTGATCAACGTTGTGGACTTCAACTTCGTAATTTTACAAATATTTACCATTTTCTAAGTGAAATATACTTAGAAAATATTATGTGCTACATGAGTAAGTGATTAATCAAAGAAAATTATTTATTTTTTACTAAAAATAAAATTAAGTACAAAAAAATGTGATAATTTACGAATTCTTATGATTTTATTGTGTAGATAATGAAGTGTCATATATATATAATATATATATATATATATATATATATATATATATATATATATATATATATATATATATATGTATAAAAAAAGGCCTAAACGTTTTCTATGGGGAAAAGTATATGGAAGTTTATCACGCTTTAGCTATTATCCTACATCTAAGTATGTTAGGAATTCATATTGATGCGTCATTTTCAAAATACCTTTAGTGAACTTGAATTGTTTGGGTCAATTAAATTTATACCATATTTCAAATTTTAGATCAGGGTTAATGTAAAAGAAGGTCATAGGCTAATATTTATCCACGTTCTTCCATTTTTTCTCTGTACGCAGTTCGTAAAAATGTGTATACTAAATAAATTCCTAATTAGCTGAAAAAACCCAATTACCTAAGAATTTTTCAGAGATCCAAAACTTGATTCTAGGGGTATTGTTAAAAATTTTTTAAATTTTAGCTTCATTTGAATGGAATTTGTAATTTAAATTAAGGATTTTAATTGATTTAACTCAATTTTCCGTATAAATGTATACACAACTTTTTGGTGCGATTAAATGAAAAATGAATTATTGTAAAACACATTTGTCATCAATAGGAGCTTTCAATAATAATAGACATGTCCGATCTTTGAATACGGAGAATGTGGTGTGACACAGAATGTGATGTATGTACCAAAGAGCGAGTAGTCAATGTTCTGGTCATCGATTTGTTTGCGGTGCGAATTAGTATACCTTTAATGTAATATTTCAAATATACAAAAGGAATACTTTCTTCTAATCGAATGTTCTTCTAAATATTTAATATTATTTATTTTAAAAATGTAGTCAAGAGAATCGTAAAATAGAAATCTGTATCCAAATCTACTTCTTCAGTTATGTTAAATTAATTATATTTCCGGAATGATTTAAATAAATAGTCTTGATCTCTTGATGGTGGTTTAGATCGTGTTGTCTTTAAAGTAAATCTATCAAAGTTGAATTACAGTGCAGGAGTATATCAATGTTCGCCAAACTCAATCTCCCTATTTTTTCTTTTGCTCAGATAACACACCCACTGAACTCTCACCATTGGGTTGTATTTGCACAAATTAATCCACCTCTGCATTCGCAGACGGCACTATCTTTTGCTACAGTGGGCGTTGAAGTTTTATATGACTTGAGGTTAGAAATCCTTTAAATTTGATGATTTGGTTGTTTAGTGCCTACACATTGTCAGTGAAAATTGGATTAACTTTGATGAACTGATATTTACGGTTTTTGTTAGTTTTCAATTTTTAGCGCCGTTTGTTTTTTTTGAAAGTTTTGCGCCATTGGGTTACCAACATGAGCCTAACTAAAGGAAGGGAAACCACATTAGTCATTGCGAGGTATTTATATTTTACATTTATAAAATAATATTTTCCGAAGTCAAAATATCTGAATCCTTATCCTTATCTGAAACAACATCGATCCAATAGTCTTACACGTGGACAGAAGAAAACAAATCTCTTGATCTGTATCTCATCACCCTCCTTTCGGGTCACTCACCTTCCTTGGTACTAAGTCCATGTGGCAAAAATAAATCAATGATGAAACATTGACCCCGAAAGTAATTAAAGTGGGTGATATTATCATATTTTATTCTTCCTAGGAACTTAAAAGGTGCCATCCTTGCCGAATTCGTCAGTCCAGGAATCGCCACCAAGTTAACTAGTTGTGAACTGTCATTAAGTGTCTTCTTCGACTCCAGTACAGAAATCACCAGTAAATCAACAAGTTGCCTTCTTCGAGTCTAGTAAAAGTGTCGTCTTCGAGTCTCGTCACAGTACAAGTCAAGGTTTATACGAGAAGTTAATTTCTACATCAAGTTACCTTTCTATTTTTCAGATACGGAAACCTCATCGAGCTGCATAGTGCAAGGCATCGAATAAATTATCTCGGTCACTCCAAGAGTAATACATCTTGAAATCTAATCTTCATCGACACCTGGAGTTAATGTAGTCATAAGATGTTGTCGTCAGTAAGTAATTATTTATTTATAAAATATTTCAATATAAATTTATTTGTAAGTCTCAAATTAAGAAGATTAACTTTGATGAATTGATATTTACGGTTTTTGTTAGTTTTCAATTTTTAGCGCCGTTTGTTTTTTTTTAAAGTTTTGCGCTCCGTACAAGTTAGTCTAAAATTTTCATCTTTAAAAAATAGTCCTCTCTATACCCCAGTCTAATATTTTCGTGCTCCTCTTCACGTCAGTGTAAAGTACAAACTATCTTCAAATCAAATTTTACTGAATTCTGTGTTCGGAAGTACTGCTCGAGTTTTGTGTTATTCATCAAAGAAAGAGTTACGAGAAATATAAATCATAACTAGTTAAATGTTGCTTAAATATAGACTAAAATAATTTCCAAGTTTTAAAAAAATTAGAATCCTTTTCTCCCTTTCAAAAACATTATTAAAAATCATCCTCCTAATGTGGTTTCCCCCTTAATTTTTTGGTAAAGTTTTTCTTTTTTTTTATAATGTAGGATATTTATTGAATAAAATTTAGGATATTTCTCATTATTAATACTAGTAACACTTTGTCACAATATTTATCTAATTCCTCATTAACAAAATTTAAAATATCAGTAATATATTTATATTCAATATTCTCACAACGTTTATTGCAATATTTTTACACAAGCAGAGATTATTCTTATTCTATACACTATCCACTGAAATATTAAAAATCTTTCAATGAAATATTATGTGCTCTCTGTTTTGCGTGCATAATTGTAAACAGAATATTTAGTTTTAAAAGTTTTATATTTAATTATTTAACAATTTGTCTTAAAAAAGTTCTGTAATCATATATCGGAAACTGTGCGTAAGCTTCCGGCTTATATGTGGAACGTCGAGAAAGTTCCCGGTCGTTTGTTTTTTAAAACAACATTACGCTATGTAAAATTGTCGGTAAATCCGTTCGCAAAATGTCCGGTCGAAATGAATAAATAATCATATGCACCGCAATTGATGAATAATTTGTTATTTCATATAATATCTGTGAACGTTGTGTTTATCATTTGTTCCGAAAATAACATTTTTCACATCATTTACACACTTCTTGAATCTATCGATTTTAGTCGCATATTTTTATTATCGAAATCTGCTATTTAAATATTTTTAAAATATTATTTAAATACGAGTATCAAATATTGTAGAAAGTAGAAAAATTTTGTCTTCTATTAAAACAAAAGAAAATCTGTTTTAAAAAAATTAATGTATAAAAAAGTCTTTTTTAGTATAGAATAAAAATAGTTTGTATTGAGTATTTCAAATAGTTTAGTTTAACAGTTTAGGCACATGTTCAAATGATTTTTTTTCTTTGCTTTATTTTTATAATTATACATTTTGAAAAAATGTACCCTGAGTATTAAATATATGTGTAAGTGCGGTTTATTTTAAAATCGCCTTTGAGATGTTTTTCTTTTTTTAAATGTAGATTGGTATCCAATCAGTGCAGAGTCAAGACTTACTTTTCGATGGGTTTTTCTACGTGAAAGCCCATGGGAATTGCGACACAGAAGTTCGGAGACGCTTCGTCGAAAATTTCTTGTCATAAAACAGTATACCATGGGATTGAGGGCGCTGTTTGCGTGTCCCAGAAATAGACAATATGAGAGCACGTCCGATATCGTTCTTCCTTCACCTGTAATGCATTTTCTTTTATCTCCCCGTAACTTTTATTGACTCTCGTCAAAAGAGAAAAAATAAAGAAGAGGAGATGATGTGAGAAATAACTTTTGTATAAAATTACACATATGGGGTATTTGCATTTAAAATGTTTTTTTAATTTGTTTACAGTTGGATTTTTTTTTATTTTGTCTAGTTGAACTTTAGTGATTAAGATTTTAATAGCGGGGTAAAATTTACTGTTAATACTTTGAATTATACTTTGCCAATTTTTCTAGGGTAAATATTCGGAATCAACTAAAGGATGAAAGGCTCCATGATGGGTATACTTTATGGATACATGCATTCGAGAAATTTGATATATGATATTAATTGAGATGGTCAAGGTTGTCGATCTAGACAATAAGACTCAGACTTCTGGAGAAGTTGAAACCAATTTCTTTAAAAATACAAAGTAGTTCAAGATTTTAAAGAACCAAAAATCGTGACACAAATATAATCATTTTTAGGACTAGTTGGATATTACAGAAAATTTATTAAAACTTTTGCTCATTAACAATTAACAAGATTAACAGCAAAGGAAACTATTTTCAAGTGGAAAATAGACAGTGGCAAAAGTTTTGATGTCCAAATAATCAAGATTTTAGTAAAAGATTTGTTTTGACAACGGATACCAACAATGTAGAAATAGGAGTTGTACTTTCTCAAGATGAACATCCATGTTGCTATATGTCAAGAGTATTAAATAGAATAAAATTATAATACAGCGGAAAGAGAATTATTGTCAATTTATGTGGGTTACAAAAAAGGTTGAAATAATATTTATCAGGACGAACTTTTATTATTCAGATAGATCATAAAGTATTAATTTGGTTACATAACGTAAAAGATCCTAGTTCAAGATTATTAAGATGCAGATTACCCAGAAGGTTATTATTAATTTAACGAACCGGGACAGTAATAAAATATAATAGTAAATAATTAGTTGACTAAACTTTAAACTTACTAATTAGTCCTAAGTCGATAAGCAATCTCAGAACGTTGTAGGGCAACCAACATAGAGCGAAGAGAATTGCAAGTATCAGTAAAATCCAAGCCACTCGTCTTCTTTCACGAACCAGTCGGAATCCCTGTTGACAGAGAAAATTATTTACTCGCGCGCTCATTCTGTGCATTGATTTTATCGCTTTTGTTTTACTTGACAAATTGAATCGTAGTGACGGGAAAATATTTTCCTTCAATTCTGTTACTATTTTTCTAAAAAAAAAGGGAACATTGTTTCTTCAGTGTAACAGTACGAAATACTTCAAATAACTTCAGTTCCCTGTTAAGATGATAGAAAGTAACTAAAACACAATTATTGGAAAAATAATTAATTTTTTTCTCTTTAATTTACTTTCAGGATAATTAAATATACCAATTTTTATTGTTCGTATTTATTCGATTGATGAACTTTAGTCTTTACAAATCGTTCCTAAATGACAATCTCAATTTAAGTAAAAAAGATGATAAAAATATTTACCTACCAGTTCACTTTCTGAATAAATCGATTTGAAAATAAATGAAATAAATAAAGTAAATTTCACCTTTACATATTTACGGTTATATCTTTGCGGAAACGAATAAATAATAATCAGATTGACGCATGCTAGATGTATAAGGGGAATTTCCAGGAAAAAATCAAAAGACACTTTAATAAAATTATTTAGAAGTTAGCTAACTAAGCACACAAATATTTGATTTACATAAACTAAAATTTGCAAATAATGCAAAATTTCCATAACATTTAATGTAAGTTTACGCTCCAGTAAATCGCTAAATCCTTCCTTCACTTGATGATTAATAATTACCGTGTATTACCATTTCATTGGAATATTAAATATTCAAAAAAATTTTCAATATAATTTTCAATTACACCAATGAATCGAATAAAACTTACATATATCTCAAAATGTGAGTGCTTATCTTTCTCCTTTTTTTTCCCAACTGACAGAAATGAAAGATTCATTTCGTCCATTAATCTTGAAAGGATTCTCTTACGCTTGAGAACTCGCACGAACGCACAAAAATATCAAATCAGTTTTTTTTCTCCTTCTTCTTTGATTTATTATGGACATAAGAAAATCTTGCCAAAAAAAATAATAAATAAATAAATATTATATCATGAATTGGGCAATCAGGAATTCTTATGAATTTTCTTTTTTTCAAAATACAATTAATTTCCTTTCATTACTTGTAATTAGCCACCAAAAAAAAAGAGAGAAGGTTGTTATTATAATAATTTATTCGAAATGAAATAATATTTTGATATCAGAAATTGATATCAAATGAATTTTTGAGGATATAAAAAGAAATTGTGAAGGAGATAATTTCGTAAAACCAATAATGCAACATTGGATTTCGGTGAGAGTGTCAAATCGAAAATCGTGAGTTTCGAATACGCTATTCATTGGTAGTCGTAGTATTAAATTGCCAAAGGTTCGGACGTTTTCATACTAAATGCATCTAAATTCAAATGCTATTAAATCTTTTTTTTTCGCCTAAAAGAAATGCTTTTAGTCACTTTTTCCAATAATTGTCATCATGATAGTTATACCTATAATAACTGCATTTTAAAGCTCATTTTGTTTAACTTGCAATTTGCGATTTGTAATATTCTCCAATTCTTTCATGTAAACAACATTTTTTTTGTGAAACGTAGTGAATTTAATTACTTTTTATTTCCTGTAAAAATTAAAATTTATTTCAGGTGCAAGTTGTGATACGCAGTGCATTTAATAATATTTTGTTTTCATTTTTTTGTGATTTATTTAAAGTGTAATTTGTTATGCCCAGTGAATTCTTAAAGCATATATTTTGGTTAGCTTTTGAACAATAATTTGTGTTTCAGGTGTTAGATTTGTAATTAATAGTCACTATTAAAAAATATAAAGATAATTTAATTAATATAATTAATGTTACAAATTAAAAATCTATATAACCCTTTTAATTAATAAGAATGGAACAATTTCGATCTAATGAACCTATACTGTAATTTATTATCCAGAAATGAAAAATAGAGCAATATGTTATACTTGCGGAATCCCCCTCTTTTTTCATGGTTTTAAGTAAATATTAAACTAACTTGTTGAGAGCTGGCACTTCCCTCGATACTGTCGCAATCGAAGGGTGGCTTTCTGGCACAAAGGGTTCGGCCCATCATCGAATAGGAGATGATGACAATGAAACCTAATATTATAATCAAGATAATTAATAGTTTAATTATTATTTAATCAATTTTCATTTCGACTTACCCGGTATTGCGTAAACAAGCACAAAGCAAACAGCACCGAAAATATGGGCGTGAATTCCCACTGGTTTAAAGTCTTCTGAACATACATAATATTGCTGTGGTTTCACTCGTTGAAAGTCATTATCGTTCATCCATTGTCCAACGAGAGTAATATTATCCAAATCAGTAATTGGATTTTGTAGTGTCACCTTTAATAGAATTTTTTTTTATATTTATAATTACGTTTCAAAAATAATTATCTTATTTTTCCTTCTATTTAATATAAATATATATGAATTCGAAATAAAATTTATTATTTTGTATATTTTCCGAAACAAATATTTGATATTTTTACATGCAATGTTTATTCATTTTCTGTTTAAACTATTTCAATATTAATTTCCATTGAATGAAATAATAAATATTTTGTCACAAAGCTACAATCAGTATATTTAATCAAAAACAAAAATTGTGAAAACATGGTCGTTTTATTATTTCTGGTGGTACGTCACATCGTACATACTGAATCACTAAACAAATTTTGATATTCTTGTTAAAGGGGATTATTAAAAATGTATATATATATATACATACTAAGGGATCCAAAATCGAAAATAGAAAAAGGAATGTATCATAGTCAAGATTTGAAGAAATATATATGAAATAAAATTCTGACGCTATACGTTCGTAGTGAATTTTAGAATTAAATATTAATAAAAATCGAAAATCGAAAAAGGAATGTATCATAGTCAAGACTTGAAGAAATACATGGCAAGAAATAAAATTTTGACGCTAAAATTGTAGAGGATTTCATAAATAAAAATCTAAAATTGAAAAAGGAATGTATCATAGTCAAGACTTGAAGAAATACATAGCAAGAAATAAAATTTTAACGCTAAAATTGTAGAGGATTTCATAAATAAAAATCTAAAATTGAAAAAGGAATGTATCATAGTCAAGACTTGAAGAAATACATAGCAAGAAATAAAATTTTAACGCTAAAATTGTAGAGGATTTCATAAATAAAAATCTAAAATTGAAAAAGGAATGTATCATAGTCAAGACTTGAAGAAATACATAGCAAGAAATAAAATTTTGACGCTAAAATTGTAGAGGATTTTATAAATAAAAATCTAAAATTGAAAAAGGGAATGTATCATAGTCAAGAATTGAAGAAATATATTATCAGGAAAAGAAATTTTGACGCTAACGTTTTTAGCAAATTTTTCCTTTCCCCACCAACTTACTTTCAAGTCGGACGTCTTCCGGAAAAATAGTAAACATCCGTCTCAAATGTTGGTATAATACTTTGACTGAAACTTATTTATTTTATCTGGGTTAGATGAGAAAAAGTTCTTGTTTTCTTCCAAATCGAAATTCTTTATCTCAAACAAAATCTAATGAAGAGGGATAGAAGCCCTACGCATTCTTACAATACCATGACCTATTTTTTTTTACCAAATATACGTTTTTTGTTTATCGAAAAATTTCCAGATCAATTAACGACTTTCGTAACTTCTTATTTATTTCAAAATAATTGTTTGAAAATTTCGGTTTTTGGACCTTAATTTTTTTTTTAAAGATAAAATTTAGATTAACTTACGATCTTCATTTTTTTTTTAATTTATGTTTTCAAATTGCAATTGAGATAATAAATATAAAATAAAAGTGCAGTATATCGAAAAAATTTCATCAAGATAGAGTGTTTTTGGAGGGATCTCGATAGTTCAATAAATGTCGAATGAGAGAACTATTTCATAGATACGAAATGAAAATTGAACCTGACACGTATTCTTGACATTTTGTAAAACAAGTATTACTTTTGTATCGATATGTTCGTAGAAAATTACATCCAATTTTCTTTTCTTCTTCTTTCGCACCATTTCTAATCTGATAAATATATGCCATTCCAAGGAAAACCTCTTATTCTGACATTGCTTATGTTTTACAAAATTGTCTCATTTTAAAAATTTGGAAAACTATTTTTAGTGCAAAATGAGAAAAGTCGGATAAGTGAGTTTAATTTTTAAAAAAATGATACTAGAACTAGAGAATGTAATTACGTATAATTAGCTTATGTCGAGTATATACCCTCCAAAAGGAAATTTGCATCTGCAGTAAAGCAAAATAAAGCTTAAAAAGAGTAATGTATGTGGAAGCAATTTAGATTAGTATGCTATATGTTAGAGGATTAACTCACTTTTAGAACTTTTTTTTCTCTAATTTAAAAAAAAAGTGATGGCGCGTAGGGAAAAACGTGCAGTACAGACACGATGTGGATGTTGGGTTCTATAAAACGTGACAAGGATGTTAAAATGATGAATAAATCGACAAGATACAAAAAAATGTGTTAATCATCTTTCTCTCACGTGTATTTACACGAAACAAAAAAAGAATTGAAAAGTTACGTAGTGTCCGAATAATGGATAAACCATTATGTCTTCTGATAAAATTTAAAACTCTAATCTGATATTTAAAATTTTAAATAAAAATACGTTGGGTTTTAATGATAAGTCTAATGGATTAGTGAAGTACTTACAGCCCTTAAAATAGGAGCGAAGATAGTTAATGAAACGACCCATAAGAGAACAATGACTATTATTGTTGTTTTCTTATTAAATACCCTTCGAAAGGCAATGGGACTCCTAATTGCTAAGTATCTGTCAATGCTCATAGCAGTGATAGTGAAGACAGAAGCAGCTACTGCAACACCTGAAAAAGAAAATATATTTTCCTCTTATTTAAAAATAATATAAAAAATTTTTAAAATGTCCTACTATCAAAAAAGGTTTTTAAGGTGAACTTCTGAGCTATATTAACTATCACTAAATTTTTGATAGTTATAAAAAATAATAATAATTTTTCTAGAGTTACTAGAAATTTTAGTGTAAGTTCCTGACGTTCAATCAGATGATTGAAACGAACGAGGATTAGAAAAGTTACCTGTACTATTCGACCAGGGTTTCTGTCCCTCCTTTCCATTCATCTATTTTTTTTTTTTAATTAAATTGTTAAAAGTATAAGATGACAGAAACAATAGGTTGAAACAAAAGTCAAACAAACGCTTTTAATTAACCTTGTTATTTCCATTTGAGGATCAGTTACTTGCTTATTATACCTATTTTCTTTCCAAAGAAAATGTAAGACAATCCAAGAATTTAAAGTGCAACATTGTTAGCTAACAAGCGGAAATGTCAATCGTCTTGAAAAATAAAAGTATTTCCTACACAAACTAGAAAAATTATTACCTAGAGGATTAACATTTTTTTCCTGCATTTAGAATATTATTAACGTAACCGAAAATTATTTCTCCATATACGAATTACTATTATTATAACTACACATTTTTCAAAAATAATTTTTACTTTAGTAGGATAAAAAATAATTTTATAAAAATTAACTACTTAATTTTGCTTAAAGCTATTTTTTCGCTATGATATTTTCATCTCTGACATTCTCTCTGTTGAACATCAAGTCGCTAGTTACGTCACGCACTGACTTTTTTTTCACATGAGCATCATATTTTCTCATGCCATAAAATTGATGGTTTTTAAAACTTAATTTTTTTAATTAAAATTTATAGCAGTTTCAAAAATCCTAACCAACTTTCATTATTGTTACAAAAGTCAGAAATAAAAAATAATAATTCAATAAAAATCTCATAAGGTACTCTTGTGAAAAATTAGTTTTTTAATAAGACTAACAATCATTAAAAAAAATCTTTTTATCATTTTAAAAAAAGTTATCACACTTGTTACAAATTTCAGTGACAAAAAGAAAGTGAATTGCAATTTTTATGAACTAATTAATAAGTTTGTATATATAGAATTATTAGTATTTGTGACAATGAACAGCAATTTTTTTTACCCACTATGCTCTCCTTAAATAAAAAAGCAATTCTAGATTCCACTCACGAAACATATAACAGTGTAGAATTTCTCTGATGGTTTTCTTTTATACTACAGTATTCTGAAGTTTCAAATTACCCTTCACTGTTTTTATTGTTGAAAATAGACACGTTTAATTTTTATTTAGTGTTGATAATTGAATTTTTTTCGGATTCAATTTCAAATGAATTTAATTGATTTTAGAAATTTGTTTTGTTTCAACAACTTTTAAATAAATAAAAGAGTTTAAATAATAAGTTATTTATTGAAAGAATTGTATTTAAATATTGTAAAATTATTATTAATTATTTGCCATAAGAATTAAGTGTAAAATTAATGAAATGTGGAATAATTTATCTACTGATGGTAGGGGTAATATCATTATTAAGTAGAGGGTACTTAAACAAAATTAATAATAATAAATGTTAATAGCTCAGAAATACACCTTAAAAAACCTTTTTGTCTTCCATTTCGCGAAGAAAAGTTGCACTAAAATTGTCACAATTTTTTCATTCTCTTTGATCGGTGTGCACTTGGACTACTAGCGCTTCTGCTTGAACGGAGAAACAGCGCAACTAACATAACGGTTCGTGTCAACTCGTGTGGCGACAAATCAGTCAATAGACTTTACGAGTAGTGTCGCATCTTGCACTTTTATATTCACTAAAATCTCTCGATGTGTTGGAACAATCTAATTCAAGTTTATTTATAAAAAAAGATTTGTAATTTACACAATCGAATAATTAAATGTTACCCTATTGTCAGACGTAAATATATTTCTGAGATTTGAACATCGGCAGAAGATTTATTAAAAAAAGGAATTTGTAATTTACACAATCGAATAATTAAATGTTACCCTATTGTCAGACGTAAATATATTTCTGACATTAGAACATCGACAGAAGATTTATTAGAAAAAAGTATTTGTAATTTACACAATCGAATAATTAATTCCATGTCGTTAATTGCCCATAATTTCTTAAAGTCATCGTATCTTTAATCCAAAGTATTTTACAATTATAACTTAATTTAAAACGATAAAACTATAGAAAAGAATTTAGAGTCTTTATTTCAAAATCTAATATTTAAAAAATGATTTACTGACATAATAAGAAAATATTTTATTTTTGATTGAAACTTTAAGACATTTATTATTTTTCTTTACAACCAGAAAAAGTAATCTGCTAAAGGCGAACTTTACCAATAAACAAAAGAATTGAAAGAAACTTTAAAAGAAAAATCTAGTTTCAATCTATTTTACAATTTTATACGTTGAACCAGATCATAACTTTTATAAATAATTACCATTAATTTCAATTTAGAAAAATACCCACTTTATAGACTACAAGTTATATTTTGATATAAAAAGTAAAAAATACATCCTTATTTAAAGACTATATCTTGAACTTAATTCGTCAAAATCGATTATTCCATATCTGTATTTAAAAAGTTCCAATAAAATATTTTAAACACAGCAAGTTGAAAATCTGTCGAAGAAATAATAATTTCATGAAGAATCGACGAATATTCATAAGTCATTGATGAGAGGAAAAAAAAAGAAATGCTAATTTTAAAAATTGACTTATGTTAAATATTTATATAGATAATACGAAGATAAACGTTTACAATCAATTTTTAAAATATAAACTGTTAGTGTTTTCTCAAATGATTTTTATGCAAATATCTAGAGTATAAAGTGTAAACAAAGTTCACGTAAAAGATCAAAATCGTTTTACATTTATGACTGAGTTATAACCGTTTTATATCCCTCTAGAATTTTTATTATTTAACACGTATGGCAACAGACGTATACTTCTAAATTGTTGGCATCTAAAGGTTTTTAGGGTACTATTTGCAGACTTGGGAAATATATTTCTTTTCTTATCTTCTCTGGAATTTTTTGAGAATCCATTGTGGTTTTTTGCTTATGGATAAAATGAGTAGTTATTTGGGCAGTAAAAACAGAAATCTTTACGGTACTATCCTCGTATATCAAACTGATAGTTTGATGTAAAGATAAAATGGTATGCACTGTGGATTAATTGTCCCGAAGCATTGAACCTCAGCTATCAATAAACTGACTGCACTCAGGATCTTCTGACAAGAAGACTGATCAATTCAGGTGATCCAAATTCGGAATGACTCTCATTTGAGAGGAATCCTAATTAGTCAGCTTCCAGCAGTAGTTAATCGTTAAATTATTTACTAAATCAAGGGAACCATGATACACTGTGTCATTACGGATCAGTAGTAGATCCTCTTGTCGAGCTGAATTGCACGTCTATACATTCAGTGATTCAGTGAAGGTTCATCTTCTTCCGGTTAACACTGTCAAGATGGATCATTGTCCTCTTCGGTATTTCGAATTACTTTACTTGTTCTCTCATCTCTTGAGATTTTCAAGTGAGTTGACGTAAATAGGAAATCTCATTTTAACTATATCTAAACATCGAGTGCCTCTTCTGGACATATACATTCAGAGGGAAAATAACAATACTCTTACAAAAAAGTAAATTATAAACAACGTGATTTACTAAATCACACTTTAAATTCTATGATTCCATTCTTGCTGTTTGGGGAGTCCTTTATAGTGAAAAGCCTCGTCACGACGACAAGTGTTGCCAAAAATATAATATCTTCGTTAGGCGTCAATATATTTGTGACAGTCAGCAACCATCCTTCATTCAGGAAAGAAAGAAGCAGGATGAAACAATCTTATCAAGTTTATTTAAAAAAGATTTGTAATTTACACAATCGAAAAAATGTTTTTAATTAAACCTCCAGTACTTTTAGGCAATAGATAATGATTTTTAAAAAAATTCTGTTTTTAACAAATAAGTTATAGATAAATATTTGAAATGCAAATAAATCCTAGCAAACGATATATATACACATCCTTGAGCTTTGTATAATTGTACTTAGAAATAAAGTTCATGAAACTAAATTAACACGGAAGCTGCATCGAGAGGTCACAGGTTACTTTATTTAAGATACCAATGGGAATTGTGCTTTATGTTTTATGCATGACACATGATCCCTTATCACTTCCCTTCCCTTAACTTGTCCTATACTCAGCTACGAACGCTCCCCTTTTACACAACAACCGCAAATGATACTGAATGTCTGATAAAAAAAAAAATCCAAAACAAGCTTACAATTTTAGCCTCAGGTTGTTATTATATTTTTCTAAATTAGAAAACATTGAATACAATTATATTTTTTATTTATAATTTTAATATTACACAAAAAAAACGAGAATATAATAAATGGATATGTTTTCATTAGAGCTGTTATATTTGATATTACTACATTTGTAGGCGAAATAAAAGGAAAAATATGTTCAGAAATGAGGAAAAAATGAATACAAATGTTTATGCTGTCCTCGGGATTGAAATCAGATACATTTGAGTGTGCGTGAAAATCCGTAGGTGGAAAAAGTATATTCTTTTTCCTCTTTTCTAAAAATTATCTCCTCAAACTTACATGTAAAATTTTATTTCAATGTCGAAATTAGGTATAATGAATTCTTTTCTAAATTTAGAATTCTTGATTCTAAACCTTTTTTTTTTGACCAAAAATTGAATAATTTCTGAAAAAATAATCGAGCAGAAAATTCATTTATAATATGACGGGGCATAAACGATAAAATCTTACCTTGGAGATAGAAGAAGAGTTTGCACATTATTTCTCCATAGACCCATAAAATAGAAACTGCTTGACTCACAGCCATCGGCATGCAGATCAATGTTACCAAGAGATCAGCAATCGACAAATTCACTACAAAGTAATTCGTTACACTGAAACAGAAAAGAATTCGCAGTTTTTAGTTATACTATAAATAATTTATTATTTATTAAAAAAAAAATAACGTATTTTTCATAATTCTGTTATAATTTTTCATTTTTGATTTATTTCTCATTTTATTTTGGTCATTAATGAAACTTGAGACCTTTCTGAACTCACAAACCATTTCTAATCCCATTTATGAGCTTTGATCTATTAGCTCTAGTTAACCTTATATTCCAAAGGAAAAAACTTGTATGAATCATAATTAAGGACGTGTGGCAGATAATAACATCATTTTGTATACTATAATCAAAATTATGATCTTCCTTACAAATAATATTTTTTTTGGTCCAAAAAAATAAAGCTTAGAAAAAATATCCCAAAAGTAGTATTATTGTCCTTTTCTTCCTCATCATCAACTTTTATATAATTTTATAAATTTATCACAAAAACTTGTTTGATATCCTGTTTTATTATTTCCTATAGAAACTAATATAGTTTTCCCATTTTTTTTTTCTAACTTGACTTTTGCAGCATTATAAGGTTTAAATTCATAGAAAGTTTCTTTGAACATTTCTTTTGAAGTAAGATATATAGACTTCGCGAATAGAAATGAGGAAAATCATGTTCTGCAATTGACATATATCAAAAAAAGAAGTACGGTTACTAATATCAAACGAGTATAATATAAATCTTTCTCGAAATAAATTTAATTTTCATTTATATTTGATGCAATTTTATTTACGTTATTAAAATAAGAAGTGAAAATTATCAAAAATATGTATATACATACCGAAACTTTTTACCCAACAATTCGAATATCATTAAGAAATGGAGATCCAATTGTGAAATGAAAAATTATAAAAAAAAGTGCATTTGAAATAATGGGGTCGCAGCTAAAGTTAATGAAGATTTAATGGATGCTTAGATGAAAAATGAAGTGGTTTTCTTAGCTGTTGAAAATAATGGATGGGTAAAAAATTTTCCTGGGCAAAAAATAAGTCTGGAGAATTCAATACGTTACTGATTTTTCTTGCACTTTTAATAAATAAATTATAGTTTAATTATAATTTTATTATTATCTACATTTAGCAATTTTTAATAGTAAATTCTCAAATCTTTTTATTGACATAAAGTTGAAAAAAAATACACATGTCAATATTTTTTCCTATACGTTGAAATAACATTTATTTAAATTAATTCACTGGAATAGGTCTTAATGTAACTTTAATAAAACGATAAATTTAATTTACTGTGAAATGTCGTACGGATAAAATAGCACTAAATTTTAAGGGGATGAACAACTTCTCCTTGTAAAATGTGCTTCTGACCTTCAAAAGATGTCAACGTGTTTCTAGAAGAGTGAGCGTCGAAGAAAGATAGAAATTTAATTCACTTTGGAAAATAGTGACTCTTCGATTTTTGAATAGTCATCCAATAAAAAATAAACGAACAACATTTGTTGGTTTATGTTAAAATTCTCTTCCTTGTTCATTTAATCTCCTTATGGAATAAAAAGTTTTCTTTTTAAAAAAATTTCCATCTCTTGAAATTTTATTTTATCAACCTATTTCGAAAAAAAAGAATTTGTAATTTTCACAATCGAATAATTATATGTTAGAGACCATGTATAGCTTTATGAATATTTCCAAAGTCATACAAATATTATAATTTGTTTTTAATCTTACATTTTTTCGTTATCATTTAGTTTTGAATTTTTGATTTAACTATAAATTACTTTTAAAATTATTGCAAAATTTAAAAAAAAGTTTTAATTAAAAAGACTTTTCTATCACTAACGAATTTTTTGTGATTATGGTACTAAAATTCATATATGAAGTGTTAATCTATATTAACACCTTTATAATCCAAATAATTCAACTAAGAACACGTTCCACGTTCACATATGTATATCAAACATCTTTCCGTTAATCAATATAGTTTAATATTTAGATTTGAAACCTAAATTTTGTCATTTATTAAATATAAAAGTCATTTAAAAAAAATCAAAAAGCGATTTTTTAATTTAGTAGAATTAAGAAAAAAGAATAAAAATAAACCAGTTCAAGAGAAACAAACTAATTTATTTTGTATCAAAAATAGAGAAAAACATTTATTATACTGATATATGGAGAATTTTTTTTTGTACAGCATTCAAAAACCTTTTTATTACAGGTTTTTTTTTTAATTTAAAAAAGTTTTCTGTTTTTGTATATCATTTGTCGATGTTTAGGAAGTATCGCCCTCGAAAAACTGAGGGACAAAAAGAGGGCGAAATAAGTGGGTCAAGATTTATCTCAATTCTTTTTTTTACTATCAAAAAGAAATGTCTTTTTATCTTTTTCTATAATATTAAATACAATTCGTATAGTTTAAATTTAGAATTTCTATTTAATAATTATTTTCCGGGTAATGTCCTATGATTTTATTTTTATTTTCTCGTATGCTTTATTTGCATAATTATGATTTGTCACTTTTTCTAAATTCCTTGATTCAAAGAGAATTTTTTTTCGGAATAAAAATATATAATTTATATTAAAGAAAAAAAAGAATAGATTTATTCAAATGGAGAGTCCTCTTCGAATTGGCAATTTGTCTGTTTTATCATATCAAAACCTGTCAGACTAGAAATTCACTTTGAATTAAAGTAGCACTTCGTCCAGATGCACGTGCTCTTAATCGAAAAAATGTCAGTTTTTCTGTATACAATTTTTTTTTTATTTTTAATTTTCCATTGAGTCAAATAACAACTGATAATGAAAGAAATTTTTTATTGGAAAATTAAAATATTGATACAAATTGAAATTTATCAAACTAATTAATGTTCTATTGAAAATTTATTTATGAAAGAACAAAAATATCTCGCAATTGAAAATAAAATATTTGAGAGCCTTTTTAAAAAAAAAATTCTAATGTTAATTTATGGTAATAAAAAATACTGATGGTGGAGAGAAGGGGAAGTTTTTTATGACACAATTTTCAATATATCCAATTCAAAGTGATCGCTACCCTAAAGGAATTTTAAGTGAGTTACTTGGGTATGCTAGGTTTTTCGTTATTAATATAAAAAATAGAATAACACAAATTCTTTGACTGTTTGACATATATGTTTTCGTACATTTAATTTTGAAAACTATAGGGACATTTAATTTTAAATTAAAATACTATTATATAGAAGATGAGGAATAAATTTTATACTAACAAATAGTTAAATATACTTTCTGGACATTATTTATTTCCAAGGCAGAAATTTGTCAATAATAATTGAGAACATAATAGGATAAATATAATAAAAAATTTATAGTCTAAAGATTGATTATTTACTTTTCGGGAAAGTAAAAAAAAATGAATAAACAAGAAGATTGAAGATCTTTAATGTCTACTGGTGAAGGTCAGTATTTGATTAAATAAAAGATTTAAAACAAGCAACTTGAGATTGAAGTCATTGAAAATATACTCGAGATTCTAAGTGTATTTACTACCATAATAAAAATTAGAATTAATCCTTAATAATAAAAAGAAAAATAATTTTTTAAATTTACTTTCTAAGAATGAATGGGGAAAAATGTATTTTAAATAATGTAAAAGAGAAAAAAATTTCGGAAATTTTTAAATCGTCATTTAAGTGTTTAATGCACACGTTTATAGTTCTAACGGACTAAAACGTCACATATGTGAATGAAATTGTAATTAAATGGATAGTTGAGTTAGAAATGGATATAGGTTGGTAACAATTCTCGCAAACAATGGTATGGATTAATTAAAGCAGATTCAAGCGAAGAAACTAGCACGTCATGATTTATAGTTCCGACATATTGAACGGTTATATTTCTGTATATATATATGACAGAAAATTATTCAGTTGAAAATCATTCTTTACGTTGATGTTACTGATAATTTTCATTTTTACACATAAAATTTGATAATTTACAACCAAACTGCTTATTTTTGCAGAATCGTTTAATTATATTTAAAATGAATTGTTTTCTGTTTACAAGTGGACGAGTAACTCAGAAAAAATTATTGTGATAAATGTTGATAGCTCAGAAATACACCTTAAAACACCTTTTTTGTCTTTCATTTCGCAGAGAAAAGTTGCACTAAAATTGTCACAATTTTTTCATTCTCTTTAGTCGGTGTGCACTTGGACTACTAGCGCTTCTGTTCGAACGGAGAAACAGCGCAACAAACAGTTCGTGGCTGTCTGGTGACAAATCTGACACTAGACTTTTCGAGTAGTGACGAATCTTGCACTTTTATATTCACTCTCTCTCGAAGTGTGATGTGATCGTACTCTAATTGTTAAAAGTCAATAATATTTGTGACAGTCAGCAGTCAGCCTTTATTCAAGATGGATGATCCAAGTTGGAACAATCTAATTCTCAAGTTTAAAAAAAAAGTATTTGTAATTTACACAATCGAATAATTAAATGTTACACTATTGTCAGAGGTAAATATATTTCTGACATTTGAACATCGGGGCAGAAGAATTATTAGAAAAAAGTATTTGTAATTTACACAATCGAATAATTAGATGTTACAGAATTGTCAGACGTTAATATTATTTCTGATTTCTGACATTAGAACAAAGAAACAACAAGAATTAAATTATCGAATTGGAGATCTTAATAATTTTAATATTATATATGAGTTAAATATAATATAATTATAGTAATTAGTTTAAAAATTAAATATTTAAATCTAATTGGTTGAGAAGTTTTCCCTGGGTACGTGATACCTGAGACGGCTGTTTAATAACTTTTCGTAATAAAATTCTTCTTAATATAAAGTTTTTAAAAAATTTTCCGAAAGAAATTACTTTTATCGTTCTTTTTTCTCTTTTTAAATTATCTTTCCTCCTTGATTCCTTAATAGTGGAACGTGGTCCAATATATACAGAGGGGAAACATTTGATGCGTAGTCAATAAAAAAGAAACTTTTCCCCGCATTTTTTTTAACGTTTTCAAACACACACATATATACTGTACAAATGAAAATAAATTAACAGAAAGAAACTTTAAGTCTACTTTTTCTAATTTCGAATAATTTTTATACTATTTGCAACTTAATTTCAAAACGAAATTTTAATTTTATTTACTAAGAAAGTATTTTAAAATTATTTTGTACTCCATTTCTCTTTTATGAGTAAATCTATTGAATATATTTGCATGAATATTGGTTGTCACATATGCAAATTTACATATTTTTTTTATCTCAATTTTATTATTTTTTGAAATCTTTCGCTATTGGAAAAGAACGTTCATTTACAAACAGACTGTTATTTGAAAAAAACAAAAAATTCCCTTAATTGGAAATCGAATGAATAAATGTGGTATTTGTAAAAGTGGAATAAAGGAGAAAATGCAAAATTATTAATTTTGTTTAAAATAAATTTTTCTGGAATTAAAAAGTAATATATGTGGTAAAATTGCATAAATACCTTCGCATGTAATGATATTTGAATACAACGACGATGACGAGGATATTTGCTGCAATAGCCAGAACGATAACTGGCACATAGACAGTAATTAATAAATAATTTGTCTGATTTGTGAGATTATCGTAAAATTCTTGCAAGATTTCATTCATTTCCTCTATCTTGAAGGTATCGTTATAACTCTTGTCATCATTGTTCGATGAGCTGTTCAGCCATGTGCCTCCTCTGTCATCCATGGCTTAGGGTTCTTTTTCAACTTTCCGCTCAGGCTGAAAGAAAGCAAAACAGTAAAAATTAATATTTTTTTTCATATGATTCTTAATTTTTGCTGTATTGTTTTGTAAAATAAAAATTCTGAAGTTAAAAAAAAGAATTTGTAATTTACACAATCGAATAATTGTATGTTAGACCATGTTTAGGTTTAAATATATTTATAAAAGTCAAGTGGCTACTCCGCTGACTGCCCTAACCTCCAAATTGAATTAAACCTCAAAGGGAAAATAAATTCGACGTTGAAATAAACTTCATCGCGAATTGAACGTCGGAAAAAAATTAAATTACGTAATGCTAGCTTACGATATGTTTTTTCTGCTTTATCAATGTTCTGAAACTAGAAATAATAGATTGCGAATATTCAAATACATTTTACTCATCAAAGAAACTTGTAGCGTAGGAAATATTTGTACTCAATTTCAAAATATTTCTATGTAAATAAATAGCACAATATACACTAAGAATATTTTCCCAATATTAAACGTGAATTTTTGCGAATATTACAAGGCAGTACTAACTCATAATATTCGCATTTTTCTGATTCAAATTTATAGAATAAAATTTATCTTCCCTTGAAAAGATACCAAGAATAATAATAAATAATACCCATATTAGATAAAAAAAAAAGGAAACTTTTTCAAATCCTCTAATCTCATTTAGTTTTCCCTGTTCATAAGCTCCGGAAACTTATCATTCTCAGTCAAAACTTCAAACCTCTAGAAGAAGAAAAAAAAACATAAACAATGGTGTAATTTAAAAAAAAAATTGAATGGAACATATTACTCTTTGTCCTCTAGGATTTATGTCCTGCGTGAAAATTGAAATCTCAAAAATATTTGTAAATCGTGTCAAAAGAATAATCCAATATAAAATTTAATAGGGAGAGAAAAATAATATTAATTCAAAGAAACATGCAATATTTATATTTGAATTCAAATGAAAAAAAAACATACACACTACCTTTGTACCTTGATTTCTATTCAAGATTCAAGAAATTGATAAAAAAAATACTAGGTGCGAGAATATATTGTTGGCCCTTTTCATCAAGAACCCTTAACAATTTTTTTTTCCCTTGGAAAAAATATTTTACTCTCTTATAAATATTCTGAAAACTCAAGATATGGAGTTGAGAAATGCATCATACGATTTTTTCTCTTCAAATATTATAAGTACAACCTTCAAAAAAAAAAAAATCAAAAATATTACGATATTTAAATTTTTTTTTTATAAATATTTATAATTTATATTTTTCTATATGTTTCTAAATAATAAAGATATAATTTTTTAAAAACAAATAAATAAAAATGATAGGTAACAAATATTTTTTTTCAAAAATATAAATATTTTATAATAGTTATTTATAGCTATTTATATATTAAAAAATGGGAATTTAAAAAATAGGTCATAGAAGTACAGTAAACGCATAGTTTAAGGTAATAAAATCGTTTCGCCAGTATCATTATAATCATTTCCATATTATTTTCCCACCTCCTTTGCTATGAGGACTCAAATGCTAAATTGATCGTCGATGATATGATAACGTCAAACGCACTATAATGGCATCAGCTTACCGAGAATCGGAAGTAATGACATCATTTGAGTTTCATTCTCCAGATTCTAAGGGGAGGATGAAGTAATAGGAAATATTTCGAGAAACATAATTTTTACATTTGTCAATTATTATCATTCTTTTTTCTTTTTTAATATAATAATTTCAAAATAACCGTTGAGGAATAATTTATTAAATTTCTTTCCCGATTAGTGAATTTATAAAAATTTCCATCTGTTAAATGAAAGTAGGTTATTAAATCTTTTTAAGATTTAATTTATAAGATTCAGTGGGATTTTTAAGATTTAAGTTCCCCTTAAATCTGTGATGTTCAATTTTTAAAAACATTATTATCTCATTACCATTAAGTTAATATCCAGCCTTGATTTTCTTTTTTCAAAAGCCGTCATATATTGTATATATATTTTCCGTCGCACAATTCACTAGGGTATAATCCTATTAAAAGAGATATTTAAATTACAAGTTACTCTAGTAATTATGAACTCATATCACGATCCTCGACGTAAGTAGTTAGAAACTTTCAAACCACCCTACATACAATAAATGTCTGTTTATAGAGGATATATATTCCCTCACACATTTCTACGCGATCATTTACTAACATTTGATATCAGCATTCATTCGTGAAAATTCTTCATCCATTTCCTCCGCAGTCACTTGGGAATTTCATTTATCGTTAAATCGTGAGAAATACTTTACGAGGGGGAAAAAAAATTGCACTTGTGTTTATATAATTTTCATTAAGTATTTCGGTATATATATGCTTCCTCCTAGAGCATCTTTTTCTAATTTAATGATAGTATTTTTCTTTCTACAAAAGAAATGAAAAATTATATCCCATTTCTCTTCTTTTATTTATTTTTGGTTTTAAGGTGAAAAAAAAAATTCTGCTCTGAAATATCTATAATAAAATTGTTGCTACTGAAAAAAAAGACAATGAAAAGAATAGTTTTGTTCTTTTTGTAAGAAACGGAAAATATTTTCCAAAATCGATTATGAAACACATTTGATTTAAATTTGCACTATTCACAAATATATATTCATAAAAATGAAATTGATTTTGTGAAATTTAGACACGTATATATATACATGGATATTTCAATGATTGATTTCGAATTAAATTACTTTTACTAATTATAATTGAATTCAAAATTTAGCTTGAAAAGGAGTTTCACAGAGAAAATTCAATTTAGAATAGTTTGTGATTGATTTATACAAATATTTTAGTTTTGCAAAATAAAAGTCAGTACAAACTTATGAAGGAAAAATTTGGACTACAATATCGAAGAAAAATTGGTGAGGTGAATAAAAGTTTCTCAAAGTGGAAAGCTCTCTAAGGAAAAAATAATGTTGACAATAAAAGAAAATGGAATTTAATTTAAAGAAAAGGAATTAAAGAGAAAACACTGTAGAATACAAACAAAATGCAAATAAGACACTACGAAAGTAAATTAAATGACAAAATGAATTAATTTCTTGGAAAATAAATGCAAAGACTTCATAGTTTTGCACTGTTGATAAAAAGGCAAAAAAAAAAGAAAAAATAGAAAAACAATTCAAAAACCAAATAAATGTAAGAATAAAATTTATATGTAAATCTTAATAGACAAACAAAAATCACCTTTCTTTCTAATTTCTAATAATTAGGAATATTTTTCTCTACAAAACTCAAAGATAGAATAATTGATTTTAATAAAGTTTCAAATGACTTTGAGAATTCTTGAAATTGAGAAACTTTGACAATTCCAAGTAACTTTTGTAGAGTCCCAAGTGACTGGTTACTTAAGGGGCACTAAATATTTCAAAGTGCGCTTTCATGCATGTAAATAAGTCTCCAATTGCACATGCTTGACTTACTTTTTTATTAATAGATCATCTTTAATTTATCATATTTCAAAATTTTATCGAATCCAAAAAATCAAAACTCCAATTATTTTTTTATATTCATGAATACTTTTTAATCTACTAATTAAATAATTAGTTTCATTAACTAATCTCCACTTAGATTTTAATTAAATAATTATAGAGATTGTAAAAAAAGATTTATGAAATTTATCATTATTTATCAAGTTGGAAATGTCTTGATTTTTATCTTCAATGAATAACAAAAAAGGGAGGAGGTAAAAATATAATAAAAGCTTAGGGAGTTAAAGACGAATTTACACATAAAAAAGAAAGTTGAGATTTTCCGATATTAAACTTATTACATTGAGAAATAACTTTTTTTTTTAACTTTGTTACAAAAAAACTTTCAGGCATTATTTCATCAAAGCAAAATCTTGTTTTATTAAATTTTAAATGAAAGCATTCTTCTCGTTTAGGTATTATTATTATTTAATTATTTATTACTGTATTTATTTTATAATCTAATTTACAAAAATTGAAAGGCTGATAAGAGAATTAAAATATCAAAAAAAGAGATATTTTTTTGGGAAAATTCATTAAAGAAATAATTAATTTGGACTCAGTTATTAATTATATCGTGATGTGTGATAATAATATATCTTATCCCGTGCAGAAATTTTGACCGGGGCCAGATCGGGGCCAGATCGGGACAAACCGGGCCCCGATCTGGCAACCCGACCTGGCCCCGGTCTGGTTGAAACACTAAAACCGACCGGGGCCATGGCACTTTGCCCGATCTGTCCGCCCTGTCGGGACCCGGTCGGGGCCATGGGATTTCCCCCGATCTTTTCGCTACCCAGGTAGAAATCCAATACTGACTGCATTTTATTATATTAAAGCTCGTTATTTGATTATTAAAGCATGGGGAGTATTTACTTCAATATTAATAATTATTATTATTTTTGTAGTAAATAAACTTTTATGAATGTCATTAAAAATGTAAATAATTATTAGAATTGCTTTTATTGAACTAAGTTTTTAAAAAAAATATTTTTCTTATTTTCTTTCATTAATTTAGACAGACTATCTTATTTAAATTAATGCCTAATTTATTATTATTATTGTTAATAATTATTTAAACCTATACTTTATGTAACATTATTAAGAATTATACACAAAACACTTAAAACTAAGACGGAAAAATATCGCACGCACGGGGGATCGAACCCTAGACCTCGAGGACGCAAGTCAAATACACATACCGCAAAGCCACGCAAGCTTGGAAGCGACCTCGCTTAAACTTCCTTTTGAATCATGGGACCGTTATATACAGTATTATCATAATAAATTGACTGTATCATATTTATTTATAGAAAAATTATTAAAAATGTATGTTATATATATATATATAAATTAATATGTTTATCATAATAATATGGTAAAAATTATTAATTTAATTATTTATTCTCTATTATTTATAATTTAACTATTTTTTAAAATAATAAAAAAATTTTTATTATTAATAATTCACAATAATACTAAAAATTATTAATTAATAATAATTTATTTTTTTGCCTTAAACATGGAATTTCAATTTAAGTGTGAAAAATAATTGGTGCGTTTGTCCTATTGTTTTAAATTAAAGGAGAATAAATTCCTAAGACATCCCTCGAGGCCAATTTTTGAGTTTTTAATTGTTTATAATTTTTATTTTCAAATTTCAATCAAAGTTAACAAATTAACACAATTTTTTAAAAACGGACGTTTATTTTCTTATTCCGTTACTGCACATGCTCTAAATCAGTTCAAATTAATCCAATATTACCAGCAGACAATTAAAAACCTATAAAGTAATATATTTCAATTGTCATAAACAACATTAATTAACAAATAGTTAACTTTGATTCCTCTCCAATAAAAAATATTAATATGTCTTTTTTCTTATAATATAACTTATTTAAATATTTAATATTATATATCCGTTGTCTTTTAACATTATCCAAATAAAAAAGTAAACGTGAAAAAAAAATTTTTGGTGGAAAGGAACAAAAATTAACTATTTGTTAATTAATATTATTTGTAACCATTTAAATAAGTTATTTTTTAAACAAAAAGGACACATATTTTTAAAATGAACTTAAATTAAAAAGTAGATGTGAAAAAAATTTTTTTGGTGGACAGGAACGTAAGTTACATAACTATTTATTATTTAATATATTGTTTATAACAATTTAAATAAGTTATTTTTTAATCAAAAAGGACAAATATTCTTTAAATAGACTTAAATTAAAAAGAAAATGTGAAAAAAAATTTTTAGTGGAATAGGAATCAATGTTAACTATTTGTTAATTAATATTGTTTATAACAATTTAAATAAGTTATTTTATAATCAAAAAGGACAAATATTCTTTAAATGAACTTAAATTAAAAAGAAAAGGTGAAAAAAACATTTTTTAGTGGAAAGAAATCAAAGTTAACTATTTGTTAATTAATACTGTTTATAACAATTGATATAAATTACTTTCTGTTTTATTAATTGTGTGGTGGTCATATTGTATTAATTTGAACTGATTCAGATCATATGCAGCAACGGAATAAGAAAATAAGCCTCCTTTTTTGAAAAATTGTATTAATTTGTTAACTTTGATTGAAAATAAAAATTATAAACAATTAAGAACTAAAAAATTGACCTTAAGGGATGTCTTAAGAATTTATTTGCCTTTAATTTAAAATAAAGAATACTGAAACCGGTTAAGAATTGTAGGCTGTAGACAGTTTTGAACAGTAAATTGTAAAAAAAATCCCATTGTGCGCTGTTTGTAGATCCTTGGGCAAACCCGGCCTGGTCCTGGTCGGGGCCACGAAGTCGGGGCCAGATCATGAAAACCCGACCGGGGCCAGGGCGGTAATCGGGAACAAAAGTGGCGATTTCTGCACGGGATGGAATCGAGGAATTTTCATTGATTCTTATATAGTCATAATAGAAATTGATTCAAGTCTATACCATCAGCGTGGTGTAAACTCAGTAAATTAATTACACTCCTGTAACTTCTCATGTCTCTCGCAAAGTAAGGGAATCAGTTTAATTAAATCGAAAGCAACAACAGAGTTAAAATTAACCTAATCTTCAAACTGTCACTCCTTATATACATATACATATAACTCACAGGGTGTGCGTACAATTTAGATCAATTAACTATTACTTATAAGAAATTTTTATTAAACCATTTTCATTATTCTTGAAAATTATAAACGATTGATAATATTTTTTTCTATTTTTTACTTCGATGCATTTTTTTCTAATTGTTTCAATGTATTATTAAATAACAAATAAATAGATAAATTACAACATATATCAACATATTAATAAAAGAAAAACTGTGTTTTCTTTTAAAAGTATTTAATAAAAAAAAATAGTTTAAAAAAATATATATTCTGTTCATTACATCATGTAAAAAGTACTTACTGATGGTTTTTTTTTATTTCCCAAAAAAATCTATTCTGCAGACGAATGTTGAGTTCATTTTAATTACACTTTATATTTTGTTCCTATAAATTTAACACTTTTTGAATGAAATGCCTCTAAATAATTTAAATTATATTTAGAAATGATAATTCTTCCCATTTTCTGATGTGAAAAAAAATTTTTTTATTATTTAATAATAGTAGAATTTTGAAAGTAAGTGAAAGAAAAAAAAGAATTCTAATTGACACGCGATTATAACCGGTTGAAACTTTACGAAAGGAAGTTACGAGTAAACTGAATCACTGTTAGTTCCCGCGCGGATATAGCTGAGAGAATTTTGTGCGCATGCTATACTACTAAACGAATTCTCAAGGAGGGTGAGTGAGAGAGAATGAAAATCAAGTGTAACATAAACATAAACAAGAAAAAAGAGAATAGAGAAGAATATTTTCTTTCTGAAGCTGTAGAAAAAGAAAAGTTAATTTAACAAACGGGTAATATATTAATGCGTTTCAATTTTTTTTATTAAATAAAATTTGAGAACAGTAAATATGTAAATAAAAACAACAAAATGTTTAAAGTTTCAAAAGCCGAGGGTACCCTATTCAGAAACTACAATTTATTTAACAAAAAAAATACAATTTTGTTAAAAAAAAGGTAAGAATTTAATCTATTTTGATTTACATTCTTCTACTGTCACTTATACTTTTAAAAAACACTGGTTTTACCGATACTAGCTTCCTAATGGATTGTAGTACATTTTTCCCAAAATACGATTTCCCAGAGGATATTTTTCCCAAAATCAAGTTTCCCAAACAATAGTGGTTTCCAAAGGACATTTTTCCCAAAATACTTTTTTCCCCAAAATCAGATTTTCCCAAATTAATAGATATTTGTGCAAGTATTTTTTTTCTGCGGAGTGGATGTGTTCAATGAACAATTGAAAAGCGGTTAAAATAGTTCCTGTCATAACGTTTGTTATTTTGGAAGCAAAATCAATTAGTACTAATTAATAAATCAAATATTTACAATAATGGCTGAACTCATTAAAACCAATCCTACTAGAATTCAGGATTTAAATGAGATTCCTGATCGGTTTAAACATTCTTCTGGCGGGATAAATTTTTTTGTTATACGATTCGATTGACGACGACAACGTAGAAGAAAGAATTCTTGTATTTGCGACTGAAGATAACCTAAGACATTTATTTAAGAGTAAAATATGGTTTGTAGATGGCACATTTATAGAGATAGAAAGCGAAGAGAAGAACAGATTTGGAACATTGTATCGTCCTACGGAGATTTTCGACATAGGAATGATATGACTGGATATTTGCAAATTATTGGTTCACATATTAATAACTACGACTGGAATGGCCAATGGGAAACTGCTATGGAATTAAAGAAAGAGCTTGAAAATGACGACTTCCACAAGCATACAGGATTCGAAGACGAACGTCATTGCTTGGATTATCCTAGGAAAAATCATAGGTCCAGTTACAGAGATGATGAACTACGATGATGAGGATCAAGCTAATATCAATCACTTAGTTAGAAAACAAACTCATGTAGTAAGAGTCCAATTACATATTCTGCATAAACAAATTGAAGACTATAAAGAAAACATAGTTGACAATTTTAATCGTCGATTTAAGAAAGACCCCATTTGCTTCCTATAAACTTAGACTTAAAAAAAATACTCTCTTAGGAAGATCAGGAACTTTACAAACTTTTTAGAACAGCTCAGGAAGAAGTTAAGAAGACTTTGTCAAGAACGCGGAGAAAATAAGGTGCCAAAACAAAAACGGCAGGGAAAAGTATTTCCTCCTATAACCTCTAGAGGCAAACAGCATTTCCTTAATTCAGAGAAGAGAAAAGTGTTAAATCCTCACTTAAATTAAATCCCAACATTTAAAAATAATCCCAAGACATTGGAACCAAAAATGACTAAAATACCTAAGAAACTACGATTGTTTTCATAAAAAAAAATCTGACCTAAAAGCAATGATTTACAAGATGTATTCTTCTCCCTGAAAGCCTTCTTTTTTGAAATTATTTGCAAGATAAGTTCCTGTCAAGTAAATATATATAAAAAGCAAAGGGAAAGCAACTGAAACATGTGTGAATAAAATTTTTGAAAAATAGACCAGGTCAGAATCCCGCTTGGGAAATGAAATACATCATGTTAGAATCTGGATTTCAGCCAACTTCGGATCAATGATTCCAAATAAAAATACTTTAACCAAACAAGTATATAAAGAATGAGGAATAAATATATTTTTCATTAAATACTATAAGTGAAATAAAATGTAAAAAATGTACCTTCATTTGTAGTATTACTTTTTTTTGGGGTATTATTATTATTAAACTTAGGAGTTAATTAATTTTAATTACTTTTATATAGAAGATTTTTAAATGATTTTCGCGATATGCCTAAATTTAATAAGGAAATTGGACGCACCAGTTGCCTTGTCGGAAGTAATTCTTCTTTTAAGCATCATGACCCTACTGTTAATTTTCAGTTTATTTATTCTCGACCCCACTTATCATAATATTAAAGAATCATTCCCTAAAGATGAAATGAATCCCTTGATTGGCCTTTTGAAAGTAGTTGACACAAGTACATGAATAGATTTAAACCTTAAATGACAAACAAAAGTTTCTTTTGAGTAATACAGTTACAAAAAAGAAAATAATAGAAAATCTAAATTCCACTCAATAGAAAGTTAACTAAATAAAAACATCTCATGTAATTCTCTGTGAACAGAAAAGTGTCTTTCTAAAAAGTTGTTTTCTTCCAGTCTAGGTAACTAAATCCGAAAGGCTAACCCTTATTGACGCAGGACCTATTGTTAAAAGGATTCTTCCATTAGTGATTATTCTAGCGGGTGGTCTATTGTCTGTACTCCGGCCAAGTATTAAAACTTATTATTACATTTTACAATTATTTGATACGAATTTCAAAAATAGCGAATTCCTAATACTTTGATTTTTGAGAATTGAAATTTCTTCATTAAATGCTAATTCCTGAATTCAAACAATCATTTCGATATAGAAAAATTTCAAATAAGTCTACGTGTGAAAATTTAAATCCCAAGAGATACGTTACGGAGGATCTATAGTTGAATCCCACCGTTGGCACATCTGGGCTTTGTGGATTTAAGAAAATATAATCCGGGCTCAATGCTACAGAAATCCGCAACTTCAGCCCTAATCGTTTAAAATCACTGAAGTCAAAAATCTTCATGCAGAATCAAATTTTTTGCCTCGTGTTGGTCCTCCATTGAATTCTTCACCGATAAATATAATTAACAAAACTTAAATATTGTAGAACATTACGAAAAGTATTATAAGCTTTTAGAATCCTTTAATTCTTTGGACAATAATAATATGACGACAAATTAGATATAATTAAAATGTAGATAACGATTATGGAACCTATACCTATCAATCGATAATTTCTTAAGGGACATAATCACTAAAGTTTTAAAAAAATATGTCTTTATAATTTAATTATTTCATTTTGTAATTTTAAATTTAAACGATCATCTGTCTATTTTTGTATTTCTCTTTATTTTCCAATGATATTCCCCTTATATGAAGGTTTTTTTTCTCTAGAAAAAAATCTCCTTTTATTATCGATAATGGGCATTCGTAAGCTTTTTCCAATTCTGCAAATACAATTTGACTGTGACAAATTAAAGTGTCTCTCATTTTCATATAATTTACGATCAGGTCTAATACCGTCTGTTCTCTCATTAGAGAAATGGTAGAATAATATTATAAGGAGGCAGAAGAAGTTCATGAAGTGAGCAATCCGTCATTCATGGAATATGATATTGATTTTAAATACACTTGCTGAGAACATGTTCAATAAAATGAATAAAACTATATATTTTCTGATCATCCGCATTAAATGGGTTAAACATAAAATTAGAGTCAAAAATTAGGTAGAAATTTCTTGTTCACAGATTTTTTTTTAAAGAATCTTTTAAATATTTCTTAAATAGGTAATAGTTACGACATTTTTTTTTTTTGTCAAGTTGGTATTTTATGCGTTTAAGCTTTATGTTCCAACTCGAAGTTGGAAATAGAAAACAAATTTTCAATTAATTGTTTTAAAATACTCGTGACATTAACACGAGCGCAGTAAGTCGTAAAAAAATCTTTATACATTTTTAGGTAACCTCCTTTAGATGACACTCTAAATATGAAATGTTATTTAAAATGAATGAAAAATATAAAAGTAATGACCAACATACGAGCAATTTATGTAAATATGAAAAATCAATCTAGGATACAATGTTAAAATTACATGATCCTTGTTTGTAAATCAATAAACATCTGTGTAAATCCTCAAAAGAACTTTCTTCCTTTGAGAAACCAAATGATATGAAACTTTGAACAATTCTAAATAGAGTGCCGAATATTCTGGCAAACATCTATCGATTGGCCGAGAAAACGGATAGAAAGAAATTCTCCGGTCCAGAACAGGTAGTGGGTGGAACTATCTACTTAAAACTGTATTTGTTTGTTCGACGTATTTTTATCTCTGCTAAATGATTCAATGAATTGGAAATTGATTATACTTGAAGGTATGCTCTATGCTCTTATTGAAATGCCTATCGAGTAGGCATTTCGAAAGTAATATTATTATACTTATATCAATTACTTAAAAAACTAACTATTTACACTATTTACAAAACTTGGACCATCCAATGACAAAAAATTGCAAAAAATATAATTTAATTTTAAATGAATGTCGTCAGCAGCTTCTAATAACCATTCTTATAGTTAAATATTAGAGTAACGTTAGACGTCAATAGTTGTGACATGTTTTTGACTTCAATTAACGACCTAAGTTTTATTTGTAGTCTCAATTCATCTTAAAAGTATATTGTAAAAAAGAAATAGTAGAATCCTGGTTACAATTACTTTTTAAGAACTGTAAATACCGGTAGCAGCTTCTAATAAACGTTCTTATGATTAGATAGTAGATTACAGATAGGCATCAATATAATTGTGCCAATCAGAAGTCGCATCCTTTATTTAGGATGAAAGATCCGAAACAGAACAATCTGATTTTAAAATTCATTTAAAAAAAGATTTGTAATTTACACAATCGATTAATTAGATGTTAGACTTCAAAACAGATTCTAACTTTTACATTTCACGTAGAAATAAAAAACTGTCATTTAGTGCCTCGCGGGATATTAAGAAAACCGTTAAATAATTTGTTTGCTATTGAGCAGCAAGGTCAGATTATCGGATACTTGCATCGTTGATATGGGGAGAAAAA